AAAGACATAATATTCACATTAAATACACACACAAACACAGCCAGATGCATCTTACAAACCGTTTTATTCAGTAGAATTAATAAGCAATCCTGGTACTCATCAGCTTCTCTAAACTGTCTTAATCGCGGTCACATGCTAACGATCACTGGAAGACTCCGAATAAAGTATTGCATGACGTAAAATTTTAATTAATTTTGCATAAGTCTCTCAGTTCAGCTAAAATTACCTATCCGTCACACAGTATTTCTCGCCGTGGAGTTTTGATAGGCGCTTGAGAATTCGCTACTTCAGTTTCTAAACATCAGAATGTATTATCCAGCAATTATCCATCGAACCAAAGGAGAAATGGATCAAAGTTTCGAACGTAACATATTAAATCTAAAGGCATTATATTCCAGATAACTGACTGTTATTATTAATGGCTTTATTCAATATTATATTTTGGTACAATATAGAATTCTCAGCTAAAGGTATTTCAACAAGTTAATTACGCAAAAATACAGTGACAAAGACAAAAAAGGAAAAATAGGTTCAAAAAAGCCGAAAAACTGCACAACTTTTCAAATTAGAGACATGTTAAAAATTCAGGTTATTGACTAGGTTAACTATAACAACCTGTTCGTTACAAAGTATATATGCTAGGTAAGGTATTATAGAACTTTTAAACTTTTGCTTGCGTGCATGGATTTTAATGTAATTACGTCTCGTTCTATCAGAAGATACACAAGGAGAAAGATAGTCACTCAGTCAGTAACAACGTAGAACTTTGTACATACGTACATCAGTTCGAGTTGCCACACCACATAAGCACAAAGATCCAGTTGTCGATTCAAATCCCGTGGTGGTAGAGGTAGTAAGATTATAAGAAGTGATCGGGAAGATTAGGGTTTGGAGATGTTATTTAAAGAGTACAATCCAGTGAAATAAATTCGGGAAGAGAAGAAAGAGACAAGGAGGAATAAGGAGATTAAAATTTAGGAAAACACAAAGAGTGGATGCACCTGAGCCGTTGCAAACGATTTTGAGCCATGTCATTCAAGGTCTCTAACCATCGGTTGCTATCATCTCGCGGTCCCCAACCAGGTATCCTACACCTACCGACATGACTCAGACCACTTGTCAGTGACTTCATGGACTTGTGCCATGTTTTGGTCTGGCCGCCCCTAGCTTTCTTCCAACCTACTCCTATACCACTGAATATCGCACGTCGAGGCAGTCGGTCGGTGGGCATACGTAACACGTGGCCCAGCCATCTCAACTGATGAAGTTCCACTACTTCGTCGATTTATTTGCCATCCTTACCTAGTACCCGTTTCCTGACAACTGCATTACTTACTCGATGGTCCCATGATATACGAGCAATATTTCGAAGACACCTATGATCAAATACTAGTAACCTACGAATATCCTCTACTCTTACCGGCCATGTTTCACTGCCATAAAATAGGACGGAACGAACTGCTGCGCAGTAAACACGTCCTTTGGTTGATAGACGGATATTTCGCCTACGCCATAAATGACGCAAGTTGGTAAAAGCTAGTCGAGCCTTCTGTATCCGTTCTGAGATTTCGTCACACACCGGACCACAAGGGTTGATGGGACTTCCAAGATAAGTGAAGCGGTCGACACACTCAACTACTTCACTCTCTATCACTAGTTCGGGTGTCGATGCAACCCAATCCTGAAGCAACATTTTGCATTTGAAGGGGGATAATCGCATCCCGAACATGCTTGCATTGTTGCTTAGAGTGGTCAGAAGACTCTGCATTTTGTCAGCGTCTTCGCCAAATAAAACTATGTTATCAGCATATTCTAAGTCAACAAGTGAACCTCCCGGTAGAAGTTCAACCCTTGGAAATCTAGATGAGGAAAGTGTCATCTGTAAAAGCCTGTTTAAGGTTAATATACTTCTTTGGTACTCCTTTCAGCTAAAATAATTGTTGCTGCCGCCTGTGACTAACTGTCTGCATGTTCGTTCCTAACTGTCCTTTATGATGTTATCAGCAAAATGAAAGGAAACAATCTCCGGTTGTTAATTTTCTTCAGTATTATGGACAACACTATTCCGCCAACGAGTCAAACTAATAACGATTGCCCAGCAGTACGGGATATCAGTATTCTTTTCGAAAGGACTCAGACTTGCGACAACCATAGACGAAGTCACGGATACTACCAATCTATTGCAGAGGGTTCGTTATAAAAAGTAGGTCATATAGCGGTAATAGAGGGGTTGTACTCGTTACGTAGTGCGTTAAAGCAAGCTTGATATCGAAAAGCCGGAAATCTGCTATCAGTGTGTAGTGTATGTTTGTTGTTTTGGCCATAAAAGGAAGTCGAAGGATCATGATCAGGGAGCAAAAAGGTAATTAACTATTATTAAGCTCACTTTTTTATAGATCATATTTCACCACTCGCAAACCTGGTTTTTTTTACGGTATGACGTCAGCCGGTACCTAATATGTTCACCCTTACGATGAAAAGTACCTGCAAATTTTCACCTTCATATTCGAATTATTTCTGGACAACTGTCTTCCAGTTTGAGTGCTTCGTACACCCTGGGAGACTAGATTCCTACATTATTCATAGTCCCAGTGTAACTTTCTCACACAGTAAGTTCAAGGTAGACACTAGTCTTTCTAAATAAGCCTATTAAGCTAATATCCATATTCTCTATTTCAGTTAATCGATGAAGACATGTACCACGTGCATCTGCTGTATACTGCCACTTTACTCCAATTCTAACTGTTATATCTTACTTCTGAAAAATAAAATTGCTATATGCAGCAAATCCAGACTTATTTGTTTTGATGGAGGTAGGGGGGTTCACGGGATTTTTAGCAGGACTGTAGTAATATTCTCACTAAAGAGCTAAGTGAGTGCGTAGACCAATGTAAGGTACCATACAGGGTGCCTTTGAGTTACTCGTGTTCCATTAGTGTCGTTAGAGGCATTACTTGTTTATCATATGACATTTGAATAAGAAGCTATGAGATTAGACGCACGGACGGTTAGGATGTGTAACGCGTGTCCATCCATCAGCTGCCGTGGCAAATCATGGTGGCTAGAATAAGTTGTGAAAGGACCTGAGTCTGTAGGTTTCCCAAGAAAATGACGAAGATATGCACCAAATCACCTTATGAAGAGCGCCTCCAATCACTTAACCTCTACCCATTAGAGTATAGACGACTTAGAGGTGACCTTTTAATTTCTTACAGTATCCTTAACACTTCTGGACATTCTCTTAAACACCTACTTAAGCTTAGTCCCAACACTAACCTAAGGGGTAACACCCAGAAACTAGAGACACAACATAGCAGGACGGACTGTAGACGCAACTTCTACTCCTTAGGACTTGTCAAATGCTGGAATTCGCTACCCGCCAAGCTAGTCCAAGCGACTTCCGAGGAGTCCTTCGAGAGGCAACTGGATCTATTCTTAGGGATTAAGGATAGTATCATACTATGATTTACCAACTTCTTTTTCCTCTTTTATTGTTAACATACCTAGGTTCCTGCCTGGAGGTTTTGGTGATCCCCTGCTACTAGACACGGAAGCATGTTAAGCGAGAGCTTCTATTTAGTCCACAACCGTTTGAAAACATGAACTAGGTGCTGAGAGGCTCGCTTATCACACGTTTCTTGCAACGGTTAAGTAGATAAAACAAAGTAGCATTAGATTCAAAAATTTATTCAAGAAATTTCATTAAGAATCGAATATCAAACAACGGTTTAAACGAAGTTCCCTTTTAAATGTTGCATTGGTAATGTTAAGCTTCAGTCTTTGTTGTTTTTTCCAAACGAAAGGGTAAAAGAAGTAACTCAAAAAGTACTGGAAGTTGTTGTGAGACTAAAATGGACGTCCAGCATCCTTTTTATAATCTGCTGTTAGTTGGGTCTCCCGTAAACAGTTTCATAGGGCCATAGTTCTAAAGGCGAAACAGTTCTTAGGATCCGTGAAGACTCAGTCCTGTTGCATTCTAAACGAGAAAATGGTAATGAATTTAGTCAGAAATGTGGAATAGATAAAAAACCAAATCACAAGTTTTTTAGCAAAGAATTTATGCAGTTGTGATTTACCTTGAGTTCATGAATATTAGATCAGGTCAGCTATTATTACTTGTGCAAAGCATCACACGGGTTTAGTACCGTATCGCAATGCTTTTATTATTCTGCTCCCATTTAAGTATTCCCATGCATCTGAGTCTAGTTTAACAGGAAGACATACAAGCAGAGTAAGTGTCTGACAAACTAAAAGTCCCAGTTGTCAAAAAGATTCTTAACATTTATCCACGGCCAGCTACATTTAATTGAGACACAGAACACTCATCTTCTAAGACTGTATACTGTTGTTTTGCGGACAACTAAAAGCTCAGACGCTTACCTTTCTTGGTACCGATGTTAATTGCTTTTAAAATGTCTTATCTTTTCTTTCATTTGAGAAGACGTTCTAAGAAAGCTCGAAAGCCGATATTAAATTAAGTTTCGAATATCTTATGCTTATATAGTAGATTGAAATTCAGTGATTTCAAGTGATTGACTAAACAGATGTTAATGCTGCAGCGACAAGAGACATCAGCCGGTATAGCCAGACTTCCTGCTCAGCGTTCCAGCCATTTTAATTTTACCTTCAATGATTGCTATTGTGACTGATTTACCAGCAAAAGAAGACATCGTTTTTATGTGCTTGGATATACGAGATTTGTAATAGTGAACTGATGTTTCTAGCTGTTAGTAAGCAGCGTCAGAAGTCATTTTTTCTGAGACCGTTCTATATATGCTTCAAACAGGATTCAAACACAGTAATTACACAGTCATCTGTTTATACAAACAAACTTTGGGCTTGTCATCCTTTGGGTGCGGTGTTGGATTTTTGGCGGTACACCTGCGTTATCCGCGACCGCTGGTCATCAATATTTTTCAGGATGACCAAGCTTCTGACAGACGACGGTACCCTAGAAAAGTTTCGATGGATGTGCTTTTTTGTATTTGACAGCTGCACAGATGAACGTCCAGTATCTGCAAAAGAAATCGAGCAATTACTGGAGTTCCTGTGTGACCTTGAAGGCAGCGAGTATGTTTCATTTGGTGTCATATTGATTTATTGTAGAAATGCTTACTGTTTTGAGTCAGAAGTTTCAAATAAATTGAAAACTACACTTCTATGTGCTACTTCAGGACTGCTTATCAGAAACGTGTCGGGTTTGTTGCAATTTGCTGATAAAACTTTCTCTAGAACTTACACATATGAACATAAAAGCTCCTGGAACATCAATGGTTCGTCAACTCGTTACGCTTTTGTCCGAAGAAAACAAGGATGACGTGGTGAGTAGATCAAGTTGTTTGTTACGGCATTGAATCTTACCGAACACAAGTTGACTTATGACTTATGTATACTCTCTTAGTACACCCATAGTTTTGATTGTGAATACTTTCCCTGAAATCTAAAGATACACTGAGATACCAAAAGCATGTGAGCTTGTCGAATAGCTAGCTTTCAGTCTCTTTGATTATTTGGCCCGTATTTCTTTTCTAAATATTCAATTAATTGTGACATCCCTTTATTTTGAAATACCCTAAGGGGTGGGGGTTGATTTATTTTATGAAGTGGAGTTTTTGGTTGTATTTGTAGGAGAGTTCGCACACACAAGGATAAGCCTTCGACCGATTGCCTTGTTTCGTTTTACAAATCTCTATCTGCAAAAAAAACTAATTGATTGATAAGTAGTTAAGTCTTTTGGGTTAGTTCATTTGAAACAAGTGCGTGGGGCAAAATATATTTCTGTATAGCTTGTTTCGTATTTTATTAGTTATGTATTCCAATCGGTCCATTTAATTCTTTAATTTACTTTACTTTCTTTTCAGGAATATATATCAACAACGCTATGCTCTTTATTTTGTTTGGAGCCCATACCGGTGAATCAGTTGAAAATAGTTGAACGACTGTGTGACTCTGACCGCGAATTACTTAAAAAGTGGAAGGATATTGTATTTGATAAGAAAGGCAGTCCTAAAGGGACTAAATTACTAGTGAAACATCGTGAATCTTCCCTGGCCTATGAGTTATGGAATGAAATTACACGGAATACGGTAATTGGTCCATTCCAATGTAGTTAAATATGCATTGTAACTGTAAACTTAATTTTGTTGTCTTCATGTTTAAGTATTTTGTGGTTCTGTGAGTTGAAGTTAGGTTTTTCATAAGCCTTGTACAACCGCTTCTTCTCGGTTTTTATTTTTACTTCCTGACTTTTGGTTGTGTTTAAATCGAACATAACGAGTTTATGACTAGACAGTTAAGTGCTGTTAAATGTGGTTCACATTTCGATGCCTAGCTTTATACTTGATTAGTAGATTTCTTTATAGTCTAGTTTTTTGATGGCTTATCATATTTTAGGATGTGGTAGTAATTTGTAGCGTTCATTTTTAGTGGTTTGGAGTCACGTAAACCTGATAGTATTTTAGGCTATCTGTCGTTGCATTGTCGAGTACTTTTTAACCTGAGTGTTTTACTAGTCAATGAACTATGTCAGTTTTTAGTTTCACCTGTCTGGTTATCACTCTAGTAAAATGAGCTTTCAATATTCACTTTGTTCGAAGATATGATTTAGAATTTCATGTCCTCTGATTATTTCTTAAGTTGTTTCGTTAGTTACAACTGTGATGACCATTAGCACACACCTTAGCTCTGTATTAAGCCTGCTAACTGGATAAACGACCAATCTGTGACATTAATTCAACTTTTTAGTTTCTTATTCGTATATGTGTGGCGCATATATATTGGCGCTCTCTTGTACCAATATTCATGTGTTCAAATAAATAATAAATATTCGTATATACTGTCAACTATTCCATTCAATAAAAAATTCGGAACACTATATTAAGACGACTTATCACAATGAACTTTTTAGTTTTCTGCATCCATGACTACTTGATTACTAAGCAGCATTATATACTATGTTATTTTTACTGTGCACTCAATCCAATTTCCTCAAATTACTGGTTTAAAGAAATTCCACCCATTTGAATTTTAATGTCGGTTCATTTTTCTGGTCTTCATCTTGATCAATCACGAACTTTTAGAAATACGCAATTATGTGATTCAGGTTTTCCGTTGTGGATCGAGTATACCGACTGTCAACATCTTTTTACTACATCAGTACGTTACTAATTATCTCCCTTTATATTTTGCTGAAATTGTTTCACTTGGTTACTTTGTTCCTGCTAATTTGCTTCCCGTTCTATCCAGTAGTATGATATCTTGGACTGTTATTCATTGTTTATTTTAGTGTCATAATATGTCTAATATATGTTTCTGACAAATGTTTAGAATCATGTAAATTACCTAACCTCTTATTTGTGATTGATTTAGAAACAGATTCAAGGGGATTCTGATTTTTGTACCGTCAATACGCGCAATGAATTTGCTATTTGTTGTGTCCAAACGTTTTGGAGCTGTGGTGGTTGGCAGCATGTGCTCAACAATTTGGATGCTATATCCCCTATTTTAGTCAGGTAATTTCCCTATCTTTCACCTGTTTTTTTTGCTTGTACCTGTGGTGTAAAGTTTTTAAACTGAAAGTATTTATATTCGTTTCCGGGGACACCGCATAACATAATTTCAAAGATTGGTGGTGTCGAAAAACAATGTTTAAACCAGTCGACTATAGACAATTGTTTGATTTTGCAGTAAAGTTATTGGGGCAACTTTTTGGGATCAATGTTTTGCGAATGCACGCGTTTCTAATGCTCTCAATATTTTTCATTGATGGTTGTAAATAAGCTCAGAAGTAAACTTCTTTACCTTCTATTTATATTCTCTCGAAATATTTAGCATTTAATGACGTATAGGATTATCTTAGTGGCTACTTTCGTTACAATGTCGACATATTCATTTACATGCTTCCTAATGTAAAAATGAATAATCTTACGATTTACTGTTTACTTTTAAATTTCAGTGATGATGTAAATAATGTTCATGCTCGACTCAAGACCATTAGCTCACTTTCACAGTTGTTCTTGATCGCTTCACTTGAAATCCCGTATATACAGTTGACAAACACCGTGCCAACAAGCGACAGTTTGTTGCTGCATGATAATTTTAGACCACAGCAACAAATGTTTGTTCCTGTCCCAGAAGAAATTGTCACTCACTGGATTGAATCAATTTCTAAGGCTATTCAATCTTGTTGTTTATGGTTTGCAAATTATATCTTATATTCAGAGTTAAGTGATGTATTGAATCGAAGAGTGCTGTTGGATGAAATCCTAGTTGATTTGGTGAGTTATGTTTTTCAAATGTGCTATTATTGAGTCAGTCTCATATTTTCGGAGAATTGGAGACAGCTCAATAAAGAAAATGCTTTTTTTCTAAAATTTTATTTTACCTAGGCCGCATAATCTTATTAACAGTTAATTTACTTACTAGAAACAATAGTCCCATGCTTATTAATTCACAAGTGTTCAACCTTGTGTCTGTTACAATCACTGGATTTCAATGACGGTATGTACAATTAGAGATAACGGTACTGGGTCGTCTATCCTACTCTGTAACTGCAACAGATATTAAGTTCAAAGAAAGTCCAGAAGAGAACAAATGTTTGGTAACTGACGCGCTTATGGGATGAAAGTGTTACCTTAGTAATGTTGAGTTTAGAAATGAGTTTGAGTTGAAGAAAATAATTTGGTTGCTATACTGATGAAAACAACAGCTTTTTCTATATGTTCAACCAAATAACTATCTACCTAGATGTTCAACACTCCATAAAATAAACATTGAATAGAATAAGTCTTACGGTGGTTATAAGTTCATTGTCTGGATTTTATGAGTGAAATAAGCATGTTGACTGTTTTAACTATTAGTATTCAGCTATTAAAAAGGGATTGGGTTACACATACCGATTAAGACTCAGCACCGAGTACCTAAATAGGGAAGGGTTCTTTTTTAAGATACAAATTCATTTTTAAAATAGAACATATTTCTAACCATCATTTCTATTTTACCGTGTTAAATCCCAATATGAGTAGTCCGAAAACCGGCACTTTGCTTTGTTATGCCTGTCATTGCTTAACATTCTACAACTTAGTAATGTATTTAATGAACAAGAACTTTTATCATAACTAATCAGTGTTGAATAGCTCCCCTGTCTAAGAAAAGACGAAATATATGTCTTTCATCTCCTGAAGTTAAACAGTATGAATTCTGAGAAGAATAGTCAGTTTTTACTAGACATGAGTAGCATAGTTATTAATTTTAATTCCATACGAGAAAAGTAAAACGAAGTTACCAATGTTTATCAAAAATTTATTCCAGACTTTCCTCTATCAACAACATCTTGGTCGACTAGTATCCTGCCAGGTAAGCGGATCATGGTTGTCGTATTTTGGTTTCATAATTAAGTATTTTTACTTATTTATTTATTTGAAAACATAAATATCGTTACAAGAGGGCACCAAATATATATGCGCCACACAAAACAGTGAGAATTTGAAGAGAAGAAGGAAAAAATGAAAGGTTAGGAGCGTTAAAAAAAGAACAATAACGAACAGATTAGTGTAAGGTAGTGTAGTAATAATATTAATAGAGGAAACGGAAAGGTACAATCAGAAGTGATTTTTCAGTTATGGAAGATACAACCATTTTTTATGAAGAAAGTAAAAGAAGGTTACAGCAGGATCGCCACTGGCTCCTGTTCTGAGCCATATCTGATAACGTCTCTAGCCACTGTGTAGCACCATCTCTCGGACCCCAACCAGGGAGTCGTGAAGGCCCAACGCAAGCCAATCCTTTGCAGCTTTCTTTCATACCACAACATCATGCCATACACTGACCACCTCTCCGCATTTTTCAACCAGTCGCAGAGTCGGCAAATAATGCACGGCGTGGAATTCTCTGTGACGACATTCGTAGAACATGTCCAAGCCACCGAAGTCGATGTTTCAAGATGATGGCATCAATTAAACTATCGTCTCTGTGTCCGAACACACGATGCCGAACCTCTGCATTACTAAGATGGTGTTGCCACTGGATGCCAGCGATCCTTCGGAGACAGCGATGATCGAACACAGAGTCGTCTAACATCCTTGAGTCGGAGAGACCAGGTTTCACAAGCATAGAGCAAAACTGCTCTCACCGACGCGTTGTGGATCCGAACATTTACAGCCAGACTAACATCATGAAGGCGCCAAAGATGGCCCAGATTGACATAAGTCGCTCTGGCTTTCACCATACGTGGATTGATCTCATCACTCACGCCACCACCAGCACTTATGCAGCTACCTAGATACATGAACTTCTCGACTACTTCTATCTGTTCACCATCCAGGGTGAGTACAGGATTGGAATCCTGCCAGTCTTGTAGAAGTACGTTGCACTTCGAAGGTGCAAAACACATACCATACCCACGAACACTGATTGTCAACTGATTAAGTGCGGATTGCATGTCTTGGGCATTATCTCACAGTAAGACAATATCATCCGCATACTCAAGGTCGAGAAGTCTTTCTCCAGGCAACAGATCCACACCGCCATTACTTACGTCCATCAGAGCTGTTTCCAGAATGTCGTCGATGTCAAAGTTGAAGAGGAACGTTGATATTGGGCAACCCTGCCTAACCCCACTGCTCGAATGGAACCATAGAGAGAGGTGGTTGTATGCCCTCATTCTGCCTGAGGTGTTTGTATATAGAGCTTTTAGGATGTTAATAAACTTCTCAGGCACACCCTTCTTCAATAGACAATACCAGAGAACAGTCCTATCCAACGAATCGAATGCAGCCCTGATGTCAAGAAACACTACGATTGCTGGCCTGTGATAAGTATGGTGGTGTTCTAACATTTGGCGAAGGATGTAGATATGATCAATACATCCTCGACCAGAACGAAAACCAGCCTGCTCCTCGCGAGTCAATCTTTCTCGAGTTTTGGACAATCCACAAAGTATGACGGGAGCCAACAGCTTGGACGCAATCGGAAGTAGACTTATCCCCCGATAGTTGTTACAAGAACGACGTGAACCCTTTTTAAAGATAGGGACAACTATCGACTCATTCCATAACGTTGGTACACTCTCTAGTTTCCAGACCTTTGTAAACAACGTCGTCAGTTCTTTAGCCAGAAAGTCACCACCTGTTTCAAAAGGGCCAGAGCTAAGTCATATGGGCCTGGCGATTTGTATCGCATCAAGAGTTGGAGTTCCTTGCGAACTTCCGCCTCATTTGGTGGATCAGTCGTCACCGGCCATGGAGGGCAGGACAGTCTGAACAATGTTGCCGGAGCAGCAGGCCAGTTGAACTGCCCTTCGAAGAATTCTGCCCATCGTTCAAGACGTCGATGGATGTTAGTGATTGGCATCCTGTCATCCTCACAGATTGTTTCGCTCACACCAGACTTCTTGCTGCCAGTGGCTCGGATGAGTTGAAAGAGCTTCCGGTAGTTACCAGATGCAGCTGCTGCTTCCAGCTCATTAGCACGCTTCGACCACCAGGCTTCTCGGTCCTTACGCAAGCTTTGTCGGATTTCATTACGTAACATCCTTCGTTTGTGGTCAAACTCACGGTCATTCATTGTCTTCCTTTGGAGCTTGAGATTAAAATTACTTTACATCTTTCTTTCTACCAACTAATTCTTTCTTCTTGTACTATATCCTTATGCACAATCTTTTTTATATATTATTACCATTGAAGTAACTACTTCTATGATTTCGGTATTCATCCTTTTGTGTTAATGAGGTGTGGCAACTTGGACCGATGCATATATGTGCCTGGTCCTACATTGTAACTGATTGACTGACAATAATTCACTCATTCCTGTATATAAAAAGTTAACCATCCATATGTTATGTTTACTGTTCACTAGGATTGTGTCTATATTGAATCAGTAGTTTTATCAGGTGTGGGATGAATTTCAAAATGCTTGTATAGTTTTATGAGACTCTTCAGTTCAGTATGCAAATTAACGGTTATATATAATGGGGTCTATTTTGGTGATTTTTTGAATTAGGTTAATCAACATTAACCAGGCATATAATCGAATGGTTTATGGAGAAAAACCCAGGTATAAATTACGATTCAGTAGTTAAGTTTTGCTATTTAATATACCATGATAACAGTACTTTATTCGACTCTTCCTAGATCAGAATAAGAACTGAAAGAGCAAAATGTCCGTCCCAGCTAACCTAACAATATAGGTACAACAGTAAAATCACTAAAGTTTATATAGGATTTGCATAAAGATCTAGAATATTGATTCTCCCGCTGGCGCTTATGACTTGAAAGCCGATTAATCTACTTATTTCGATATGAACTTGATCGGATTATTCAATAGTCCTGTCCTTCTAACAGACTTTTTATCATCTGAAGGTGATGGTGTCTGTTTGTGATAAGTGATACATGATCTCTTGATTGAGCTTTATTTTATGTTTAGCTTTGTTAACAGATTGGTATACTTCATGATTTTAATCATTATGCTATGACTTTAAGCCTCTTACTGTTTTCATGATTTTAGTATTTCATAGTTATTTTTGATATTCCACTTTTTAAGTTCCAGTTCAATTTCTTTTTTTTTTCATGTTCTTTTGTAAAAAATTAGATGAATTCAAAATTTTTTGAGATAACCAAATCCTTAAATTTTGGAACTGGCTTAATAATGCTCAACTTATTTGCCAAATCGTTACCTAACATTCTACCAGCTGATCAGTCAGATTTATTATGTTTGATTGAGTCTTTAAACAAATGGGATCGTCAGCTTAATTTAGTGCCAATTAAACCTTTGCTATTGAAGTACTTTTCGCAGTTGTTTAAATTTAGCCTAACACTGTTGGCTTCTGGTGACTCTGAGTATTTTAGGTATGGGTCAGATTTCTCCGTTACCCAGAACTCTGACATCCTGTCGTCGTCACTGCCTTCTTTACCATTCTTACTATCGTCATCAGATGATTTGAGTTTATTTAATCGAAATATCAAATATTACTTAGATCAAAAATTTGATCCAAATGGTAAGATTTTTATAAGGTTACTTATTATCTGTCTTCTTGGTTTTTTGTGTATATATTATTGTCTTGTTTCTATCGTTGGTTAATTTGTTCATTTTGGACATTTTCCTCCATGATCATCACTTTGTTTTGCAAATGCAGTTAGGTGGTGTTTGAAAAAATACTGAGTGGTCAGGTGTAAAAATGACACCAACTCATAGAGTCTTTATTGATTTGGAAATATTGGCTTCTCGATAGTCGAATCCTCGAATCAACGTGGCAAAATTGATCAGACTAATGTTGCCGCATTTATTCTATGTTCTCTAAATTTCTGAAACGTTGTTGTTCGTTTACTTTCATTATTCTTACTTCTCTTTGTTATGTCATTGGCTATACGTTTATTGCGAAATACGATTGCTTTTTAGATATGCTGACTCATATGACCAAACTAATGACGCATACACCAGTGCGAACATCCTAGAGTCCTTATTGACGTTTTCCTCACCATGCTTTGCCTGTTAAGTCCAGAACGCCAATCTCAGCCTCCGCGATACGAATCATATATTTCAATCACACTTGGTTTATATACAAACAAAATCAGATCGCATCACACCACAAAATAGAAAATAACATTTGTACGTGATCTATCCAAAAGTGGCTGTGATTGTGAGAAACTGTTACTAATAAATTGGGAATATCTCAAGAGTAGTAAATCGTGTGATGATAGTCAATAGATTAAATAAAAGCTTATAATGTAGGGAATATGAATATGCATATAATATAATCACTTAATAGTCATACATTAAGAATATACTTATAATATTAGTCCATAAGTACTTTCTTACGGTTACCATTCATTTATTGTCGTCCGGATATAACATTCTTAATATAACTTCCTGCTTTTCTTCCATGTTATGCAATATTCTGTACTGTTGTATTTATCTAGATTATGTTCTTAACTAAAGGACTTATTTTTCAAGTTCTAAGTGTATCACACTGGTTTACTAAATAGGTACTTCTCCACAATTAAATTAGTATTGTTGTAAATTGCTTTGCAAGTTTTCACATAGTTCATAATCGTACACGCTTCTAGTTTGGCGATAGTCTTTGCCGTGAACTAGCACATCAGCTAAGAGAACCACAGGAAGTTAGTAGACACTGGACAGTTATTTCATCTTACTTTGAAACTCTTTTGGAGTTCAAATTCTAAACCCCATAAAAAATGGAATTCAGTACCATTTTTTAATCTCCAGATCTCACGAACATAGTAGACTTAAAACATCAAGTTGTAATCTAGCAATAGTTCGCATTTCCAAATTTAATCTATGAATACAAAAGCTATGGTTTCTTAGTTGCACTTTTAGCTCAGAATCAAATCTTTGCTACTTTTCATAACTTGCCATTTTATGGTAACATTTAAAGAATATATTAAATATAACGATAAGGTTTACCATAGAATAGTCACTACGAAGACAATCTTTCGTCTCAGAATTCATCTTTTAAAATGTTTCAGCAGTGTTAAACGTATCCCCTAAATGGTAGTGTTTAAGAATGTTGCAGTCTTTTGATTGTGTTGTGTTTTTCTAGTGGTATTTCATCAACTCGTATCCGTCTTTAATATAAACTATATACGTACTATAAAATTATAAATTGTCTGTCATGCAGTATCTCTATCAGATTTTTTTTTTAAAAAAAATTACAGAGTTTATAAACCAATCAGAAAAACCCTCATCGTTATCTCGTTTATTTGTTATGTGTGGTCATCATCTTCATGTTGATTTAATGCGCATTCTATCAGAGATGTTTAATGTGGTAGGTATATTTGTGTAGAAAAAGTATTAATCATCAGTTGACTGCTTCATTTTGTTTCTTTTTCCTAAAAATACAGTGCTAAAACTTACAAACCCCCTAGATAAAGTCACGATATGGTCTGAACACATACTAATGATTTAAAGGTGTAAATTCATGGTTTAAATACTCTATCTTTTATGTATTGTGAAAGTCAGGACGGCTTCTGAAAACTTCGTTAACACCATCCTTAACCATCTTTAACACCGGTGTGACGTTATCACGGCTCTGAAAAGTCAGATTTATGATATAACGGTTAGACCGGTTCAATTTTGTGTTTGTGATACCTGTCCTCTCTAAGCTGCGGGTGTTCAGTGACTCTGTGTCCGATCGTCGTTGTCTCCGAAGGATCGCCAACATTGAACAGTAATGTTAGTGAATTTTGTTCACTGGGAATTCCGCTTCTTCTACGATTCCAAGTTCACCTCCGTGATAAGCACCATTTAGCAATAAGCCTAGGAACATGGTTTCCTTTCGACTAAATCCAACCACCACACAGTAGAGTTTGCAGTTGCATATTGCTGATATGATGGTGGCCAAAATATTTTACTTTCAACTAACAGATCGCATGTTCAAACCCCATTTTTTGTACTGACGTATTTAATTTCTTATATGACCACTAAGTAGTTTTTAACTGGGTTCCAATAGTTTTTACCATAATCGATGACGAAAAACTCAAAAGTTAATTGCTAAGTGGGAAGATGGTTTAGAGGCATCAAGTATTGTACTTTGTGTCAAGTAGAGACGAAACTGGATTTACATTGTTGCCCATAAATGTTTTCTCACAAGAAAGTCGCATAGTAAGCTTACTTTTTCCTCTAGAACCGATATGATGTTCGAGGAAGGTGATTATCTTTATTAAGATATTTGTTCCTACATAGATACACTGTCTTATGTTCATCATCGATTACGAAATGTACTTTAAATGACTCATTACATAAAGTAAACATTTGCTTATATTCAATCATTTTTTCTAATGCACTTTTCATTTGGTTTCATGAAGTTGTATGATAAGTGGCCTTTTTTGTCGAACTTACTGTTCCATCTTTTTTTGTTTGTTATAGATTCAAGAACATTCTCGAAGATTGTATTGTAGTAGTTATCAACAATATTTGCGTAAAGGTACGGTTGTGTGTGTGTGTAATTGACGTTTACCATTCTTATTACTTATTCAATGTAGTGCTTAGTTTTGTTCTCACTTTGCATTTGATTAGTCCTATGTTCTTTGGGGGTCCCAATGAGATATGTCACATTGAGTATAAAGCGTCATTTTTAGAGTAAATTTACTGTCCTGAATTTTAGTTCGATCGCTAAAAGGCGATAATATATCACACAAGTATTAGGCTTAACTGTCAAGTATCGACTCATTGACCAGTGAGTGAGTGACATACAAAACCTGTGTCTTTCATTAGAAAAAACATTTTGCTGGCTATGTTGTTGTTGACCTCACTTTTATAAGAACGAGGTATCATAGGTATTTTACGAACAGATACGAGCAATATGAAGCAAACATTTTTGGTTTTAAATGACTATGGAATGCACAATCATAAAGAAATTGTTGCTTGAAACATTCTTGTATTAGTACATCGTAAATAAGTTTATGATGCAAAAAACATGCTATACATGGTGTTAATCTGTCTTAGAACTGACTCGGGAAACGAAATTTGTTTTAATATTAGATAGTATAATGTATAGACCATTTTAAACACTTCAAAAAATTGGTCCGTACACTACCAGGCTATCTGTAATTAAAGCTTCTGAAAAGTAAAAATTTCAAGCAGCGAGACTAGTATGTTACTCTTCAAACTCTGGACTAAAAGACAACAATGAATTATTTCTAAATTTAAAGGATCTGTAATTTTACCGTTCTTCGGTATAATCAATTGATCCTTTCCTCGGGCTTGTGATTTGATAGACCTTTAAAGTTTTCGTTTTCTCGTTAGATGTTTGGTAAACTTAGGTTCTCGGAAGAAATCAATACTTATTGTAACTCTTTAATTGCAATACACAACTGTGTATTGTAAATTGAGGTTGATTTTCTATCCTCTTTTTCAGTACTACTGATAAAGAGTAAGGCGTCGATTTAACAAATATGTGTAGTCTAAACAATTTGCATTTTACTAATCGTATAGCTAAACAAGTAAAAGTTCCAAGAATCATGTTGTAAGATATCTGATTGTTCATTCTTATTTACAAATCGGTAATTGTGACTTCTTTTATTTTATCTTGTAGACCCTTCTACAAATCTATATCAAGACTTGCAGATTGATGTAAGTTCTATATGTTTAAACATTGTTACGGTTATATACCGGTAGCTTTCATCAAAGTTTTTCTGTTGTTATTCAGATCTTGTTTTTCTTTCTGATAAATTTAATGATTTTTTTCGAAGTTTATGTCGAGAATTAATCTTGAGTGGTTGTGTAATAGTAAAAGATGTCAGTTAGTTGTTAAAGCACTTTCGCCTCAACTTGATTTGTTGAATCGTAGGTTTAAACACTGCATCCATTCATCCAATTTCGATCAACTGGATAATCTTACTAGCTATTATATACAAAATGTGACCTGAAATCGGGTGAATTGACCTGTATAGGACGGATGAAATGTGGCCTGGAATGGGTCTGGTATGAGCGTTTCGTCCTACTTGAGACTTGTCAATCGGATGTATGCCAAGTTTTGGTCAATTATAATAGATAATTACTATATTTTATTGAAAAAAAGCCTTTTTTCCCTCTAATTTTATAGGATTTTAAATTTTTCTTGAAATGCACAAAACAAGGTTTACACTTTCTCAATGATTTACTGTTGGCTCGATCGAATCTTCTAAAATACCAGTTATCAAATGATTCCATGCCTATTAAAGAAAGGTTTGTTTTATTAACTCACTAAACTATATTTATAAAATATATTTATTCATGGGTTTACGGGGTTTGTGGGGATTGTCAGTGTTTCTGGTAAACATCATGGACTAACTTTAGTTAGAGTACCACAAAAAATTAACGAGCCCATGTATGTTACTCCTTAGCGATATGTAACCATGATCATATCGGAGTTTGAACCCAGGACTTCCAGGTATCCTGGGAAGGCCTAAATTTTAAACTATTGAGTCTACATCTATTGGTTTACATGTTGAACTTCAATCATTTCACGATATTTTGCAAACATCTTCGAATGCTATTGGTAGATAACTACCTCACACTGGACACGGTTGGACTTCACTACTTGTCACGACTTTCCATTAAAACTGACAAATACGTGTCGAAATTAATCACTAATGAGCACGTAATAGTTATCGGTATAGGTGGGGGGGGGTTGCGAAAACTGTTGAACTTTACATTATACATTTATCCATTGTTCTTGGTTTTCAGTAGTTGTCTAACTAAGATCATTTCGTGATGTAAACTTATTTGTGCATTTATTTATTACTGCCAAGTAAGTCTGACGAATCAGTTGACAATGTAGTGAATCTTTATAGACTGAGATGGTTTTAACATGTTTTACATATGTCCATCCACTGACTACCGCAATGCGGAATGATGAATGATTTTGGAGTATGTTGGAACAGAGCTAGAAGGAGCCAAACCATGAACTCCCGGCATTAGTCCATGAAGACAATGACTGTTGGACTACGCCGTGTAGGTCGGTACGGACTACCTGATTGAGGTCAGCGTGATTATCGTAACCAATCATTGGAGACCTTGAATGATGTGGCTCCAAATTGTTTTCAGTGGAGTAGGTGCATTCACTCTTTTTCTTTCCTTACCTCTTACATTTCCGAATCGTTCACAATCTTTTTTCTTGTCATCTCAATAATTTATGTTTTCCCAGATTTTTATTTTACACGCATAATCTTTTCTATTACCATTGTTATTGTTATTATCTCTACTATTCAGGGATTCTCCATGACAATTTCATCTCACTGTGCTAATAGGATGTGGTAACTTGAACCGATGTACATACGTTCTAGGTCCTACGTTGAGTATGACTGAATGGCTGACCTGTTTATTTAATGTTTTCATCAACAGTGCTTTAGCTTTCAATATGTTTAACAAGGTGTAATCCACAGATCATTAACTGTTGAAAACACTTAGTGGATTTAAAAACAAACTATAGTAATTGTGGGACATTTATCTTATCGTTTCTATGATGTAAAATGAACTGATCAAATTATGTTATAATACTGTTTTACCCAGCAATAGTTTTAGTCCATGGAGTTATCGTTTGTTGAATTGAACCATTTCAGAATATGCTGACTGCCTGGTTGGTGAGGTTCATACGACAGTCGTTATTAACAGTTGGAAATGTTGGGTGAATTTGTTTAGAATTGATTAAAATAGCTTAAGTATATAAATTGTTTCTTTGTTTTCATCTGTATCTTGAGCTTTACTTATTTAACACATTTTTCACTTTTGGCATTTTTTTGCGGTAGGTGTCATCTCTAACATTTCAATTTTCAATTATATTTGGTCCTTTTGGGGATTATATTTATCATATTGAGATTTTCATTGTAGTTGGCTTTTTTCTCTCGATTCTGTAGTCCTGTTTTAGTCTTTTACTATTCAGTATTCTATGGCTACTATACTTCACTCGAGGCTTTCGCAATCCAAACATGGATTAAAAAAAAACAATGTTTGTTCTCAGAAACTTGAATAACTGAGATACCTCAATAAAATATTATAGTTTATGTAAATCTTGTATGACAGTCTTCTCGGCTTGTCCATTCGTGCCGATTAATTGAAAAGGGACCAATCAACGTATTCTGATTTCAGCCCGATTAGATCATACAGTAGTCAGTATTTTATTATATGAACAAGCTCTTGTCTCGTTATTTACACATACTGTAATATTGTATTAATCACTTGATTGTATCTTTCTGTTTACATTTTTATAGTTCTTCAAAAGATAATTTGGAATTCATATCAGTTATTGGATTTTATTTATCTAAAATGATTATCTATGCTGATGAAACAGTAATGCACGAGTTAATCAATCCAACATCGTCATCATCTTACAGTATGGAATGTAGATTCAGTATTCTTGATGAAGAATTATCACACTTAATCTATGCATTTACTTCATGTCATGGAATAACTGATTGTGCATTAAAACATTTAGGCTATTCATTGAGTACAGGTAGTCATATTATTTCAAAAGAACCAGGATTTTCGATGAATTCAACAATGTTAGTGAATAACTGGCCATTATGGACAGAACCACATGTTTTCTGTTTATTATCTGGTCATATGCTTAGTATATTACGAGTTACAGATTCAATAATTATCTTGGAAGATTCTATCAAATCCTTTTGGTCAAATTTTTTGACAAGTATACAAAATGCGATCTTATCAACATGGGAATCATCAATAATTAAAAAGATCACTGTTATTGAACATTGCATGATGGATATTCATCCTAATTTATTACAATTTACTTGTTTTCTTGCTGGACAAACACCGGGATTAACAGCGAAAAAGCAATTACTCATTTTATTGACTCAATTATTTAGTGATTTACATAAAACTATCTGGAAAAAGCAATATCAACAACAATTCATCACAGAAAGCAGTAATGTTCACATTTCCTCTGTGAAACAACAAATCACGCATGTTTATTATCTTTGGCTGCGTTTAATTGTTATTTTACGCTATATGCTACATTATTTCTACATTCCACCAAATTACTTATCACATCAACTAAAACCTTGTATGTTTTTACAACCTGATCAAAATAATAATAAACAAAAGAAATGTATGATTTGGGAATATTCAACTATTGCTCAATTATCATCAAAAATACACCCATACTTTTTACCTTTACCACTGACAGATAATAACAATAATATCCCATTCTTTTATGATCTATTAACTGCGGCCAACCAATCATCATCAGGCGTTGATCAGTCAACAAATTTAACCCCTGTTGGGAGTAGTAGTTCTAAAAGAACAGGTACAAGTTTAAGTCTCCCGTCTCCTGATGGATTAGTAAGTTTGAAAAATACATACAGTGTTAATAGTTTTCAGTATTTTAGCAGGTGACGACACAAAATAATAAGATTTAAATCAGGTTTATTATTTAGGTTGAATTATCATTTCATTGAAAAATACTCAATTGTGGTACACAATGTTCTTATGTTAGACTGTTACTGTGATCCAACGAAGCTATAGATCACTAATTAATGCTTAACGTTCAATCACCAATTCGCAGGTTCGGGCGAGCCTATAATTTCTGGACGAGCTAATCAGAATGGAGTATGCGATTTCAAGGTCATGTGCCTAGTTTCGTACGAAATACTCACCTACGATCGGTTTACTGCGGTTTTCAAAAAGCGTTTTATAGTCGAGGGGCTACAACAAGTGGGATTACTAAGAAGCCCCATTATTTGGGATTTTGGTGTCTAAACGCCTTCTGGACGGTATTATGAGGACTGTCGTGGCGATATGGTATTTCGTCGTAACATATATTGGAGGAAGAAGTCTACGAGAACAGGGACATTTTTTGTTCAGTCCTGGGTGACAGGCTTTGCTGATCGTTAAAAACTTGGTAACAAAAACAACATTAACACTCGCCACATCCTTTGCAGATATCAGTGCAGCTACGGTAGTTCATTGGTGCGGGTACTGCAGGGTCACTTGGAGGAATCGGAATGATCGTAGAAATAGGTTAAATCGGTCGTCAGAAAGTGCAAATTCCATAGAGGAAAAAGTGTTAGAGTAGACTGGGTAAGCAGGAGTACCTTAGATATATATTTAGAATATCTTGGGCATATATGATAATTCATCACCAACAGGCTACAAATCTGAAATGAGTTATACGGTAGTATGTCGGGCCTGTTACCACCATATACACAAACTAATAGAGGGCATATATATATCAATCTAAACTTGGTAACGTACATCCTGTTGTTGTTCTCAAGAGACATTTTGTTGACTTCACAAAAGGAGTACACACTAACTGTATAGAAGCAATGTGGTTGAGGCTAAAGGAATTTCTACGAACTTGTCACGGCCCCGAGTGTCAACTGTTGTGGAGTCACATGGATTAGTTCTTGTACCGTATGCATGATGATTTCAGAACTCCGGACTCTCTAACATGATTAAGTTTTTAAATCATGTTAAAGAAGAGTATCCACTTTAATTCTTTTTTGTTGCATAATGAATTTACACTCCATACCAATTGTTTTCTGATTGGCTGAAACCTCTCAGGGTCACTTGGGTTTCATTCGAAGGTTGTCCATAATTTAGTCTCGTCCCTGATCCTACTATATGGTTCATCATTTTTCTAATTAGTCACCTTGTGATACATACTTATATTTTAGCTTTACATTAAGCTAGAATAATCAACCACAATTTTCTCAGATTATACACTTGGTTTTTTTTAATGGATTTAATTTGCTTTACTGTAATCACGCTTTTTTATATTTTCCATTCACAGGCTGTCTCATCATTAGCATCACTTAATAATTATCATGACCTATTCACCTCTCTCCTTGATTACATGAGTTCTCTTCTGCTGACGGATTCATTTGATAAAATGTTAACTAATCCAGATCCTATTCTTATCGAATGTTGTCAACTACCATTGTGCACTTATGGATTAGCATTAAACTGGAGATTATTAGAAATTCTTCCACCACCACAAGAACTTTTAAAAGATTTAAGTCTTTTCATTGATTTATTAACGATAAAACCATCACAGAAGACAGTTATCAATCTTCAAAGTGTTTCAAAGATATTCTTGTCACCGTCATATTATCTATATTTAATAATTTTGTTAGATAGAATTCAACAGAATCCTACTCAACCAACTTTTCAGTTTTCTTCAGGTATCTAAGTCTTATTTTATATTCATTGGATGTAGCTAATCAATTTTTATTACTAAATTTTATTGTTGATACTTTCTACTCATGTAAAAACAAATGAATAAAATATGCAGTCAACCAATCTTACTAGGTGAATACTTCATTTAAGAATAATAATAATAATAATAATTTTTTTTAATGGAACTATGATTTAACCATGCGTGGATATTCAGTTTCTAAGTATAAATTTTCTTGAAGTGAATTCTGTTTAAACAGTCAACTTATTATCTCTCTAGCTGTTATATAACTGTTTTTAGAATTCGCTAAGCTATCGGTTTAAATTTGATTCACGTTTTTTGGAAACAAATAATTATTTATGTTAGTGAAGGTATAACAATGGAAACTCTTGACCTTGAAATAGTACTATGCTGTCTACTATGTTTTTTTAAATCTTCCGTTTGTTAATAGATAAATATTTCCTTTTTTTCTACAACCTAGTAAGTATTCCATAATCTATTTTTCGATTTAGGCTTTACAGCTGATGATAGCCTACCGCCGAAATCGAAGTCCGAATCATCTACTGTAAAATCCACAAATACTAGTGCCATTACGACTTGTGGTGGTAATGCTAATATACCTTCAGTAACCAGTAGTCGATCATCGACGTCATCATCATCAGCTTACTCTTTATTGGATTCGAGAGCGAATCTGCTGGTGCGTTTATTACTATTTCTATCAGTCATAATTTTATAAGTATTCTCACTGAACAAATTAACTTCCTGTATTTCCATTATTTTGTTTGTTACTGATGGTTTCCAGTATGTGATACGGGTCGTTATGATTTATATTTGATCTTTTTGGTGGAGTTTTGTTCTCTGAGCTGGATGGTCGTCCACGACCAAAATCATCCACCTAAGCTATAAATCTTCTCCACCATCTCAATATTTGATCTTTCCTTTCGTGCAATATCAATTATCAAGGATTATATACCAGCTAACCTTGGGCTGGTTTCAGATTGATCAAGAATTATCTGATACCGTAAGAATGCTCACCGTTGCATCTCAATTGGTTGGAAGCTGTGGTAAATATTTAGTAAATACTCTGAGATGTGTAGTTTGTATCAGTGTGATCGCACTGTGGTACTTCTAAAAATATCAAGCAATAGCTTAATAATCGGAGAATTCAACTTTTAAACACAAAGTTCCACGTCCTAACCCCACTCTACACACTTCACTTTGGGGAATCGGGTCGTATCACTGGCCATCATACTTAAAATGTGGCCCAAGTCAAGTACACTAATGTGTACTTGGTGAATAAGTTAGTAGAAAATATACGGCTTAAAAAGTGAATATTAGTTTTTACTATCTACATAAAATTATTTTGTCTTGAAGATGAATGATACATCTATGGTTAACAGTTTGTTCACGTAAAAAGCGAATGGTTTTGGGTATGGTGCTTTTTCTGTTGTTGATATTTGAGAATTCTAATCAGTCTTTGTTGGCGTACATAAATCTTGTGCGGGTCGCCTCTATACAGCCTATGAATACATATAAATGAGGAATAAATTAGTTAACTCTTCATATTTGGTGCATATACGTGGTACGTAGACATATGCATATGATTTACTAGATGGATTTTATAATCTTAAGCGATTTCCAAGTGGTTAATGGATTCGGCTTCCATCAGTTAGGTCGAAGGTTCGAACCCAACTCCTGACAAAATATAGTGTCATTTTATTAAAATCAAATAAGAAAGTGAATTTTCCATATCTAATCTCAATGTTTTCACTCGATTGATTAAACCAACATTTCCATCATCAGTTCAAAATAAACATTACATAACATTTATTTTACCATTAGTCTTCATATTCATTCATGTATCACAAATATTTATTAACAGTGTTAATTATACTGATGACATTCCTGACCGTTTATGTAAATTAAAGTCTTAATTTTTAGTGAACTTAATCACTCTCAATCTTTTATTTGATATCATTACTTACAGAAAGAATTGAAGCGTTTAATTCATGCTCAGTGTTCAAGCAAACTATCAAATGATGGTGAGTCAGAGGAAGCAAAGGCTAATGTGATTGAAGGAGCAATCAATAAATTAATATCTCTAGTACATCCTATAGCCTTATTTTCATTCTTATTCGAATGTGGTTTTCTTCAAGTGAAGTCGTTTTCAGTAAGTTTTGTTGTTATACACTATGAGTTATCTGTTTTTTTGAAGATAGTCTATATTATGGAGTAATTTTAGTTAGTCGGTTGTAGTGTTAGCCAGCCCCTTCAGATGAGTGACGTACAACTATCATCCACTGACATTAACGATATCTGCCTGACAGTCCTGACCTGGTTGAACTCCACTAGTTAAGCGGTTTCTCAATTGTAGAATACTGAGGATTCATCTGAAAGTCCGTAAGAACTAGTGAACTAGTAATTGTTATGGGAATAGAATGTTTGTAGTTATTGTTTAAGATAGAAAACGAGTTTGGATCACAGAATGACTTCAGTTAAATGACTAATGTTAGCTAGGGAGGTCTTGGTGACTGTTTCATCCTAATCTGGGACAAGTTTACATGAATATATATATATATATATATATATATATATATATATATATGACTAAACTGTGGTTCAGTAGTTTAATGGTTCGAATTTTAACCACTAAGTCGTAAGTTTAAACTCTTATGTCTATTTCGGTTTGGGCGACCTACTGAGTAGCATATCGCTAACTCTCATATTTAAAGTGTGGTCAGATGTCAATTACACGAACCTGCATTCAGCACATGAGGTGATATATATAATTTGTTTTTAAAAGTAATAAAATATGAACTTGATATTTCTTTTCAATCATTTTGTCGTACTTTAGCTAACTGCTAATCTCACTTTTCTTTCTGTCTCTCTCTCTTGGGTAGCGGTAATTCAATGTAATATATTTGCGATTAGCTAATTCTATTTTTCGATAAAAGTTTGTAGTTATCATTAACAGCACAGAATGCACAAGTTTAATCTAAATATAAGAATAACTCAGATGTATGATGATAAACTACTAGTTGCTTGTATCCTTACTTTGCATACACATTGAATATGGAGCATTTTTCTGAAACGTAAGGTAGTCATCTATGGTTATTTTTTTAAAACTTTTTACCAGAACAATGATCGTAAATATTTATTTTGACTACCGATAATTTATTTCTTAATTTCTCAACCCCCCCCCCCAGTTGGTGTTAGATTCAATCAAGAAGAGTTTCAATGGAATTACTGTTGGGCAGTTGTCTTATGTATGCAGCTTATTTCAATTTCTAAGTACTTTAACATCACAATTGTCAGTATTAAATGATTCTAAAAGCACAAAACCAATTAATACTTCCAAATCATATACTGACACTGTAGAACCTGTAAAACGTGCTGGGAAGCATAGAACACGTCATGCTGCTGGTAAAGGACGCACCGTTTGTTCTACAGAAACTACGAAACAGTCTAATAACAGTACTGAGACAACTACTCCAAAGGAAAAGAAAAGTATCTGTCTTTTAGATACAGCAGTTTTGGACTCAACTTTACAAGATACTCTTGTGTCTTCTGTAAATTTTACGATTGGTAATCACACGAATACGAGTGGCGATAAAAATCTGACATCTAAAGAGGTAAGATTAACTTAAGCTAGGTTACTTTTACAGTACATCTTATCAATACCATTTATTAATGTATGTGTGTTTCTTTGTGTCAACCGATTTCATCATTACCGATGTTGTACACATGTTTTCATCAGACTTAACCAATGTATGATAAACGTGACTTTTACCATGATTTGATACCAGTCAACGAAATATTGGAAGCAAGGTAGCAGTAAACAGTTGCTTTGTCTTTTTTTGAACACACATCTACATTAAACCCAAGATCTTGCTTTCCACTCTATAGTATGGTAATAAGCTGTACTTCCAACTCAATCGTCAGCTGTCCACTTATATCGCTTGTAAGTTTCACTTAAATAAACCCTACTGAATTCGGAGGCTGTCAGAAGTATATTTCGGATTCTTGAGATACATAATGTGAAATACACATGTGGTTCTATTTTTCATGAAGGTTAGTATGAAAGATGATGGAATCATCAACAAACAATCGACGTTATACAAAGACAACGAGAAAAAACGACTAGTTCAATTGAGAAATAACTAATCGACTGTTTTTGTTGATTCTAATTTTCTTTTTTTTTAAATTGAAGTTGATTTGTGTTATATGTACTGGGTCAACTGAGTCCCTATTGAAAATCAGAACACATAAAATATATGTTTTGTCATAGTATTGTATTCGAGTGTACTCACCCATGACCTCCATCTGTAATCGAATCCAGAGCCATAAAGTTTCGTTGCTTGTTGATTGTTTGTTTCGAAATCTAGTGATTTGTAGTTCATGTGGATTATCGTTGGCGAAGTTTCGTTCTTCGAGTAGGATAGCTTAATCGCGAAGCTTTCATTGTTCTTCTGAACAACATCAGCACAAACTCCAGGTAAAAGTGAGTTATTTAAATGTTTCCACATATAACTGACAACTTATCCCGTCGAACTTGGCTGCTCATTGTTGACCTTTAATCGTCTGGATACCGATTTTGATTGTTTCTTTTTTAACTTGATTCTGGATCCTATCTTTATCCCTGATTTCTCCAAATGCGTGATAAATTAGATCAATTTCGATGTTTTTTTATTGCTGATTGATGTGAGTGCTAGACTTCTAAAAGCTATATTTTATATTACTCCTGTCCAAAGTTTCAACATTCTTACAGTCCAATATGTGTCCACAACTTTCCACGTGCAATAATATTAGAGAAACTACATCGTTGGGTTCGACGGTTAGTGAGTGTTAATACGGACAGAGATGAAGAGGACACCCAATTTATCCGATGTTGTGTTTCTCGCAGTTGGAATAGTTTTTTTTGTAGGTGATGTTCGGCTTTACTTTTGTATTTTCGTCCTTTGGTTTGTATAAGATTGGTTATATTCAACTTCATGATTTACCATTCAAACTCCACCAATAACGCGATGTCATCTAATACCATTAGAAGGTATTTGGTATCTTATCCCCAACGTAGTTAAACTCTACCGGTCAGTACTTCTCACTAGAACTTTAGTCACTAGTTCATTTTTGTATTGGTTGTTTGAATCTTCCCATTGATGTTTAGGACTGCAATTCATCAGTCTCATATTGGCATATGTGCACTCTGTGCGGATTGCTTTGATATTGCCTGAAGTCACAAGCACTATAGGCAGAGATGGATGGTGGCTAGCAGTGGAATCCAGGACGTGCATTTCGTTATATTTAAGGCTCGTCAACTGGATGTACCTGCGTCCCAGAGTTGATGTTCACTCCGGAACTTGAACCCAGTACCGTTCGCTTCAAAAGTCGTCGCGTTATCCACTTAGCTGCTTAGTCACTAGTGAACACAATATTGATATTTGATCGAGACGTGGGCGTGAAAATTTCACTTGGAGTTTTTTTGTCAGAGATCAAATTCACTTTAAACGAACATACATTATAACGACAGTTAATTGCTGTCTGAAATATTATAGATAATTATAACTTGTCCAAGTGTATCTGTGTCGATAGTTGATCTTTTTTAATGTTATTTTGTTTGTGTATTTCATGTTTTCCCTTCTTTTCAGTTATCATCTATGTATTCACATTCGTTACATACTGGGCATAATTTGCTAATAACAAGTTTACAGATAATGTATAAATTATGCTATCATATTCGATTTGAGCTTGGTCTACCTAATTGGAATGATGTGTATATTAATGAATCATTTGTATCAGGGCCATCAACTATAGAAAATATTGGATCATTAACACTGTTGTGTCCCAATCGTTTAATGAAAGAGAATTATTTGCCGTTCAACTTTACTTCAAATCTCTTAGCTCGTAGGCGATTGGCTAATAGTCTCAGATTAGCTACAGTTATTTACGGTAAACAGTTTGACCTATTGAATGAAGTTGCAACGAAATGTAATTCTAATAAATGTATAGAATTGAATCAAGTAAGTTGTGGAAAGGATCATTTTAACTAATGTTTAAGGTGTTATTGTATTCTGAATTTGAATTATTTTCACGGTGATACTACTACTACTACTACCACTAGTGGTTGCAAATTTTAAGCCTCTGAGTTGTACAAATATTCACTAAAGGGTTAAGGTTCATTATTAGAATGATGCTAATATTTATTCGGGATTGTTCAATAGAACATTTCATAAAGCGTTTACAAAACCAAAGGTTAGATCATAATATCACCACTACGGGATTTGAATCGACAAGTGCATCTCTGTGCTAATGTGGTGTGGCAACTCGAACTGATGTACGTACGTACGAAGTTCTACGTTGTTACTGACTGACTGACTGACTGATCAGGTTATATAGTTTTGTCACTGAATAGAATAAAAGTGGTACGAAAATTTATGTCCCAATGAGTATTGATTAAGATTGTATACATTTAATTATTTTTGTTGTTATTTAGCTCTCTAATTTGGGGAATGTAAACAAATATTCGTTAGTTATAAAAAATTCTTTCTTCTAAAAAATTCGTACGTTGACTGTTTGTCATATACTTTTATGGTGTATGCTACTTATGTATGTCCATATAAGTAGTATGTAAAACCAATCTGAAGTAGAAAACCTGACAGCAGAAGCCTAAGAAGGTCGCGTTGAAGAGAATAGAAGAGAAAATAGAAATAATTTGTGAAATTAAAGAATCGTACAGAATGTTAGGAACAAGTGATGGAAATTAGCAAATGAAGTATTCAGTGTATGGTTCTTATATTTTATCAAGATACTCTGTAATTTGTATTAAAATACATTAGTTGTCCCCACCTGTGTTCTCGTTCATTACACTTCTACTGTTTAATATCTCATGACCACGATACTCCACTTGACTCTTCCTAAATCTCTAACTATAATTTATGGATGAATCAATCAGATTTAAGATAACGGGTGTTGGATTTTAGTGCTAAATTCATCCACTCATTTGGCTAAATACTATTTCGGCATTATAACTGGTGTCCGTTCGTGATGAAAATCCTAAATCTAATTCCTAACCCTAACCATCAACTGTAAATCATAACTTTAATTCCTCACACTGCTTTATAACCCTCATTTAGTCCTAGTTAGTAGGTGGACATTGTAAAGGTCATTTTAGCGCTACTTATAGGTCGTCCATAAATTATAGCCACCTCTTCAACTATCTTCCTGGTTCGTCCGCTAACATTGATTGGTTGAAAATTTACTAATCCTGATGTTCAGATTTGAGCCTTATCAGAACATGCAATGATTGGAGCTCTAACGTGCTAACACTAACTGCGATCATTGATGATTAAAATCACAACCTTCCACATGTTCCAGGTTAAATTTTCACATTGTCATATATGAGCGATGTATAGTAGTATATTAATTCAAAGTTTTTCTGTTACTGTTGCATATGCTATTATTACCCACTAAAATAATTATTTTTTCCTCTGATTTTTTCTCCGATGGCTATTTTAGTCACTAGGCATTCTTTTACCATCTTAGATGTTAAATTCTTACTCTCAATCTAATACAGACAAGTCGTCAGGATTTTCTATACTTTATGTGTTTTTAACAAGATGAAACTGTGTTTTTAAGGTTGTAGAATGTTTAGATATGGAATTTGTAGTCCATGTAAAAACTAATATATAGATAAATTACTACTTTGAAAAGTGTATTTATACGTAGAATTGTAGATCAGGCTTTTTTTCAATACTTAGGACACTTGTTTTTCGATAGTTTTATTTCCCGTTTCACACCGATAGGTAATAATGTCTGGGCATCTGGGTAATATTACCAGTCCTTACACAAAGGCTATGGTTTAAAGTCGAATTTTCAAGACATACTTGTTGACAATAAGCTGAAAACCTTTGATCAACACTCACTTTATAATGAATTTTTTAATTGATTCTATCCCGTTAAAGTTTAATTAGCCTTCGTTCAACACTGAGGTACGCATATTTTCTAACTTGTTCTATTTATTTTACTACAAACAGTCGGACAATATAGTGAAAACCTCATATACTCAAGTTAGATGCATCTATTTAAATTTCTGTTACGATGTCGATTATAATGTTAACATTTTAAACAAATAATTTTTGTATTGTCCCAACATACTGTGAATATATTCTGGAGTTGTATTTACTCTTATTTTATTTCTGTTTTCTTATCTGCCATTTACAGTTTAATTCAAATTTATCTCAATGTTTCTATCAAATATTAACATATCAGTATGAATTAACTGTTTATCAGTTGACAACTAAAAACGACCATTCATCTGATGACGGCAGTATCAAATCATCTAATGCCACAACCTCAACAGTAAATGAAACAAAATCAACTACTGCCAACACTACACCTGAATTTGCTAAACATCTAGCTAATCGTTTGAAATTATTTCAAGCATGTTATCTGTTAAAACATATTTATGAATTGTGTACATCATTAGTAAAACAATTGTTTAATTTACAAGAGAAAATTTGTTATTCAAATGATTTTGATCTAGAGCCTACAATGTACAAAGAAAGTCATTATGGTCTACAACTTATTGCTACTATGCATTACGATCCTATTTTCACTGCTTTGCATATTGACTTGATTTGTAATAATGAGGAAGTAGAGAAAATGTCATTATCAGTTGCACAATATTTAGCATATCTTTGTTGCATACATCGAACTATGTCAACATCTAAGTTATCATCACCTTGCAAAATAAATAATGCTGAAGGTCAGGTGAAAAAGATTTTAGATTCATGTCAGTTGAAAAAATTGATAAGTCGTTCGTTGGAAGACAGGCTTGTTTATATTGTATGTTATATGGCTAGATGCCTTTCAAATTCAGGTAATTTGTTGCTTTATTCAATTTAATTCACTTTTAATTGGGTTTATTCATGTTCAATTTGTTTTCATTTACTCTTTTGTTGTTTGTCAAATAATTGAGGTGTAAGACGTTAGGAGTGGTTAGTGCTAATCGAATTTCAAATGTAGTAAGGCTTCTTTTTAAAGAAATGATATTTTAATAACACTGTTTGATCAACCAATGATTCTTACTATCCATCATACAAAAGGTTCATTGTTTATTTATTGGTTAGCGCAATTCCTTTAATAGGTCAAGTCATAAGTTTGAACCCTGTTTTATCTATTTGGGCTTGCGAAATCTGATTGTATCTCCATCCTTTACACAAAGCGTAGCTCGAATCCAACTGCATGGATCTGTACTTTTATACATAATTCTATCATCTTATATTTTTAATCTATAAAGCCAATAAAGAGATAAAAATCATAAATCGACAGGGAATATGATGCAATTGATTATATCTTTTTGCCTTAGAAGTATACTTAATTAATGATGACTTATTTACTATACCTTGTCTACATCGTTGTTTCTTCTTTTTATCTTTCTTATAGGCAAAAGTCCCCTTGAATCTCGTGTCTGTTCATATGTCTGTCGTGAAGTTATGGGATTTCTAGAAGTTGTATTAGGTAATCACCGCATCCTCAAGCAATTTTTATTATCACCATCGTCGTCGTCATCTATTGATGTGAATAAAAATAATAAAAATATTACTATGAATGAAAATTCGTCAAGTGTTGCTTCTCACGATTCAACTACACAATCAATATTAACGATAATTCAAAGAACTATCTTCAATAAAGAGCTTTTCATGAGTTTATTCTCATCATCATCTATGTCTCGTATTCCACATCAAGATGTTTATCTACTGAATGGTATACGAATATCAAATGGACCTCCTTCACTTACTTACCAAATGTCATCCTTACGTTTATTGTGTGTTCTTCTTATGCGTGGTAAGCTGATGTAAAAATGTGAATGTTTAATCATCACATCATACTTCCAATTATATTTTTTAGTTATTAGGTTATATCTGTATTTTAGAATCCTTTTCAAACTGAGAAAAATGCAGACAGTATAGTGTACAATTAATTTATTCTTAATTATTTGTGACTTTTTATTCCATTATTATATAACATAGAGCTTGACTATTTCTACTTTACTAACAAGTTATGTATGTATGCGAGGTAGAAGTTTAAAAAGATTAAAGATGCATATGTATAGTGATCTTGAGTATTTTTTCTGTTAATGTTGTTTCTTCACTAAAACTATCTCTTATTATACCAATCGGGATTTGAAGACTTTTTAAATCATGTGTGATTAAGTAGCAGTAAAACTTACTCCGTAGCCACGTATTTATATTCAATTATGTGAAAAAGTTGGTGGTTCTGACATTAATTTGGTTATCAAAATGTTTGTAAATGATCGATATCGTAGTGGTTAAGGGATTTGACTTCCAGCCGTTAAATTAGAAGCTCGAAACCCATTCCACCTACTTCATTTTGGACCACCGAGTTGTACTACAAACCCTCTCACTCTGAGTGTATCTCGGAACCACCTACACTAATTTGCACATGGTAAATGAGTTAAAATGAAAGTAATTTTCATTAAACCGATGCTCTCTATTTAACCTGTTTACCAGGTACATATTCATGTACTTGACTTCGAGCCACACTGTAATTTGTAGGACTGGTTATATTAATTGGTTGCTTAAATTGAAGTAAATGATGCGAATTTCGAGCTTGCAACTTGGTGACTGAGAGTCGAATGCCCGCCGTCCTGTTGCATTGTCTACTGTCCAAAGAAATGATACAAGTTAATTAAAGTTATTAATATGAAATATTGAATTTCAACTCTTTTTAATTATATATTTCATGACCAACGACAAGTATTGTTGTCTCTTACTCAGTTGAAGCCCTTTTCTAAAAGAACTTTTGTTCTGAAATTTAAATTAATGGCTATTTTGTAACTTTATAAAGTTTATTTCATTGCTAATTTTCTTTACAGCTATCAATGCCTCTTCAAAAACTCGTTGCAATTTCACTGAACTTGTAAAATTAGCACTAGAATCGTGTATATTTAGTCCGTGGAAATCACTAGTATCTGAAACTAATAAGACAAAAACATTATCTTCTTATTGGCTAGAAAATATACTACCCAATATGGAGTTATTTGATCAAAATAACGATACTGAACTATGGTTTACTGATTTATTAAATAATCATAACTATTTACTATCACATAATCAAGATTCATTTCTATTGTCATTTGAAACTGAAGAAGATCTACTAACAAATGATGTATTTAATAGTAAGATAAATAATATTAATACTGCCTATCGAAATTTGAATTGTGAAGATCATGTTAACGTCAACTGGTTACTTGATGCAAATGTAGCCTCGATGGTGAATAATACTACACATCTGATTAATGAATGGAAACAGAAACGATGCTTATATTACATAGCTTTGTATTTTGAACGTTTCACAAGACTTTTAACATCTAATTGGACAGATGATGTTAGTTTACGCGAAAAAGTGAGTTGAAAGTTTGTTTTTTTTCCAAAGAGAATTATTATCGTCATCGAGAGGAAATTTCCAGTGTTGATCAATTTACTGGAATGGTTTAATTTCATAGTTTACGCCACGAACTAATCATAGTTAGAAAACCATTCAAAACTCAGAAACACTGGATAGCTGTTTCGTCTCATTATGGGACTTCTTAGCAATCCACACCCACAAACTAATTGAGAATTGAGCATAGGGCTAGATACATAGTGAAGTGAAAACGTTTGAGTTGGTTCGACATTTACTCTGAATTTCCTTTTTATAGTAAAAAAATGGTCATGTACATTTCATGCATTTTCTACCCCAGATTTAATTGGAAATATTTTATTTCTGTAAAATGTTTCCACTATTTTTATTGAGTACATGGATTGTGGCTAACTTTGGAACTTTTGAACTCGATTCCAGTGCCTCTTTTGCCCTAAACACTCATTGTTTCATTTACTAGGCTTCTGTGCAAAGGTAGTCATCAATGGATTTAACGTTTATATCCTTATTGGTAAGGGTTTGGATTGTCCACTTGTTGATATTCTTGATTGTATTTTGATGAGTCGTTATTGGCATATTTGGGTCCTCTCTTGTTACATATTTTTTTCTAATTCAGCTAGCTGATCTAGGAAAAGCCAAAAAATCCCAGTTTTTTAAGTACCTGTTGACATGCTTTATCAAACAAATATTTCATACTTATTGGAGGCATAAAGATCAAGGATATATCATAAATGTCTCTGATGTTGTCCTAAAGTTTTTTTTTTTCATTTAAGAAGATTACATGATAATCAATCGGTTGAATTCGCGTTTCAAGTTGACTTGTTTTTATTCTGACTGAGGTTTTTCACTCCATCCAATAGTCGTATACATCTATGGAAACGTTTTTACTATTGGCTAGTTACTTATAGTACTTAGATATCATGAAGAAGTAGGTATAAAATAACACTCAGTTATCTATGTTTATTCAGTTGATCAAATAGTTGTCGGATATAACTGTTTTCTATTTATGCCTAACTTTAGCATTATCGATTATATCACTATTTGAGTTTTTTATGTATGGTGTTGTTTTTTTTCTTTTTAGTATTGTAATCACTTACTAACTTCAGCTATATCTATCTGGCGTTCTCGTGTAACTTCAAAAAGTAGTAGGAATAATACTGTTACTACTACTAAGTGTTCACAGTCACCCTCTTCATCTACGTCTATTACTTCTGCCTCTCAAGAGGAACTCGAAAACGTTAAACAGTCTGCAACAATTGAACATTTGTATGATTTGACATTTCTACCGTATGCTATTACATCGTTACATTGTTTGTCATTTGGTTTTACCACAGGTTCTGTACATAGTAAATTATTCGGTTTCTTTACATATTGTGCTAACATTTGCTATGAGTTAATAATGAAACCAGAGATGAATAAAGAAGTGGGCGAATCAGTATGTCTAAATGATATTAATTTACTGCTTTCAATGAGCTTACAACATTATAAACAGGTAGATTTCATTGTAGTTACACTTACAGTTCGTTTTTAATCAGTAGAGCTAGATCCGTTTTCGTTTTTTTTATATGATTTATGTCATATGTGTTATTATATACGGTTGTCCAAGCCTAATGCTGATACATGTTTTTTTCTAAATATGTGCTCAAACGAGCTACTTGTATGAAAAAAATCGAGAGTGAGTGGGAATCTTTTATTAGCTAACCAAATTTAGAACATATTCACTATTCATTCATCAATACAGATACATATCCCTCGGAAAATTGAGCCACACTGTCAACTAGTGGCATATGTTTATTTTCTGAGAAAGTGGAGCCAAATATTGACTGATAGTTTTCATCTGTTAGCATTTCTCACTTATTATTTGACTTGTGTTTGATTTGTGGAGCTTATCAAAATGTTCTCGTTCTGCTCTAGTCGTCTAGAAATTAACGGTAGCTAAAATTGTTATTTTAATTTTATTTATCTGTCTTATTTATCACTATTGGATCGTGTCATCCGAGTGAAAATCAGATTTTTTCGTTAGTTAAATTGTCAGAGTCTACAGATCTGTTTAATTAGCCATAGTTAGAGTTGTTTTCCAATGACATGCGCTCTGCTTCGTTAGTACTCAATGAAATAGTAGTTTAGTGATTAAGACCGCTGATTTTCAATCACTAGGCTATGCGCTCAAACCTTCTCCACGTTAATCAGTTTGAACAACAGAGTAGTATCACTAATCCTCTGTATATTATAAAGATTGCGAACATAAACCTTCACATGGTAATCAATTTATATGTTTGTATTAGTGTATGGATTCTGACTAGTTTCTGTTTCTCGTATTGTTTAATTTTGTGATCTACATAAAGTTCTGAAATCTGCTTTGATGTTATATTCATTCGATATACTACTGTCGTAAGAAAGGTTTAACTTGAATATATATAGAAAAGGGAATTAAAGGATGAATAAATGAAATCATCGACTGAGATAATTGAAACACATTTTACCTATGCCCCGATCACTGCCTACAACATTTCGTAATGTTTTTTAGTGTAAGATTTGGTTTGAAGTGAGCTTAGTGCAGCCAAGTCATGAAATCATTGGTGTCATATTTCTGGAGACGATTCGGTTGACCTAAGGTAATTTTCTAGTCACGATCGACTGAGATTCTACTATAATTAGTAATTGATGCGAACCCAATAGTGGTGTTCTTGTTATATGGCGCTTAAACGGCCAGCTCAAACTATAAAACCCACGAAGGCAAGAGTTCAACAAAAAGCTTGAGATTCAACTCTGAATCCGCAATAAAAAACATTGCCTTGAGAGAGAGGAAAACAAGCAAACTAAAAGTGTTAAAAAACAGTCAGAAAGCATCAAAGGTCATGCGGTGATCTGAATAAAGAAATTTTACTATTAGTTATCATGGCTGAAAAGAAGCCAACATTTATTAACAGAAGCATAATAACTTGCGATCTTTTTAACGATCGACTATTTAGAAAGCCATATTGTTAGGTGTCGAGTAATTGGTTTGGTTCACGTGATTATCGTAGTTAGGGGTTTGTGACGTTAAATGATATGGCTCAGAATCGACCATAACCGTGTACATGCACTCACTCTCATTACCTTACCGTAGTTTCTGGTTAAGTGTCTAATGCTTCTTAGTTTTCAATAATGTAATTGGTTAGAAAACTTTTAAATGTTTGGTTTTGAATACTTTTAAAGCTAGATGACCTTTACCTATTCATCACTTGTGATTAAACTAAACGTCGTGGAGACGGTTCTCACCCTAAAAAATTGTAAAAATTTTCAGTCTATATATTTTTGGTTGATGGTTTGTTTTAATTTTAGGGCGTAAGTAATACAATAATCTTTTTTTTTCTGTACAAATTTTCCGTTGTTTTTCTAGGCTTCATTAATCTGTAGTTTGCAATCAATTTATTTCTATATTTCTACAATGATTGTTGTATTAAATCCGAATAGTCAACCAAAACCCACTGATAATATTTATTCATCGTTGATGAACGCTACTTCTTCCAGTGTCCGATTAGACTATTGGCCAAATTTTGTTTACGCACAACCTGGTTTATTTTCAAATACTTTTATGAATAATGATGAATCTGAGAATTCGGATGCGTTGCCTAATTATTTAGCTAAAAGTTTCTATTCAAAAACGCGAGCTTTCTCTCATTTATTAAGTTTTCATTTTACTCATAACTGTAAAAGTGCATTTCGAAAAGTAAGTGAAAGTTGCAAATTTCCTTAAATAAATTATAATGTTTTGAAAATTCTTTAGTATTATTCACTCGCTCTAACGGGACTCTTTTCATATTTTTAGTTTTTTCTCTCGTTGTGAACATTCCTCGCGTATCATCGAACGGATGGGTGATCAATGCTGAAGTAGGGTATCGAGTACTGAGCATAGTTAACAAATCAGCCAGTGAGATTGTAATTATTTCCTAATGAGGCGTTTAAAGCATGCGTTAGGTATTTTTAACTACCAGAGTATGGTTGCTAACGTAGAATTAAGCGTAAAATTAAGCTGGAATAAAACTAGAACCTGGCTAAACCAAAAACATAGAACTTCATCAAGTTATTACTTTTGGTCTGACTTACGTTGGTAGATGCAGACTACCCTGTTGTGAGGCTCTTATGATAACTGTGCTCAGTGGTTAGAGACTGTGTATCTTGACTCGTACCCTGTCACACAGTCACATATGCATTCACTTTTGAGTTTTCTTTAGATCATGTGTTGCAGTATTTCCTCATATATGCGTTTTCATTCCGTCTTTTCCTACTATATTCTCAATATGTGGTCATCTTCATTATATTTTACTACGTCATTTCGATGTCTTTCACTGTTATTCTTTCCAATTTGATCTCATCGTGATACTATGGTATAACAACATGAACTAACTCACATCTCTACCAGTTTCTATGTTCATCTTGTCAGTCTATCTTTAGAGTACTTACAGTTAAAAGCTTTGTTTGATAATGTATTGGCAAACATCTTACTAACGCTTTATTCATTATCCTCTGTACATTTTAACAACCTGTTTATAAACTTAGTTTCATCAACTTGGCTATTTTCTTTTATACTATCTATATTTTTCATTTACTGGTCATAAGTGGTCATAGTGGTTAAGACATTTGACTTTCAGTTTTTAGTTCTCATATTCAAACCTCATTCCACTTACTCTTATTTGATCAATCATGTAGTATTATTAGTCATCACACGCTAAATGTGGGTCATATTCGAGTACCTGGTGGACAAATTAGAAAAAAAAGTACTAAATCCAAAGTTAGTCGAACCTTGGTTTATAAAGTGATCTTTCAATTCGTAATGCAATGATTAAATACTTAGTAATTTATCATGTGAATTGTGTAAATAATTTAATTCAACTAGTAATATTGTATATAGAACTTAATGTATTCTATTCAATGTTCAATTCAACAGTTGAAATACTTGGAGGAGTTTTATTTACGTTATATTCCTAATGTGTGTATAATTATTATTTGTTCATGAAGAATGTACAAATTTAGACTTTTTTGTATACTACTCCGTTATTCATATATTTTGTATGTTTTATTATGTATTTTCGATTTTTTGTATTAAATAGCATTGGAATCAGTTAGGATTATGGAATGTTAAATCTCATTTACCAAATGTTTCTGCTCAATCAAATGAATTTTTAAAAACAAAGTTGACTTATGAAATTGATCAATTATCTGACAACGATACAAGTGATGTTTGTGATGATTGTTTAGAAGATGAGGTGTATTCTTCATTCCCAGGTCCATTGATTAACGATTCAATGTGTACTTATGTTGCAACTCAGAAGATGTTTATTGATCAACATTGGTATCATTGTTTCACGTGTAATTTACAAGAATCTCACGGTGTTTGTTCTGTATGCGCTAAAGTTTGTCATTCAGGGCATGATTTAAGTTATGCTAAATTTAGTGGATTCTTTTGTGATTGTGGCGCTGGTCAAAATGGTGATTCGTTTTGTCAAGCGATGACATCACGTGTTATATCTAATAAAGATTCATTTCCAGTGAATATGATAAAAGATAGAAATAATATATTTCTACAGTATATGAATGATAAGGAATTGAATTATTATCTTCCGTGGTTGACAGGTAACTGCTTGTTTTCCCTACTTAATCTGTTCATATTTAAACGTATATTTAGTAATCGTTTCTGGAATGTTGTCATTTAATTATGCGCGCGAAAGTGAGAGTAATAGATTTTCTATATGTGAAAATAAATCCTTTTGTTAAGACATTGACAAAATGTCTTGACAGCGTGGACAGATGTATATATGTGCCTTGTTCTACGTGATAGTTGACTGACATTGACAAAACTAAAAACAAATATATCTGTTTTAATGTTTTTGAGCTCTTTGGGCTTTCATTGTCATTGTGGATGACATCATGTATGTATAAGCCTACTTCTACAAAAGCTTCGATGAAAGCTATACAATTGAATCATATAGAGTTCAGAAAACTCATCAACATGAAAAGCACTCGTCTGAGTTGAAAATTTTGTTCATTATTTCGACATCATTAGACATCAAGATTTCATTTATTGCCCTGCTATCGTCCGCATATTATTGGTTTTACTGGCTGATACTGTACTGTAAGCACACAGTATTACTGAATAACTTTTGAAAATGTAATTTTTTGATTGTTTACTAATGTTTGTTTGTAATACTTGAACTATCACACCTAACAATAGATTTGTGATAAAGTTGATTAAAATAGGAAGAGCTGTGCTTTATGCACAGCGACGATGATTCAGTTGTTATCACTATCTTTAAACATCGACTTCGGTGGCTTGTACATATCATGCGAATGTCATCTCAGAGAATTCCACGTCGTGTGTTATTTGCCGACGCTGGGACCGGTTGGAAAATGTGGAGTGGTGGTCAGTGTATGACATGGTGTCGTTGCATGAAAGAAAGTTGTACATTACTGGTTTCTGTTTTTCCTTCACGAGTTCCTCGTTGGGTTCCGAGAGATCGTGCAAGACAGTGGCTTGAGATGTTATCAGACATTGCTCAGAATAGAAATCAGTGGCGATCCCGCTGTAAATTTCTTCGTACAATTGAGAGTAACGTTTTTAACCGAAAGGATTTTTTCTGGTTGTATTTTTACTAACTGAACTGTTTCTCCCATTGTTATTATTATTATTATTATTATTATTTCACTCGCATTCACTAGTTTCTGTTCATTGTTGCTTTTCTTTTTATCAACCTCACTTTACATTCTCTATCCTTTCACAACCTCATATGTATTTGGTACCCCTTTTGTGGCAATGTTTATATGTAAAGATTTCTGCAAAAAGCATCACTATGTAATAGTTTGTAGTAACAGTGACAATAAATTGACTGAATTTTGATCACTCTTTACTTGTATATATGCACCCTGTGCGAAATGTTTCGATATAACCAGTTTATGATTTCTTAGCATAAGTGAATTTCATATTTTATTCATATGCTTCCAACTGACTAGTCTGAAATAGGAAAAATGCACTTCCTGGATTCTACCTATTTTAGAAAGATCCATTTGCATATTAAATGTATAGATTTTTAAACGTGAAAACGTTCACCCATCATCTGATTGGTTTCCACATAATCAGTCATTAGTGAAAATGGTTGCTTTTAAGTAGTTATTTAGAATAATTAACGGCTTACCTCGCTTGTAAACCATACTTTGTGAAGTTTAAATGAATGAAAGAATGATTACCTACTTTATTTTTTAAAAATTAATTGTAGATGGCTACCATCCATTCATCTTATCACCTGCTTCATCAAAGGAATTTCATGATCCATATCATCATCATTCATCTATCTCCAATGCTAACGCTACTGATGGCCATCGCACATCTATGCATTCAGTAATTGATAGACACGACTCCCGTCTGATTCCTTTGGGTTCTAAATTAGTTAAACGACGCCGTAAAGAATCTTCAAGTCTCATTGAGACACAAGATGATACTGCAAGTATGGGATAGATTTTCTTTCCTAATGTCTGTATCTGATTTATGGTTTTCATCTTTCACATTTATTTTCTCATGTGAAATATTGATTCTTATTTCTGTATGTTTTAACTTCATACATAGGTGAAATGGTTTGCTTCTCACCTTTAAATGATTATAACATAAATCTGATTGTTTAACTGGAAACTGCTTTTTCTTCACTGTGTGTACATATACGATTTCTGAAGACTTTATTTTTTTACAATTTGTCATTTGTTTTGAGTGGAACATGATTAGTGCATTGGCTCTAATATCCTCCTACTGTGTTCATAATGAGCATTTCTTGCTTCACTCGCCTTCAACACTCAACATTTATGTACAAAACAAAATGCAGTTAAATAAATATTTCATTTAGATTGACTTTACAATTGTTCATAATCCATTCATAGTTTTCCATCAATAATATCTACCTTTTTTTCTTACTTTGAATGTACCATGTATTGAATACATGACTCTATACATTTAAGTGTTTGAAAACAATAAGTTTTTTTAATATTTTACTGTTAATCTTAAATAGTCTTTCAAATCATAGATCGGAAATTATTTTCATCTTATTACTATGTAGCTTACTGGGATAAACACTCCTCTTTCAGCTCAACTTATCTTCACTTAACTAAAAGGCTTCTGGATTCGCTGAAATTTACATCTTTTACTGTTCTTTTAATTAAGTTGACATGAAATATGCTTAACTGGAAATTCTTACGCAAAAAACTAACTTTCCGAGATTTACTTTTCACCGTCTGATTATATATTAAGTACGATTTTATTTTATGTTCTTTTTTATCGTTTAATTATTGACAGATAATAAAATTAACACTCGTTCGGTAATGTTAAACGGATCATTTTCTCCCTGTTTGTGTTTCAACGTCATATATTTATTACTATTTTGTGAGTCGTTTCGAAAATGTTAGTAAATCTAACTAATCACTATAAAATATCAAATGGTAAACTAGAAATAGTTATCTATTTTCATTCCATCACACTTATGTTTATCTTCAAGTGAAAATAATAGTTTGATAATTATTTAGATTACACTGTGTAAAAAGTTTGCATGCTAGTTGGCATTGTTTAGAAAACCATAGTTTATGTTACCACCAAGCTATTTAAGTTGTCACAGATCGCTTGTAGGACTGAGATATTCATATTGGTTGATCACTGATTGGTAGCCAATCCAGTATTGGTATATTCTTTTAGTTACGGTCGAATTTTATCGATAAGTTTGCTTTGTCGCTGACTTAACATCTCATGCACTTTTTTTAAAGTCAGGTGGTTGCAGATAGTCTATATAAAATCCTGAACCTTGGTTTTGTGCTAGTTAACACTCACACTAAGGCATACTTAGAATATTGAGGCGACTTGTAGTCTCTGTGGGGTTTTCATGTCCAATGAATAAAAATGTTTACTCCGCGTACAAGCTCTCGTAAGATACCTCTACCTTTTACAGTTTTGTTTTTCGAAATCTGTACTGTATTGAACATAAAACTTTCCACACTTTTTTCCTTTTGTAGTTTCACGCCCACGTTCTGTTCCAGGTATCAATAATTCAGGAGTAAACACGTCTATTTCTTCAGATACTTCATTAAATGCGCATGGAAGCTATCAGTCCATCAACCAAAGTAATATTCGCCCGCTTTGGCGTCCGATAACTTCTGTTGGCGGTACGGATTCGTTTGCTACTAGATCTTCATTAAGTCATCAACAAACTTCATCATCTGTCAGTAATCGACCTAATAATCTCCGACGAACTGGTGCAGTTCGCTTAAGGAAAATCTCTTCAGATGTTTATTCTGGACCAAGGGTGTTGAAAACATTTCAAATGACTCAGCAACAGTCTAAAATATCCATTACTCAGCCGACTCAACAAAATGTTTCACATTCATCTAATCACTTGTCTCATAATATCGATAAATCTTGTAAAGCAAGTGTTATTATACCTATCACTTCGTCAATATCTTCAAGGTTTTCACCTTGTTATGATAATAATGGTGATAGTATTCATAATGAACAAGATATTGGTATACGAATACGAAATATTCATCATTTTTTAAATGTATGTGACAATTTTAATTGTAGTGCAATTAAAAGAAAACGTAAATATTCTAAACGTTTAACTACGAATACTACTACAGTTAATACTTCCACTGGTTCATTAGAAACAGATTCAAATCGATTTCATTATACTCAATTAGTCCCTAATGAGATGAAATTAATTGAGCATGTTCGTAGACAAGTAAGCGTGTATAGTTTAACAGTTTAATTAACAATTGGATCTAGTATTCATACATAGACTTTCATTCTCATAGTAGAAATAACTGTTTTCATTTAAGTATTTATTTACATCCGATACATATCTTTTATCAATAAAAGCTCATTGGCTTATTGTCGTCTTACTTTTTTCCCTTATTACCGTACTTCTAACCTTAGTATTGATCGCTTGATTTATTTTTATGCAAGCAATGATTTGAAAACACCTTAATGTATTTAACTAATTTTTATTCAAGTTATGCGAATTTAAAACATGACTCTACTTCCCATAGTAGTGTCACTATGTATTACATTATAACATAACGCAATGCTGAATATATATCAACCTGTACTTGACCACTGGGTTGCATTCAGTTTATTATTTTTTATTGGGCGAGACTACAATTTATGGACGAACCAATCAGATTTACGATAACAGGTCTTGCATTTTGGCGCAAAATTCATACACCCATTTAGCTAAATGGAATCCTGGTATTATAGCTGATGTCAGTTCGTGACGAAAACCCTAAATCTAATTCCTGACCCCAACCATCAACTATAAATCATAATCCTTATTCTTCAAACTGCTTTATAACCCTCACTTAGCCCTATTAAGTAGGTAGACACTCTCAAGGTCACTTTAGCGTCTCTCAAAGGTCGTCCATAAATTATAGTCTCACCTTTTTATTGTTTTAAAATTATTTGATATTACCGAACAGAATTGATAATCTTAGTATTCACTAATATAATCTTTTTATAAATGTATTTTGTCTAAGTGATATTTTAAATATCACATTGGTTCAATGTGAAATTTAGCTTTTAAATAGTTTGTATTTATTATATCCTACGTGTCTTCTCTTACGGTCTAGTTTTGTCAATAAACATTTCAAGCAAAATGGAATTTATAATGTAGATTAATAGTACTCTTATGAAACAGTGGTGTAATTCATCTGATGACTGGATTAAAATTCATTTAATATTCTCAACATAAACCTTTCCCATCAATAATCTGATGGTACTTAAATTTGTATGTGATTGCCAATAATATCGAATATTGTTGGAATTCACACAATCATCACTTAGTACTTTCGGTCTTGTGTGCGAACATTTAACCTCTAAACCACTGACTTGAAATCCATTGGTATACATGTCTATACTACAAATAATAATCATATGTTCACGAGTAATTGGCTTCAAGATTCAGTTCCTGGACTTCTCTGGAAGGCCATAACTAGTGGAGTTCAACCACGTGAAGTGTAAGACTTACGCACCACAGACTGTGGAACATGGTCATGCAATATCGTGATTTTATCGGAGGTAAACATGTATATAATGGGATCCTGGGTCAGTGGTCTAGAGGGTAACTGTTTGCGCCCATGACATCGTGGTGGTTCGATTCACTTTGTAAGATGGTGAATACGAAGGGTCCACCTAGGGGAATTGGAAAACCCTGATTCGAAATCAATGGTGCACATGGGCTCCAGGATCCTGAAGGAACAAACTGCTTATAAACCAATTGTTGGTAACCGGCTACCATGGGACTACATCCTTTGACGTTTCTCCACTGCTATGTAGATCAGACACTTTGGTTGGAGGCTCCGAGTGTGGCTTCCCAAGAAAATCCTTCGCTTCTGTCTAGGCACCCATGCAGTATCGCAGCCCACTCAAATCAAATGACAATTACTACTAGAAACATTATTCTTGCTTCAATTGAAGTTCAGACAAATCATATTCACATTCATTTGATAACATCCATTTTTATTTGTTTTATATACTACGTCGCATATCTACCCTCTCCTTTTCTCACTTTATGTATACTTATTTTTCAACTTATACTGCAACTGCCTATGGTGAAAACACTATCATATCTAAAGGATCTCGAGTCACTGTCTGATCGAATTTCGGATGCTACCACCGAATAAGGATACTGAAACCACGTATACCATTCAAACTGTCTTACTTTAACGTTCGCACACTAATCCAAGTCTGACAACAGATAGGGTTGGCTGTGTCTTTAGGTGGTCTCAACATCTATGTCTTTTGTCTATCCGAGACCTATATTTAAGACTCTAGTGAAGTACTGCAAATTCACTCTCCATCTGTCGCTTCGAAAAGTTTGTTTCACGTCGTTTATCCGGTTAGTCTGTAACATCTTCGTCTGGTTTTGATGGCGTTGGTGTCTCACTAAGCGCTATTGCTGTGGCATCACTGATCGACTGGATTCCCATTAACAGTCGGTTATATGTTATTAGATCAGAAAGTCCCATCAAAGTGCGAAGAAATCGGCGTGAGAAACGATATCTTTTCATCTTCTCTGTCTATGCTCCGACAGATTGCAGTGCGGATGCGATCAATTATGAGTTTTACCACCAGTTAACAGTTTTTCCACAGAAGGTGCTTTCGACAGATATTATTGTACTAGCCGAAATCTTGAATGTGCAGGTCGGGCGTCAAGGCACAGTAGAGAGTCGTTTAGGTGGCCGATGGGGACTTCTTGGTCACAGGTCAGTTAGTGGGGACCGTGCACTGCAACTGTGCACAGACCTCAACCTGTTTCTGGCTCACACTGACTACCGGCACAGTAATCGCCGACATGCCACCTGGCGTACTCCTTCATCTCAAACCTGGATGCAGATTGATCACTTCGCGATCAGCCACCGTTGTCGTGGTTGTGTACAGAGTTTCTGCTCATTTTGGAGTACCTATCTGAACTCTGATCATGCTCTTGTTTGCATTAATCCGATTTGTGGATTCGTAGATTTGAAATGCTGAGGAAACCTTTACTTGAAAGGAACACCAATTCAATGTTTCTTGGTTCTCAGTGAACTAAAATCGACTCGTGGTTTTAACTATAAAAAAACATCTATTAACCCTACTGATTATTTTTGACAACGTTTTTTTATCGTAATTTATTAAGTTTAAAAGTTATTATATCTCTTATTGCTTTTTATGGACTTTAAACAAATAACTGGATTTTCTAGCTACATATTAACATTGATGCACATCGGTCTTAAAACAACATTTTATATTCAGTGAGGGAAATCCTTATTAAAAATTTGTTCTGAGGACTATTTTTCTGTTGTCTTCAGCAAACAGAAAAATATCACCTGGATTGATTGTAAGCAGAGATGGACGGTGTCTTGCGATGGAATCTAGGATGCGCGTTTCGTCCACTGTAGACTCGTCGTCAGGATGTAGTACATCCCAAGGTTGATGTTCACTCCGAGACGTGAACGCCGTATCGTTCACTTCGAACGCCATCGCGTTATCCACCTAGTCGCCGATTGTACATCAAATCTGGGATGCAGGTAAATCCAGTTGACAAGTCTCATATGAGATAAAATGCGCGTTCCGGATTACACTACTAGTCACCATCCATCTCTGCTTCTAATACTTGTGACTCAATGGCAGTATCGAGGCATTCTGCCCAGGGTGCACACATACCAATATGAGACTGATGAATTGCAATCCTAAACATCAATCGGAAGTCTTAAGCAACCAATACGTAAATGAATCACTATTATACCTTTACTAAGTGTAAGAACGTTATCTTTTGGGGGTATATCTATAAAAAATTTGTACACAAGTAGTGAAAGTTGATGGTCTTCACAGATATTGCTATCTTACTCCGTCAAACTTTCCTATCACATTGATTGCTAATTATTCATTTATTAATTTATGCAATGATAATCTAAATTTGCCACTCGAAGTATTTTCTGCTTCATTTTACATAAAATGCTGAGTGGTAGTCAGATAAAAAGTGACATTTAAAAAAAGTATTAACATCTTTTTTGTATTATCATCCAGATCGATACTGATGAGACCGGTGCATGCCGTTCCCAGTTGACGATGATGTTGTTTACATGTGATATTGTTTCACAAGCAGCTGAAATACTAATGGGATTCGGTAAATCAGAGGCTAAAGGTAAACGTATGTATAACAAAAGTATTTACATATAACATTTTGGTATTAATAAAAATCTATTGCTTTTTCGTCTATATTATTCTTCAGTGTGCTGTGTAGAAAACCCATTCATGAATTTTGATTGCATTTTACAAAAACTGAACATTTATCTAAAATATTTACTAACGGTTTTGTGTTTACCGATTTCAAAAACTTTCTCGTCTATTCTTGTCAACTACTTGTATGAACCTGATTGATTGATAAATCAAGTGGTTGGTATCCCAAGATGTTGAATTGGATCCTGGAGAACCACAGGATCGTTTCAAACACAAACTTTGGGTTGTGTAAATAATACTTCTTACTAAGCCAATCTTTTCACATATCTTTTGTTTGACTTTAATTAAAATTGTCACGCACTGATGTCGAATGCTTCGTTATTGAACTTTTTTTTCAGTGTGAATGCATATTGTTAGCTGTAAGGTAATGTTCATTATATACGTCGGTATCTAAGGTGAACTTATTGATTCTGTTCATTGGAAAACTTTCATTCAATAAATTAAGAAAATACGGGATTTTAAAACGATTGAAGGTATTATCAAGACAGGAAATTTAGAAGATATACTGCGCTATTGCAACTGATCTCATCTAAGGTCTTCAGTCATTAATAACAACTATAACATGAACCTGAAACATATAGTCGTAACCTACCAAGATGACCTAGTTCAATAGTCCATGATTATGTGGAGTCATGTCATATTTTATTTTATCCTCCGTAAACCCTGATTCTATTATCTACACTAGGGACCTGATCACGCCGAAATATATCTATGCAGTGTGCACGTGTTACACATACCCAGCCACCTTGGTCAATAACCACTTGCAGCCTTGTTAACCTACGATTCATCTGGTGTCTTACTAACCGCTCCTGACTTGTTTTCACTGTAGTCTAGTAAATACCAGATGCCTGCAACAAGTTTTATATATACATATGTATCATACTCATTCTCATTTCCATTTAGGTTTACTCAATCACTTTATGAATTGTTCGCGTACAAATGAAGTTGAATTAAAAAGTTCTACCCGTCTGGGTAAATTGAAACGAATGCTTTTAAGTGGACGAGATAATGCACCAGTAATTCGAATGTGTTCAAATATTACGGTTAGTTAGCGGTCTTTATTTCTATGACATGCACTGAGATCTGTAATTCTATAGTTTTTTAAAAACAAAATTCTTGTTAAAATAACTGAGTATTGTTGTTAATTATCATTTTCCAAAAATCTCCAAAAAGTGTAACAAATATGAAACCATTCAATCAGTGTAGTAGTATATAAATATTTCATCTATACTAGATAAACAGTAGTGCTATATATTTATTTTTTAGGAATTATTTTAGCGTAATGTGTAAGTCTTTATCGAAGAACCTTCTGGATTGCTCACACTATCTACCCAGTTGTCCTGTTCAACTAAATAACGGTAACAGTTACATGCAATAGCAGGTTTCGGTTGACCCAATTCACACCTTGGTGGTGGTAATCCTGTGGAATTAGATGACAAGATGTTGATTATTTTCATCCTTTCCCTAGACATATTGTTGTGTCATGAAGTTGGGTTCGGTGTGGCTTTATGTTGATTGCTATTTACAGAACGATTAAGCTAGTTCTTTGGTGAACTCGATAGGATGTTATTTGCCAATCAGTAGCATTTCACCTTTAATGATCTACATGCCAGCATGAGATAGAGATGACAGGACTCTCAGAAGAGCTTTATATTATGAACAGAAGAAAAAGGTTGTAAAGGTACAACTCTGTTTATATCGGAAAATGAAACAAAACTGGAGCACTATGAAGTAAACGCAAAGCATTACCAACCAACCAGATCATTTCAGTGGTTAATATGGAGATTCGACTTTAAAAATGTCATTGACGTTATATTTTAAAGGAAGAACCAACTTCTAATAATACTAAGTTTTAGACAATCCGAGTTCTTCTTAACATATATGCTTTTGGTTTAATTAGTCAACATAAATTCATAGTTTTGATTATGTAGCTTACGTGATTTGAAACCGAATGGTGAACGTTTAGTTCCGACATATTTTGGTTGGTAAATCATATTGCGTTATTATAAGTGTTAAGAAGGCAATGTGCTGAAGAAATCTATAACTATTGTGAGAAGTTATAAAGCATATACATAATACATATATATATATATAAACTTCAATCGTCCATGTTCATCTTTTGTTGTGTTGTACAATCTGAACAACCTTCTAATCTGTTCTCTAAGTGTTCTGCCATCGCCGTGCTTGTACTGTAATGGAACTCTGCACTCCATCGGACAATTTCTATGCCTTGTTTCTCCACATACTACTTACAAACAATCTTGTGAGTAGCGTCTACTACACTTGTTTTAAAACATAAAGAAAAACATGATCCAACATGAGAATAATCAACAGTAGTTTTGCATGTCAGATGTTGTATCTGGAAGGTAATTCAGTGATTGTTTTTTTATTTACTTTCCAAATTTATTCACTCCCACTGCATCCTAAATTCGAGTACTTACATTTTGTTGGTTTGACACAAAATTATTGGTTTCGATATTTCGCTTACTCAACTTAGAAATATTTATTGGTTATTTGTATTTTTTTATATGTTGAGTAGACACCAGTACCATCTATGTCAGTACAAGATGTAACGCTATGGCGTCGTATAATTCTTGCTGGTCATCAACTCTTTCGCTCTACAGCTCCCATTTCTGCCTATGATTTCAATAAGTATTTAACACCTCACTCTCCTCGTTTGAGAAACACTTCTGAAGAGATTGATCACAGCACAGTTTCAAGATCAGTTCAACCAATCCCTAGTAATCGTCATACACTTACATCATCTACTGATTATCTATCATCTCACACTACTGTTTCGCCGGGAAGACTTGTCAAACAATCACTGTCTGATAGTATGTCCACTAATGTTCCACCTTTATCGTCTTCTTCAATGTCAACAACACCAATAAATGCGATTGTTTCGTTGCCTGCATTATCCATGTCAGCTACAAATAATGCTCCACGTGGTACATCTTCCTCTTCATCTAATCCAGTTTTACTTATACAAGCATTAGCGAGTATTCTAGCTGGATCTGAAAGTTCTACTTCTTCTCGTGGTGGTTTAATATTTCCATCTCTCTCAAGTGGTGTTTCATTGGATGCACAACATTTAAATGGAAATAACATATCATTCCTACCACCTAGTACAGCATTATCATTGAGAGAATTGTTTGGTTCACGTATATCAAACAATGGTTCTTCATTACCTACTACTGGGTCTATAATGAGTAAAACAGCTACATCTCTTAATGGGGCTATCGGATCTAGTGGAGCGGCTGTCACTTGTGTTCTACGTTTGCCAACTCCAACAAGATCTACATGTTCTTATTTCTTAGTAGTGGCTAGTACAGGACCCAGATCTCTTGTTTCTGGTACAGATACAGGGATAATATCTAATACACCTACATCAGATGGTTTAAAGGGATCAAGATCACCATTTGGTCAACGTGGATTAATATCAATCTACAATTTAGATAAGTTACTAATACAGATAGCAGAAAAACAAGATCGAGGTTTAAAAGAAATTGCTAAATTGAAATTTATCACTGCATTACTTCAATCAAGGCATAGTGAATTGAAAATTGAGTCTGATAATGAGAATAAAGGTGAGGCCTTTTTCTAATTTCTCTTTATATCCCCATTTTCTTTTATTTATGTATTGTTTTATACATTTTCCAGACAATATGTTCTCTTTATGATGTCTCAGATAACATTTTGATGTAATAGTCAGGGTTGTACATCGTGACGGCGAAATAGAATTGTATTAACTAGAACACATGTTCTTGAGGTCCCATCATATCACGTTGGTCGACTTTAGAGCAATAAGGACAAAAACAACAAGTTCATCATTTGGTATATCAACATTACGGGGTTGTAACGACGCTAAGATTTTTCCTCCATACAATCAACATCTACTGCGATATCACCTCCCCACAACAGGAGTGAGTTCTGAAAGATCGACTCTTGAAATAGTACACCTCAATCTTCTCCACAGGTTCCTATCATCTTCAGTAAGGTCTTAAAATAAAGAATTGAGGTATTAAGATCTATTCACTCAAAGGTCGAGTGACAAGTCTCAAGCAGTTGTTCTCCGGGGTACTACGATCGCATTTTACGGTTGTTAAGACCACCTGTAATCCAGCTTTCTATAAGGGTCCATCCTTTCACAAGACGGACAACCGGTAAGTGATAATCCCCTCATACGTCTAACAGCAGTTTGAGAATTGATAATTATAAGGGAATAATGTTTCCTTAACTTTTTGGTTCATAAAGGTTTTGGTGTCGATAAAGAGAATATCTTCATTTATCAACAAAATCATATTTTATCTTTAAATCGTGAAGCGTAATAGATGTTTTGTTGTTATATAGAATCTCGAGGTAACTGGTGTTTATTTTTTTACGTTTGATATGAAAACGAAAGACGATATCGTTTTAGTTTTGCAACTAAAGACGATTTTTCACAATCTTATACTTAAACTAAATGAATCATATTGAATCAAAGTGTTTACTGGCTTTCTTACAAATATTAGAAAAAAAATTGTAAGGACAGGAATTTCCAGTATTTGATCCACATACAAGAATTAATCTATTTTTGAAGAACAGATAACCAGATTGATTATTACATCAGTTTTCCTTGGCACAGAATTAGTAAATAGACTTCCTTCGTGTTTTTTTTCCAATTTATTAAAAGTTTCTACTTTTTGTCGTGAATAAGCATTATTCTGAGCTGTTTTCGTTTGTGTAATATTGAACATTGAATGGAAGAATGAATGAAGTAGTCAGTTAGTGTTCGGTTCAGGAGTATAAAATACGAAGATTTCTTAATTGACCAACCCTTAATGTTTTTATAACATTAAAGGTAACATTTTTAGATTACTCAATAAAAAGATAAAACGCATTTGTTTATGTAACAAGTTCTTCCATTATGAATATACATATTATTGATTTACTTTCCAATATTGATATTGCATTACTTGTCCTATAAATGTCTTTTTTTACAAGTTTAACTGATTATAATGAGTATCTTCCGTTGGAAATCTGCTGAGACTTCTAGACCACTTATTTTCAGATTTTTCTGATTTAAAACCTGATTGATCAATTATTTAAGTTAATCGCATGTCAGTCAGTCAGTCAGTCAGTCAGTCAGTCAGCTACAACGTAGGACCAGGCACATATGTGCATCGGTCCAGGTTGCCATACCGCATCAGCACAACAAGATGAACACCGGATTCATAGCAGTGGTTAGGTCAAAGGTAGTAATATGTAAGAGAAAGATTGCATATAGAGATATAGTACAAGAAGAAAGAATTGGTTCGTAGAAAGAAAGATATGAAGCGATTTTAATCTCTTAGTTTAAGGGAAGACAGGGAGTGTATACACCTACGCCATTGTGATCAATTCTGAGCCATGTCACCAAGAGTCTCCAACCATTGGTTACGAAAGTCACGCGGACCCCAACCAAGTAGTCTGCATCTACCAACATGGCTCAGACTAGAGTTTAGTGACTTCAGGCACTGATGCCACGTTTTGGTTTGGCCGCCCCTAACTTTCTTCCAACCATTTCCAATACCGGATAGCATTGCACGTCGTGGTAATCGGTGTTCAGGCATACGTAACACGTGGCCCAACCATCTCAGTCGATGAAGATCAACAACCTCATCAACTGATTTACCATCATTACCTAATACCCTGCGTCTAACCTCACTATTACTTACCCGGTGATCCCAACAGACGCCAGCAATATTTCTGAGACATCTGTGGTCAAATATTAGTAGCTTACGGGTGTCTACTACTCTTAAAGGCCATGTTTCGCTGCCGTAAAGTAAGACAGAACGGACTGCCGCGCAGTATACTCGTCCTTTTATTGATAGACGGATATCTCGCCTTCGCCATAGGCGACGCAAGTTGGCAAAAGCCAATCGAGCTTTCCGAATCCGTGCTGAGATTTCGTCCGATACCAACCCATTAGGGTTGATCAGACTTCCAAGATAAGTGAAGTTGTCAACGCGTTCGACTACTTCACTCCCTATCCTTAGTTCAGGTGTTGACGGAGACCAGTCCTGAAGCAACAACTTGCATTTAGAGGGAGAGAAGCGCATTCCAAACATCCTGGCATTGTTGCTCAGTGCTACCAGAAGACTCTGCATTTTGTCAGCGTCTTCACCAAACAGGACTATGTCATCTGCGTATTCTAAGTCGATAAGTGGACCTCCTGGTAGGAGATCAATACCCGAAAACTCAGTCGACGAGAATGTTATTTCCATCAGTAGATCTATGATGAAGTTAAACAAAAATGGGGAAAGTGGACAGCCTTGACGGACACCACTTGAGGTTGCAAAAGTAGATGACAGTTCGCCATAAGCTCTAACTCGACTAGTAGTGTTCGAGTAAAGAGCCTTTACAAGGTTTATGTACTTCTGGGGTACGCCTTTCAATGACAGACACTGCCACAGAATCTCGCGGTCTACCGAGTCAAATGCCGCTTTTAAGTCGAGAAAGACCACCATTGTCGGGCGCCGATAAGTATGCCTGTGTTCTAGAACCTGACGAATGGTGAATATGTGGTCGATGCAGCCACGACCAGGTCTAAAGCCAGCTTGATTCTCTCGTGTTTGCAGTTCACGAGTTTTAGTTAGGCGTCTGATAATTATCAACGCTAGTATTTTAGATATTATATTAGTTAAACTAATCCCTCTGTGGTTGTCACAGGATGATTTTGACCCTTTCTTATATATTGGGACGATAAGTGATTGTGACCAGTTAGATGGAATAACGTCTAACTCCCAGATCTTAGCTAAAATATTAGTCAACCTAATCGCTAAAATTGAACCACCATCCTTAAAGACCTCTGGAGCCAATCCATCTGGACCAGCTGCCCTTCCTCGTTTCAGATTAACTATAGCTTTTTGAACTTCTGCTAGAGTTGGGGGACCTACTTCAATGTTCCATTCACACTGTCTGGGAATAGAGGGTAGTTGTAGAGTAGCTGACGACCAGCTGAACTGTTCTCTGAAATGTTCCGCCCATCGTTCTAAACGCCTGGACTGGGAGCAGATGAGAGTATCGTCTTTTTCCGATATAATCTCACTTACACTTAACTTATTAATTCCAGTTTCTTTTATTAGTCTGTAAAGCTGTCTTGTGTTCCCTATAGTCGCCGCCTTTTACATCTCTTTTGCTTTCGTTGCCCACAACTGCTCACGGTCGTTTCTCAGACTTTTTCTTAACCTAGATCTGATTTGTTGTCGCTCTTTATCATGTTCGGAACCTGATGGGACGAGTTTGCGAGAATCCATCAGTGTGATAGACTTTGAAGAAATCCACTGGTTCTTTGAAACCCTGTGGTTTAAGTCGCTAATAGATGTCACTGCTGCTTCCACAGCTGCTTGTATTTCATTCCAAGCAACATCTGGGTCAGCCTCGTCTTCAGAACTACCTAATCGTGACCTCAGTTGTTCCTGGAACCTACTTTTGGTTTCCTCGCTACTCAGTTCGGTTCTAATGGGTCTTTTTACTGTGGCTTTTTTGCGTCCAGTGAGGCGCAAGCAGATGCGTGCCCGTATTAGGGCGTGGTCGAAGTCCAAGCAGGTACTCCAGAATGAGCGAGAATCTTGTACCGACCCTCTCCAACGATGACTGATGGCAATATGGTCTATTTTAGTCCATCGTTGGTTTGGTGTAGGGGGTCGCCATGTTAGACGATGTCTCTCTTTATGCTTAAAATTTGTGTTTGCTGAAAATAAACAATTGAGCACAGTTGCAGCAGACGGTCACCATTATCTGTTCGCTGTGCCGGAATGCTAAAATATCCACCTAAATGCCTTTCTGTTTGGTTTAAACTACCTATCTGAGCATTAAAGTCACCCCCTACGAGTATTATGTCTGAGCGTTTAGCTTTCTGAAGAAGTTCAGAAAGCTTTCTCTAAAATTCATCTTTCACTTCATCTGAGCTGCAGTCGGTGGGAGCGTAGGCAGAAACGACAAAAAGGCAACGACGTGTGTCCCTATTCTTCCGAGTTCTTACGTAGCCGTTCAGCCGAACAGCACATAGACGACTGTTGACGGGGATCCACTCTAACAGTGCTTGTTCTGTCCTCATGCCTAGTGCTATCCCTACTCCTGCTAATCCACGAGAGCTGGCCATCGGGTCACCAGATACACGGAGGGTGTGTCTCGTTTGCTCTCCGTTTTGCCGAGGTGAGGTCAAGTGAATGACCACACTGGAATCCTGTATGGGTGTTTCGGAGACACAGCATACATCAATGGAAAGAGACTCTAGGGTTTTAGCCAAGGAAGCCTGCTGACCGATTTGACATAAGGTGCGTACATTGAAGGCTTCAATGTGTAGTTTGGAGCGAGGTTTCAGTAGACCTGGGACAGTGTTTTGAGCACTAGAATCGTTGGCTATGGTGACACTTGAGGGGGAAACCGAAAGAGGAAATTTTAGAGTTGAAAGTCGATGTAGGAGGAATAATAGGAATTGAAGAGGAAGGTTGATTATGAATACAGTGGTCTTGAGTGCTGTTAGAGGTATGAGGGCGGTTATCACTTCCCGATTGCCCACACCGTAGAAGGGTTCTTCTGGAGGTACCTGAAAAGGAAATTGGATTAGAGGCGGTCTCAGTGACCTGAGAGCGTGACCGCAGTGCCAAAGGGACAACTGCTTGAGGCCGGTCGCGCACGGCCTTTTCGTAGGAGGTTTTTGACGTGTTAGCTCCGTTCTTCAAAGGGCCTTACCGCCGGAGGCGGAAATCCGTGAGGTAAGGTGAGGTGTGCATTTTTAGGGTCGACCTTTTCTAACCCCACCCCTCCTTGTGGGAAGGCAGCATCGCTGTCATGCTGGTTGTCTGAAGGAAACACCTTACTGCTGTCACACCTCTGTACAGTCAGCAGTACGACTTCGCCTTCGGACCTTGGGTTTGTTGCTTTTAGTCTTACCGCTCTTCAACCGACCTGTCTGACATGGTAGGACATTGAGGAACGGTTGTTCCAGCCAGTATAGCTCGGTTGCTTCATCACGATAGGCAAGCCCGACCACCACGTCAAGGTAGCAACAACGGTCGCATGTACTCGTGATTTAATACGAAGATAATCCACCAGATAACTAAGCTGGCTGCTATAAAGTTTAATCGAAGCCACTATAGTGGTTGCTAAGTTTACCCCATTTTGTCTGTTGTTTATTGAAACGTGAGGTAATTACTATGGAACTCATACATTTAATATATTGTTCTGGGAAAAAAGAAACTCCTCGAAAAAGTTCACAAACAAAGATTGATCGATAGCACATCACTGTTTTTAAAATCTTGTATACGTCTTTTTTGTTTGTTCACAGGTTAAATGCTTTATGAATGCGAACGTCAATTGATATCATCTGATAAGGTTCACCAAAAAGAATTCTGTAATATATATCTATCGACTAACTTCTTAGTTTTTGACCGTTCGCTTGTTATGACAGATACGATTAAACATTGAGTTATTGTCAATATAATCTTAACTTCCATTTGTTCAGTACATATACTATTCTACTGGTCCATTCCCGTGTTCAGTAAGTTAGAATGCAGCATACAAGCTTCTATTTATCTGCATATCAGTCACTTAGTCGTTTTAATTCAAATAGCTAGTACTTTCTAGACAAAAATCATCGGACTACATCACATCCCAAATAAAAAACCATACGTAGCACACAATGAAGACATATGGAACGAAAAATCAAGTGAACGTGACCTTATTAATTAACAATAATTTAGGCGTAATAAAACAATAATTAATTGTTCCAATGTTAGCTCACAATTCAGGCAATATAGAAATACAACAATCCAATTGCCTACTAATTATTCGAAAAAAGGTATAACTGTTAATAGTCATTTGAATAACTTCACAATTTCAACTTTTCCAATACTCGCTCCGTTACAATAAAATGAATATAAGACAGGAATTAGTTACAATAGTCTGTCTATATTGCTCCACGAATTAAACCTTGACTGTAATATTATTGTTAAATACAATGATTATTTTTACTTTTTATAATATATTTAGTAAAATCCAACACAGATATTATTACAACAGAATTAACAACATCATTAAATGCAATGTCAAAAGAAATGAATCAACATTTGAAACAACTTTCTGTCAGTTTGAACAATTTGCCTAAAATCAGCACTGCAACAGCTGGTATCCTCATTTCAAGTATGACAGTCAATCCATCATGTTCATCAACATTTGTTATTTGTGGTTTATGGGTGAGTAAATTGTCATTTTTTAAAATACAATATTTAGTTCTTTTTTGTTTCTGTTTACCATAAATAAATCTTGGTCAATAGGGTTACTATCTTATCTGTAAAAATATTTTGATTCTGAAGCATAGTTACTATTCAATTATCCAAAGGTATTTTTTAGTACAAATATTGTTAGCTAGACTAAGGTAACTAAATCATTGTGTGTATATTCTGTAGACCGATACAAGACATTCGGTCAATATGTTCTTTGTCTAAGTCAAAATTGTTAATGATCAAGAAAATCTTAATAATGTTAATTCTGCCGATTTTGTAGAGCTCATATATATTTTTTCAAAAGAAGACCTTTTTAATTTAATTTACGTATGTTTAAAATATTTTACTGAATTTGATTATATCTCATTTTGTGGATTGATTTCTCAAATATAATTACAGGAATGTGTTGTTATGAGTTTATCATCTGCTGGTCAAATATGCGGACGTATCTCAGTGATCCCAGTTGTCGGGACAAGACGAGAACAAATTATCAAGGCTATATGGTTACCGAATTCGATTAACCTGTTGGCTGTTCTCACTGATCAGTCTGTTCAAGTAATAAATCAGTTATATGTTTGTTGTAATGAGTTAATTTCACTATGATCTGTCAGTGATTACAAAATAGTTGATAGTTCTATATATATTCTTTACTACTTTAAAGTAGTTTGTACACTCTAATTTATTTAATGTATCACTACTGGATTACAGTTTTATGAATGAATCGATCTTCAAAGATACACCTTTATAATTGACCTATTGTGCTCCTAATGAACACGAGACGATCATGATCATAAATTTTGCAGTCTTCATAATGTTAAACTGATCATCTAACAATAAACAAATATAAATTTTTGGTTTATCAATTGTGGTTTTTAATAAATGGGAAATCACCATTGGTTTGATACACTTCACTGATATGAATCCTGCAATATATCTTTAGTCCGCTTGCACCATTTTGTTGATATTCTAGCCCTGATTAACTATACACTTCGACTGCTAAGATCAACCGTTAGTGAAGGGCCGAAATAAGCCATATGTCTTTATTTCAGGATACACTTTCCACACACGCAACTGCGCAATAACTGGAGTAAAATAGGAATACTACATGTAGGCAAACGTCTACTATACAACTCAGTTTTATGACTCAACTCATGCTATAATGTATAGCAGATTATTGGCCACATATCAACATAAAAAAATGAATTATAATATAGACATAAATTCGCCATACGCCTAAGATAGGTCCGTAATTAATTAACAATAATTTTAGATATTTGGATCAAACATTAACAGTTTATGCGTGAAATATCAGTTTATAACTGGTAACTATACAATAAAAAATTGAGTAATCGTTAGCAGTTAGACAATCCTAAGAAAAACAGGAAAGTAGATTACTAATAATGATTAGACCTGACAAGATTCGGAGAGAAATCCCAAAGGAAATAAATAAGATTGTTTTTTAAACGTCTAAATTAAACATTATATATATATATATATATATATATATATATAAATATAAAATCCAATTTGCAGTAACTTTCTGCAAGAGATATTTTTTCTATTCTACACTTCCTTCTTTTTATTTTCTGTCTTACCGCCTATCCAGATCTTTGATATATTCGTTAATCCAAGTAAACCGAAATATCATTTCAAACCTGTTGATGGAAGTTTTTGTGATGCAACATTTATACGCCTACCATTACAATCTATGCAACAGCGGGGTAAAGAAGAAATACTCACTAATCATTGTGATACTTCGATGTCTGAAAATGGTGATGATTATGATAACGTCAGTGATTCGCTTGAACAAATAAAAACTAACAATCGTAATGATCGCGATACTTCGAAGTCTGAAAATGTTGATGATTACGATAACGTCCGTGGTTCGCATGAATGGGACATTCACCTTTTAGTTATGGCTAATATGGGTTCTATTTTACATCAGGTTTGCTTTTTTTTCTCTACTTCATCTTGTTATATTCATGAGTTTTGTAAATTTTTTCGGATCAATTTTTCGTTCATATAACTGTCATTTCTTTTGTATGTTATCTCATTTTAGTTATTTGTTTGAGTAGGACTAATTATAGTTTCTTCACACTACACTACTGATTATTTGTGACATGTGTAAAATGTGAATCCCAACTTCTTATCCACATTAATTATTACTTAAAATCGTCCGGAGGTTTTATATTAAAGACTTTGTTTTGAAGCAAGAAAAAAATATTGAGAAAATATTGCTAATACAATGTTAAATATTCTAGCTTGAACAGTAACAAATATACTATTCTCTACACAGAGCGATACAAAACTTAGCAATGACGATGTAAATAACATACCTATTTTGAAGAATATAAACTTTGTAAAGTGCGTTTTAAGTAATTTAAACAAACAGTTATTGTTTTTCACATCAAATCATCCTCAATTATTTTTTGTATAACAAATGACTGACTTGTAGGGATCCATTTTCCGATGTAGTTCTTCAAGTACAGACAACTTCTGTTGTATCGTAGTCTAGAAGCGGTTGTTTGTGTATATCGGCTTAATGAATTGCAAAATAACCAAATAAATAAAATGCTCATCTTTTGTCAATATCTTTGAGATCCGTGTATTTCACCAAGTCTTGGACTGTTATACAGTTAGCTTCATGATCTGATTTCAACTTTATTTAATATTGTAATATCTAAATAATACAGTTGCATATTGAATTGTTAAGGTTGATCTGTACGTTTTGTAACTTCATGTTCTTCTATCTGGATATCCTATAAATGTAAAAATTATTCCGGACAGATTCTGACAGAACCAGTCATTTACTGATAGAGTAGTATAAAGAGCAATGATTTATCACTTACTTGTGTACCACCTTTTTTCGATTGAACCTTAGCTTTTCTTTTTACTTCTCCATACTGATTGGTTGAACTGTATTTTAAACGAAATAAGTGAGTAATTATTTCATCGGAGCTTGCATATGGTACGAACTTCTCTCAAGAAAATATAAAAGTCGTTTAAAAGTTTACAAGATACCGCAACCTTTTTAACTGAATTCTATCTTAACTAAACCGAAGTCAGGCAGCTTTCGACCCATGGGAATTAGTGGACGAAAGTCAAGCACTTTAATCAGTGAACAATGGATCCACCCAAAGTTTTCTAGATATATGGGGATCTAATGATAAAAAAACTGCCAATAATTATTCCTATCTTCATAAACAATGACAAACAAATATTCTTTAAATTTGATCAAACTATTTTTTCCTATGTAATTATATTATACTGGATATCTTTGTTTACTCATGAGTTATCAAACTGAGTGTTAGTGGCTCCGTGGATAGTTAAAACATTTAGCTCTCAGTCCTTAAGTTGCATATTGGAACCAAGCTTTATCTTCTTCGGTTTAGGTAACTGGTTAGTATCTATCATTAATCAACGTTCACAATTAGAATGTAGTTTGACTTCAAGTACACAAATCTGTACCTGACAAATCATCAGTATGACACAATTTATTGATTATCTTCTATTTATTTTTATCTTTCATTATTCAGAGACTGGGCCCTCTTTGCCTATCATTCTTAGGTCCATTCTTTCTAGCTGAATCTTTGGAATGGGATATCAACAGTTTAAAAATGAACCCTAATACAACCACATCGTCGGATGATCTAGTAACAATTCCAGAATTAACATTAGACCGTTTAACTGGCGTACTTGGCGGTGGTGGAGTTAGTGTTCAGTATATCAATTCAATGGGTCTTTTATTACATTCTTATCAGTCTGGTCATTCCATTGCTAGTGGAATTAAATTATTTAACACTACCGATAACTCCACAGCACAAACATTACAACAAAATAGAAAGGAATTATGTATTACTCATTCATTTCTACTGGCAGTTGGCCCAAGACGCGGAGATGGGAACGTACCAACCACTGGTGTTGGCTACGTCACACCATCTGCCAAATTTACCAAGTTAGTCCATCTACTGTTTCTTTCTTCTTGTTGTCGAAGAATATATTTATTATTATGATTTGTTTGTATGTTGCAATTTCCGTTTAATAGTACTTGTTATGATAGATGATGTTATAGATCTGATACTAATTTCCTCTTTAGCAATATTTATTTGCTGGTGTAAAAGTAGAATGGAAAAAGGCGTGGCGCAATCAAATCGAAATGTGGCGCCAGTTCATGAAGTCACTGATTTTTGGTCTGAAACATGTTGGTAGATACAGAGTACCTGGCAAGACCTACGTGATAACCACTGTCAGTGGTCGGGTAATATAGCTTGGAATGCGTTTGTTTGTTATCGTTCTCTGGATCATGAGTCCCAATATTCTCATATACGTTTGCATTCCCTCTTTTCCCACTATATTCTCAACGTTGATTTATTTTTATTACCATCGTTATTACATTATTTCGATCTCGTTTGCTATTATTCTTGTTAATTTCATTTCATGGTATGACTTTAATAGTGCAACTCGGGTTGACGCAGGTTTACATCAGGCTCTCGGTTGATTATGATTGGCTGAAAATTTAGACATTGATCTACGTTTTCGGGTCATACTAATTTATTTGTTGCTTTTTTAATTTCTGTTGTTGCAGAAATTCACCTGTGATTCATCCGGAAACTTCTTATATGGATTCAGATAATCTTCTGATCTCGTTACTTTTAGCAGCTCATTCCGCTATTGATCCGTCATTACAACAGTCAACTTCATCATCATCATTATCATGTACTCATCCAAATCAAAAGTCAATAATTCCCAGTATCGGTCCATTATATCGTTGGACAGAAATAGATGATCATCCAGGTCTGGTGAGCGCACTATCTAAAATACCGCTGGTACCTAATTCGTCTTTACAGCACCAATCATTTCTAATGGCATTTGAACCAGATCAAATATGGATACAACATTTATTTATTCATCCTACTTCACGGTTATTTAATATTCATGATTCAACAATAAAAAATTTGACGACGACGACAACGACAACAAGTAAATTATTGCCATCTTCCACGACAACTGCAACAACTATTACTACTAGTAGTTCTACTAATACTAATACTACTACTACTACTGCGACCACTACATCTACCACTCTGACTACTACTGCCACCAATAATTTAAGCGGGAACGTAAATGTCCATAACCTAGATAGGTCTGAAGCAGGGCAAATGTCATGTGAGTTTTCTACCTTAGCATTATTTTTCATATTTATTTTAGTTGTTTACTATTTGGTTTTTGTAACTTAAGATATTATACAGCCCATGTGTGTGTAACTAATTTTGAAACGTAATTTTCGAGATTACCAGCGGGAAACGATGATCGAGGAAGTTTAATTATGTCGAATCTGTGAGGCAGTTATTTTCCAATGACACTAGAATGTAGCTGGATTGATTGAATCATTAAGTAACAACCTACGAAACAGTAGGTTAAATGCTCATTGAAGGAAACGAAGATCATAGGTTCGTTCTCCGATAGGATCACGGATCTGCACTGGAAATAAGTCTTATACTAGAATGAAACAGCTTTCCAATATTTCTTAATTTTGATTGGCTATCTAATTGATCTTAATTCATATAATTAAAGTTCGATATTTCAAAAATCACTTTACTTAGAAAATATATGCTTTTATCGGTATATAGTATTTAATATGTTCATAGGCTATCTGTTGCGAAAATTTTAATCTATTAATTTCTTAAAATAATATTGATATTAACAATAACTCATTTCATCAATTTCTAGCTGCTTCAACTCAATTATTAGATTCATTCTCGTTCCATTGGTTTGGCTCTCCAGAATACGTTGGTCGTACATTAACATTCTTACTAACATCCGATGGGCATTTACTAGTCAATGCTTCTGCTCCAAGGTGTGTTTATCAATGTTTATGTATTGTTATTTCTTCAACTTTTTTCCTACTAATAAACTTCATTGATTGAAAAAATTGGTTAAAATGTGAAACCTAATCAGTAGTTTATTTCATTTTATTATAAATCCCATATTTGTTTTAATCTCTTTGTTAATAGAAATAAACATAAATCTTGTTTTTTTTTTGTAGACATATCTCATAATTAGACTTGCCTAATTAACACGTTGACCCCCTGTCAATTTTTAAATTTCATCGGTACCTATTACATTAGAGCAATACTAATTTCTGATTGGTTCTTATCTTGTTTGCTGGTAGGAATTACGATCTTAGCCAGTTAATCTGTATCAAGTCATTATATGATTATGTCTTTCAGAAAATATGTATTTTGGCAATACTTCTCATATATGATGACGTTATATTTTTTTTACTATTTCTTAATTATTGCTAATTTGTTCGGTACTGTCTACCGCTTATGGTATTATTGTGCTCTAAGTCGGATTCCTTGTTTTGTTTACTGTCTAGTTAGACATTTTCAGTATGTTATTCCATGTGTTTTGAGTCATATTTGAGTTGGATACAACAGAGAACTAATTCGTGTCTTATTTATATCTTCTGATTGACTACTGGGTTAAAAGGAGGGGCTTGAGGACCAATGAGCTTTAAAATCTTGGCTTTTCTTTGCTTTTCAGTTTGTTAGTGCATGATATACATCATAGGTCTAATTGGCTAAATAGCACTTGATACTGATTAGAGTCTCTAGCCATAGCAAAATCAGCGTCCTACAAAACGTTACAGGTTTTAATTCACTTTAGTATATTGCTTCGTTCACGTACATCGTGTACAAAAGGTGCATAGAAATGCAGTATATTTAGTCATCCATTCATTTAACTTTTTTTCTTTAGCTTATAAGATTGTTAATCACCCGATTTTGTCGCCAAAATTTGTTATTGTAACGGTAAACAAACTCTTTTTTATACAGCAGTCTTTGACACACTCGAAAAGTACCTACTTTTCTTTTTTATTTGTATATAATTCAACTACTTGACTTCCTGAAAGTAGTTTAATTTTATGCGTTTAATCTGGTGACTTTTTATTCAATTTACATATTGTTTAACACCTAGATCTTCAATTTACACTTCGAAGAATATAAACAAGTGTAAACCTGAAGAAAAAAGGCCTAATTATCATTTATCTGTACTACCTGGACAATATTGGTTACAAAATGATTTTTCTGAGAAACCTATATCAGTTGGTCGTGGATTCTTATCAAATGGTCCTAATTCGATCGACTCTTTACTCTGTAATTTGCCGAAAGGTGTTTTATGGGATTTGGCAACAACGTCATTTTATCAGTTATCTGGAAGTTTTAAATGTTCCAACCAGCAGCAGAATCCAGTTCCTAGAAAGAGATCACTAACAATAATTGATGAAAACACGGTTGAAACACTGCAGAAATATCTTATTGAGTCACCGGCATTTGGTCCTTTACCTGTTGACTTTTTCGAACATGTATCCGAAACCCACGAAGTATGTGTACTTGTTTGCAATTCTTGAAGCTTATTTGATTGGTTTTGTCGCGACTGAATGTAGTTGACTTTTATGGTTTACAAGATAACTAACTTATTTATCAATTATAGATTCGTGTAATAGACTTCAATCTACATTTTTGGTGTGAAGTACTGACATACTCCGATTGCATAGACCGTTGTAGATAAGCAGAACTTGAAATTGGGACTTGAAGGTCGAAAGTTTAACTCGTCAGCCACCAAACTAGATTCATAATCATTTATTTTATCGTATAATGATAGATCTCGTTGCTAAAAATCCGTAACATTGTTATTTTTTTTTATTATCATGAATGACATATGGAGCATGCTTTTATTAACGTTTTTCGTAAGCATTATTGACGGTTATGACTCAAATTTTCGTTAGTAACGAAAATTACACCAGAAGTTTCACATCATGTCTTTCATACTATCAATGAGTTGCAACTTGCAGAAAACATTATTGCATAAATTTCCGATAATCGCTTGCAAATCATTTCTTTCCCTTTTATTTTTCACTTATATTCTTGGTTGTTTTTTTTTCTTCTGTCTTTAACTAATTGATGTATAGATTGATTTTGGTGGTCCAGATCTCTTACAATTTTATAATTATGAACAGTTAAGACGGCGTTTAACGACACCAGGGAATATAGTCACTGGTGCTGGTACTTGCACACGTTTTATTAATAATTACTGTCGAGATGAAAAACTACATGTTGGGTCGAGAAATTCTACTTTATCGAGCGCATCAATTGGATTAAATGCTAAATCAAAAGATTCATCTACATCTATTGGACAACAATCACAACAGCATATAGCTTATATTATTGACATTTATAATCGTCGTTCTAATGATACTCTAATTGCTGGTCTCCGTGTAACATTGCCTGGATTATCATCACCACCATCAATCGATGAGAATACAAGTCGATGGCCAAGATTTTTCAAGGTATACGCTAACTCTTTTCTATTTATTTTCCAGTCATATCCAGTGTATCTTACAAAATCTTATTTTCAACATCACCAAACGCATGACTGTAAATAAGACAAAATCCATGTTTTTTGTCAGTGTTTTTATTCAGATCAGTATTGCACCTCATCATTAGGTAGCCACAATAGCCATCGAAAATCTTGTTCATCAATTCCTATCAATTACTTTGCTCTCTCATTCAACAATATTATGGCCAATTTGTTACATAAGGAATCAATTAAATTTAAATGTTTATTGTTGGGATCTTCATTTTTTAGTGGATTTTCATTCTTAGTGTTAAATTCATCGATATGACACATCTAAGTTTGATCAAAGTCAGAAAACTGCCTCGGCTTCTCAAAATATTAATACTCGAATCTTTACAAATAATAAATGTTTTTACATCAGAGAATAAATAGCTTAGGTTAAAAAAACTTCATGTTCGAATTGATAAACTAAGCAGCGACAGTCGAAAAACGAGCAGTTCAACACGGTGAGACAGATGTGAATTATATCAAGCAATTAGCGAATAATTAGTTTAACATTAATCAATGATACAATAAAGTAAGCTGGTTACTTATGAGTAATGGATTCGTAATAAACGGATCTAACATTTATTTACACTTTACCTTTAATTTTTAGTTATTCAATAGAACTATATTGGTCCCACTACCCTACCCTGGAATGACTTCAGGGCGTACAATCGATTTACCGTTGTATCGTTGTGAAATGTTAAAGTCAAGTGAATTTTTACAACTTGTTGGTAAGTTTAACTTTGTTATACTTATTATTTTTCTAATTTGAACTACCTGGAATTAATGTTAATCATAATAATACAAGTATTAGTTAAAAGTTTATAAATAAACTTTAATAACCTCATTCTTCTACGTAGTTATCGTACTGCAATATTTCTTCTTGGGATGTTAGGTGGTTTTGAGTACTCAACAAGTAATACTAGAAGACCTAATTTTCGTGTCGGTTGATATTCATCAGCAAGGTGTATGTACATTTCTGAGAGAAGTGATTCTTTTTATAGGATTCTATCCAGCTTCACAGTCTGTGACATAACGATTTACTCAAAAATCTCAACATAATGCACGGAATATCGAGTCACTCGGTCTAATCGTCCTGTTGAATTCTGATAAATAACGTATTATCTGCACCAAAAGATTAGTGGAATATAGTAGTAATCACTTTTCAGAGTTCAATCAGTTGTATTTTTATTTCTATATCAATTTTAATTGAATAATGCAGTTTAAGGTTGTTAGCAGCTTATTTATTATTGTTCACACTTGATAATAATTTGAACAACTTCTCATCAGTATTAATAAAGTTATCGGCTCCATAGAATATCAACTCACTTCAACTGATAATGGTGTATCGTTAATTAATGGAAGCTTAAATTGTACTGTTTGACACTGGTCCACTATTTCTGATGGTTAGTCTTAGTCGCGAGTTCTGAATTTTCTACATTCTATCTCCTATTGGTTCATGAGAATTCAATGGAAGCGAGTCCTATATGAGAATGATACAGCTGTTCACTGCTTTCTTCATTCCAACAATACCTGAACTATGACCAGTTTATAGCAAAAGTAACGTATATACCAAAGCAATCTTTACAAAATTCTTTCAACTGTCTTTAATGTACACATGTATTAGCTGACAGCAAACTCATGCATATGAATATGTTGTTTGTTAAATAGTTTTGTGTCATTTATGAACTCTATCCTCTGAATGATTACATCCTGACCGTTGCTGCTACCTTGACGTGCTGGTTGAGCTTGCCTATCGGGAATTGATAACCGCTTTCATACCTCTAACACCACTCAAAACGACTGACTGAATGATTATGTCATAATAAAAATCATTTCTACCTTGTTTACTTCAAACATTTGTAAATATTATCTTCACTTGTGTTCCTATTTTGCTTAATTCTCTTAACTCAATGGTTCAAAGGTCAAATGTTCTCACACGAAACCGAAGATTTTGGGTTTGGTCCCTGGGAAGTTCGTTTTTTCAGATTGCCATGTAGTGACTTCCTAAAAAGAAACAGTTACCTAGTCCTTCCCGGTTTTCAGTGTTTGTAAAACTATGATCAATGAATATGGGTTATGGAAATTCCCATAACTGTTATTATATTTCACATAGCACACTGAATAACATTTATTTACGGTTTTTAAATCTCTTATACACCTCCTATGCCTTTCCTCCTATAATATTAAGAATTTAATGTGATATCAATAGTTATTAATGTTTGCAAAAGTGTCGGTCACTTATGGGAGTAATTGCCTTCTTTGTAATAGTCAGCTATAATATCCGCTTTTGTATGAGTTTACTATCATAGTTTGCGCGTTCAGAATAATATCTTCATCGCCATCCTTATTTTTTTTCGTAGTCTTTTAAAACATCATCTTCACCATAAATTTGTTCCGAAGTTTGTACTGAAACCAGAGAACTACATCTAGGTGACGTATGTATATTCCGTCATCATTGGGTTAAATTGATAATGTTTAACTTATCAAATGTTCGATTCTTTCTATGTAGGCTGTATATAAGCTACAAGTTAAACTTGTCCTTACATCACAAACCTCATCGCTATATATCTGTTTCTAACTGTAACCAGAAACAACATGGAACTTCTGAAAACTTTTTGTTTCCTCATAAGTGTTCGAGAAAATAGATGTTTTACAGTGTTATTGACAAATTTATATGTTGTTTGTTCGACTTACAGATAGAGATACCTTCAGAAAACTTCTATATATTTATTGATTGTGTAAAACACTTGTAACGTTAGTGTTTCTGCCATATAGTGTTCATTTACAATAACTGCTTACTGTTTTTCTAACAATACGTTAAGATGTACCGTTCTTATTCATGATATCTCTATACTAAACTCTTACACAGGATGCATACATATTTATAAACTTGATTTCATTTTGATAATTGTTTCATCATCAGTCTTTTTTATATGCATGAAATATCCACTTTACAGTTGGCACTAGTGATGATCCTGAAGATATGACATGTATCGATTGTATCATGGTTTATTCTATTGGTCGTGATCTAGTTTCATCTTTATCATCGCACTCAAGTCCAACTCTTAAATTGTTAGGTGAAAAACAGTTGATACATACAAATCACCACTTGAACCCTGATAAATTGTCTAAAAAGAAATTACAAACCTTACCGTTAAATGAGAGTAATTGTAATAAGAAAGTTAAAGGTCCAATGGATTTGTTTGTTTTGAAGAATACTACTACTTCTACTACTAATGATAATGATGATGATAGTATTGGTGAATGCAATATTGATGATAATAATGATGATAATGATATGCATGAAAATTTAAGTGATGCTGTTATCGACTCGGAAGAATTTGATAAAATAAATAACGCTTTTGGTAAGTTAATTGTTTGCAATGATGTGTTGATTGCTACCTCAGTTTTTTCATACTCTCATTCTTTCGAATCTATTAGGTTATTATTTGTTATGCTCTGTGGATGCGCTATTGTTTCGCCTAGTTTATCTTTGGAGGCATCAAGTTACCGTTAATTTTTAATACTTACAAATGCAAGAAATATCTAGTTTATTCAGTAAATGCACCAACTAAACTTATATGATGGTTATCATACTGATAACTTATCAAGCGTCTTGTCCCGTTGTTTTTAGTCGATTATTATCCCAAGTCAGTGTGATATCGTCGATCTGTTTTTAGTAAGCTTGCGGTATTTGAACATCGTTCTTCTACTCAACACAATTTTTTATGAGTGAACGAATTACTAAATAGACATTGAACGAAGGTCACGAAACTTGAGACGATGATGCTATTTTCGTAGACTGTTTTAAATGATGGAAACAGAGATAGAACACTGTTAAACAATTTTTAAAATTGCTTGTTAGTTTGATACTTTGTGGAGAATTTTTTTCGTCACATCCTAGTATTATATAGTTTTTCAGCTACAAAAACTACTACTAGGGCATGTACTTTAGTGTCGAATGGTCGTCTCACTGAGTTATCATTAATTAACTGTGGTTGAGAATATAGCCTATAAAATTCAAATTCACAGTGATTTGGTGGCATAGTGTGTGACGCTAGAATTTTTTTCAGGTTTCTAGAATGTATTATTGCCTTGGAATACCTGGTATTTTTTTCGTTACTTTAATGAATCAAATTTAATGATGCTTACTATAAGTAGTCAATGACTTTTAGTAATCCCCTATAAATTTAATTTTTTGTTGTTAAAAGTTAGTTTGAATGTATGTAAACTCAATAGGTATATCTAAGTTCATGTAGTCATAAATATACTCTTCTTCCAAATCACAATTTTTCATCATGAAAAATTTGATTGCTTGATGATTTATTCAGTAAAAGAATTCGTGACCATTTTAACTTAACGGTATTGGGCATGAGACAAATATCACCCATATCATTATATGGCAGTCCTGCTTTATATGGAATTCATTGAAGTTAGACATGTAGACTAGTTGGTCATGGTGTTTAAACCCTCACTGCGAGACTTAAAGGTTTTAGGTTTGATCGCAGGTGGGTTGTTGAGTGCTCACTTCCGTATATTCCTAAGTCAAGAGGAAAATTTTACCCTCCCTTTCTGGGTTTTCATGATAGTCTGATTAAGAGCATCCAGTGATCCAAAGTATAAAGATATTGTTTCTTTTTAGAACCATTTGTGTTTTAGTATGTACATGTTTGGAATGGTTGCTTACAAATCTATTTATTCGTATTACCTCTATCCCCCATGTACTTATAGATTTTAATTGCATTTTGTAATTTTACACTTACAGAACAGTCGTTAGCTTTCAGACTTGATCGCTTGTTCGGTACCGGTTTCGTAACTGAATTAGTTTGTAACGATCATAAAAGCAATAGTAAGAAAACATCACATTCTCGTTTACCACAACTCTCTATCTCAAAACCATTTCCACCTCCACCAAGTACTATATTTGCATTGTCAAATTCAATGTACTGCTCACATTTCATCTCAATGGATAATTCTACATTATTGACTACATTATCACCATTGTCTTCTGTTCCACTATGTTTGATTCGTGATTATTGTGGTTTGACAGCTTCAATTGCTAACATGTTGTGTGCGATAGTTAATATGGGTATCACCTCAAAATCTGAACATGTGAGTTTTGTGTACGGTATATTTTGAAAGTAGGAATTTACTTTTTTGTCGTTATTTTAGATTTAATGATAATTCTGTGTATCACTTCATTATATTCATATTTTCTGCCAACGGTATGTTATACAGTTAGTCATCTGTATATCAGACAGTGAAGTCATGCCAGTTAGTATTCCAGTCACCATTAATGTAGGTCCTGATAATTACGTACATCTAAAGTTATCATGCATCATAACTGCACACAAAGAGAGGTAATTAACAAGATTCTCAACCACGTTGTTTATAAATTAATATAATCAAAAATTAGAATTGTGTATTAATAAAAAAAACTGGATTTTTGGAGGAAGATGAAAATGGATACACTTATATCAACCAATCTTTTTTAAGCTACACCATTTAAGGTCTCCGACCATACATTAAAGTTTTATCAACAGTCTCAACCTGGACGTCTGCACCTCATGGTACGATTTGTTTGAATAATCAGTACATTAGTGAACCAATGCAGTTTCTTGATAAAGCCATCATTGTCCATTTTCCGATTTAGTATCTTTCACTGTCCAGTACAACACGGTTGTTTAGTGCATATTATCTACTTTATTCGTTGAATGTTCATAAGGTTTTTCAATCTATCTGACTTCTTGGTATATTTTTTAAAAGAATTTCTTATATTTCTGAACGTGAAAAACACCTTGTGACCGTTAAAATTTCGAAACTCATTCTCCAAACTACTTCGTTTCAGTACACCTTATCGAGTATATGGTAGTCAACTATGGTGATTTAGACTTTAAAATAGTGGATCAGTTGGTAGAGGATCAGAAACGTCACAATTGATTGATCACTGGGTGGTGATCAATCTCATGCTTGTCTAGTCCTTATTAGTGCAGATCGAATGCTATCGACCATGTTGCAATGTGGCCACCAGTCTAGGTGACTCGACACTGCGGGCACTATGTATTGAGATTAGATGGTGGTTGGAGGTAGTCAACAGGAAACCCGGGTCCAGGGTTTCCTGTTGACTACCTCCAACCACCATCTAATCTTGGATCAGAAACGTTTTGATTGTATATCGTATAATGGTTAAAAACACAGATTATAAATCAATATCAATGATCACTTTCAATAATTAGCCTATCTGTGTTACTTCATACGTTTCTATTATCTGTAGCGATTAGTATCTACTAACACAATGCAACCTAACCTTAGCTGCTCCCTTTAAATAGTGATCAAGGTTGGCTACTGTAATGACCTATTAGATCTTCGATAGTTCCAATAATCCTTTCTTTATATCGTACTATGTCAGACAAGTAGGTCAGAGAAAGGCGGAACTAACACTATCAAACATGAATTTCGGTCATCCTTAGTAATGCCTTATAAATATGGAACAAATGAATCCGGGGACGGTCATAATGCCAAATATTTAGAGGTGTGATGGCAGAAATGTAGTTTCATCGGACGCCCATCATATATAACGACGCTGTTCTGTTCTAAAGGGATGGGTGCGAAATGGTTGACTCTAAAAACATCGCACCCCACTTATGCCGATGGATTCCAGTCACTATCTGTAGTGTTTTTTATTTACAGAGGAACCATATCTGCAACTAGTCAAAGCAAGGACGTTTGTGATTTGAAGCTGTTGCCAATTGGGTATTGTGATTCCGTTCCCCTGTCAAAAAGCCCATCACTAATCCAGTTTTATTTTTTGGTCTCAAGTAGCAGTGTCATTTCATGTTGTAGGCGATCGGGAAATGGAAATCACTCACATATCTCAAGGCGTTTGTCATCGGTTAACGTTGTGCAATTTCTATCTTCATATTGCAATAATTCATGTTCTTAACGAATCATAAATCAAATAAATATTGAATATTAGACATGTAATTGATTATCGAGTTGGATTTAGGTAGATTCTTATCAAATTTGAGATGTATGCATTATATTTTACCTAATTTTGTCGTTTATATTTTTTTTCTCCCTTATTCAGAATCCGAATTTAACTGGATTCAAGATAATTTTGTCCAGTTTAAGAAAAACTTTCGATAAATACAATAATAATTCTGATGGTTTCGATGGTAGTATTCACTTTAGACAAACAGTAGAAAATGAAAAAAAGCCTCCTACCAGTCTAAATATACTACTTGTAGAAATAATGAAATTTCTCAATTGGATATCATTATTGAACTCGTCAACTTGTAATCTGTTTAATATTCAACCGACACTGATGATTAGTTTATCAATGCATCTTTATCAGTTAGCTTTTATGACTACACGTTTTCTAAATATTGAAGAATTGAAAATATCAAATAATAATTGCTATACATATAATTTTAACAATATCGAGTGTATCCTAAATGAAATTCTATATCATCCATTGAATTATTCATGGAAACAATTAACTGATAACATGAGTAACACTGATGCTAATGTTGATGATATGATATCTAAACATTATTTAACTATCAAGTCAATTCGTTTAATTCGACAATTTTCAATGGAAATTTATCATTTTCTACACATCAATCCACTGCATTTAATTAAGTGGTTATCTAATCAACACCAACATTATCAATCTACAAATGATAATATATCATTTTATACAGTTATAAATCACTTATTCAATTTATTTATTTCTAATTTACCAGTGCCTACGAATACATCGCATATTATCGATCCTATATGGTCTGCAAAATTTGATTTGTTTTCTTTAACATTAGAACAGGATATAGCTCAGTTATCTTCAGTCATTAATAAAAATTTACAAAATTGTAAAGATTGTCTGTCAGTTTCATCATCATCGTCGTCATCTCCACTGGATTTAAGACCAAAGTCTTATTATAATAAATCCATTCGGTGCTTTATGAATCCATTAACGCGTTCACTATATACACTATTTTTATGTACAATTATAGACGACCAATTACCAGATGATGATGGTGATGATAATAAGAAGTTAGATGAGTTGATTATGACAAGTTTAATTGAACTGCCTAGTGAAAATAATCATCACCATAGTAAACAGACTAAACCATTGAATATTGAATTCTTAAATTATTACGGAAAACTGTTAATCACAATGCTAACACATAGTAATATTTTAGTAAGTAGTAACATGTTACATTTTCTTTTTTTCTATTCTACAGAATCACTGTCAAGTTTTAGTTGTTCTAATGACTAAAATTTATTTATTAAGTTGAAAAAGTTACTATGCTAGTTTGAACTCAGACTGAATATTTTTGGTTGAGTGTGATAAGCAGGAGAATTCACCATTTTAAATTGAGAAAGTTTCTAATATTCAATACACATAAACTTGTATGTGTTGAAATAATTACCTTACATTGTTCACTTGAATTAATTTGCAGATCAAACAAATTTGTGAAACTAAATAAGGGGAAGAAATAGCTATGATGTAGGACAAGTGTAATCATAATAATAAGATCATAAAACCCAATATTCCATAACAGATCATGTCATACACTTAATTGTTAGAACGAAGTCATAGATTACAATTATAGAGTGCTAAATAATTCTGTTTAAGTTGCATTCTCTTAACGTGAATACAACAAAAATACAAGTTTGACATAGAGAAAGAAGTCAATGAAAGTGTTATATCAGAACAAAGATTAAAGTAATGATAATTTGCATAACTAATTATTTAATGAATTCTTAATGCATAATTATTAAGGAACTGGATTATTATGTACCTATGTTTTTTTTATTATAAGCTTTTGATTAACGCATTAACTAATATTGTTCGACTTTCTATTCGCAATCTGTTGCCAGTTTTCCTTTCCTAGTCTCCCCTTCCCGTACGACTTTGTTGGCTTAATCATGTGTAGTTGTTATTTTGCATTTTATGGTGTAATGTGGTCTGGTATGCCTGTATAAGCACTACGTGTGCTTGAAATATAATGTGGTGGAGGTCAATTGCTTACTAATGGACTCAAGGCCAGGACATACAGAGAAGCTGGGGAATCGTGGGTCAATGGGGGCTTAACAATTGTGTGAAAGTTACTAGTGCTTGTTAAGCATGGAATCGGTCAACTCAGAGACATTAAGTCATAAAAATCGGAATTTTGATGCATGGTTTTATCACGTGATTCGGATCAGTGGTCATAAAGCATAATAAAATACTTCGAAATTAAACCATTCAATGCCAACATTATCATCTACATAAGCTGCAAATCTTCTTCACTTCAGTGTACTAAATAAGGTTTACAAATGTAATAAAATAAAATAACTCACCAAAGTTCAATGAGTTTAGGTCTTAAAAATGTACAAACGAATAGACTATGTACATGTGCCTTATTGAGTCATAGTATGGTAAAAATGACTGTTCGATTAGGTTGGTAAAGAGGTTAGACTCATTTATTTTTTAGATGGATAGCTCAAGGATTTCACCATTTTGCATCACAATTTTTTTGAATACCTCAAAATCACATTTACGGATTATTCTTAACATGGTAGATTACTGAAAATGACAGGATGGTGTCTGCCTTATGATTCTACTTGGTTCAATTTGCTAGAATGGAATGGTTGATAGTCTCATCTATGCTCTTGTATGACCATACTAAAAAGTGTTCACAAGCATAAGAAAGTGAATTTTTAGAAGAGTTAACAATATAACATGCACAGTCTGCTTGTGACTGTAAAACGCGCAGAAAACACCAATTGTGTTTTGCATATGTCAACCGGGCTTTAATCCAATCTGTGTAGTGTGGATTATTCTTTCTCTGAATGAGGTCATTTGCAAATGATTCGCTCATAAACACAGATTTCTTAACGCATTAAATTGTTTTGTTTTGGTTTTAGCTTGTAAACTTCCCGCAGTATCCATTGTCCCTGTAAGTATGACATAAATTACTCACTTCCCTTTCACTTGTATTTATAGCTTATATAAGTTATTGAATTTTTCTCAATTTTATCCATTTACAGGTGTCATCTGCTACTCGTGATGCTTTATGTCGTCTTATTATTAATGCAAGACCAAAATGTCGTATAACTTGGTTTAAAAATCATTCCTCACTGAGTCATCGTTATAATTCTTGTTATAGAAAATCAAGTGTGTCACGTTCCAGTGAGAGCAAATTCGCTAAACCTCTCTCAGAGAGAAATGTCTCTCAGAATACTGACACTGATTTGTTATCCGTAAAAGGCTCTAATCTTGCATATACTTCCCTTGGTTCAAATACACCAACAACACCTACTGTTTCTTCTGGACGTAGTTTTCAATCAAGAACAACTCCATATTCTGGTCGTAGACGTCCTCCACGAGAGTATCATTCTTTACATCCTAGTCAGTTGATTGATGTTTTAATAAATGAAGAAAATCCCGGCTCACGGGAACTAATTTCTCTCGATGATCTGGATAATGTCGACAGTCATCAGTTAACGTCATTAATTGACAATCATCAAGAAACTATTGGCCGTTGGTCTTCTCGATCAGGTACTACTAGCAATAGGCAGCGAAGGTCAAGTCACTTCTTAAGAATTTTAGTAAGTTTTATATCAAATTTTGCATGTAAGGTTATCACAATTTTTTTAAATACCTAAGTGATTCTATGTTAGGCCTTAGTATGCGCATAGATCTCTATTTTTATAGTCATCAGGAACGATTTAAACCTTAAAGAATTTCATTATCTCAGTTGGACGTGGATCCCCACCAATTAAGTTTAAAAGGTGATTACAATATGAAGGGAATTTGGTAATTCAAAAAAAGATGAATTACCAAGATGTTGGCGCGTAGAGTGTGCACAACAAAGTAACAGAGATCAAGTTCTCAAACCATGATGTCAGTCAGGCGTAATATGTAATTTCCAGCATTCTATCATTCTTAAGTTTGAAAATTATATTTGAATTAATCTCAGTGACTGAAATTTAACTAATTCCAACTTTTCGTCCAGCAAACGTGTGTTGACTTCTTCAGACAAGTTTGCTAGACGAAAAGTTGTAATTATTTAAATTTCAATCCCTGAGAATAATTCAAATATAATTTTCATATATACTGACTTTTCTATACTCGGTGCCCAATTTTTTTCAAACTATTCGTTCTAATATTGACGAATATTCGTATAAGTTGATTATCCTGTTTAAATATCTACATGTGCTTAGCATAACAGAAAGCCATTTATGTACGATTTGATACACTTATGCTCGTCCCTCAATTAAACACGGTGTCATTATCTGAGTTCTGATTGAACTACGATATTTGGTCATTGTTCTGGCATACAACATACCTAGTGAACTTCATCTAATATATACTTCAGTGTAGGCACAAAGAGGAATGAGTGAGCTTGTGCAGCCACATTTCAGACACTTGCATACAATACAGTGAACCATAGTTTGATATCCTGTTTGAGGCCGTGTAATTCCGCAGTTTAAGCATATTACATCAACCAAAGTTTGGAAGGACAGTCTCCTTTTAAAATCCTACATGGACACCAACACTTACTCAGTAAACATGTGTTATGAAACCATTCATTAAGATACAATTGACTTCTACTCTCATGCACCTCTTCGTTCTTAATCCTCGACGTATGATTACTGATCATTTAAAAACCAAGTAGCAATGATTGATCGCTGTATTTCTGATCAGCAGGGAGTTCTTGTGTTCATGAAATGGAGATTTGTGTTTTTTGTTTCTGTCACTGCTTCGTCTGCATTTCTACCATCATTACATAGGTGAATAAACGTGCGAGTTGCGGATGACGTGTGTTGTCATGTCATAATTTACTTGATTGGGGCTCCTTATAATTATTATAACCAATAATTTAATAGGTTGGTCGACATGACTCAGAATCGTTCCCATAGGCTCAGACGCATTCACTCTATATCTTATTTTCGATCTTGAATTGGACTTCGTATGTTTATCCGCGCTTTGTCGTCATTGGTCAATCTTTCTTATTACCATTGCTACTACATTATTTCGATGTCTGCTATTCGTTCTGTTACTTTCACTGAATCATGCTTATGTGATATGATAATCTGGGCTCAATTATATCTACCTCTAACAGGCTCTGCATTGATCATTACTAACTGACTCGCCTTCCTGCTCTTTATCAGGTTTTTTTTCTGTTGTGATAATATCAAGTACTAGCAGTTTGAATTGGTATACATTCACGTACTTCATTATTAACGATAATGACTATGGTACCATTTTCGACTACTATTGATGAATGCTTACTGTTTAGTTTATACCTTACTCTAATTATTTAATTTACAATAATTTAGAAACTCAATTTGCATTATTCAGCCTTCACATATATACAAGTCCCTTCCCAAGTACACAGATTCACATATACACTTAGTATCTCAACAACTTAGCCATCTTTAATATATTTTGAAATATAATGTCGAATATTTCATTATTAATAATATCAGTTCATCATAAGCAATCTAGAACCTGGCTCATATGTTCATCGACTTTGAATTCATGTCCTATAATTTCAAAAGATGTATTTACCTTTAACTTGAATATTCCATTAGGTTATTATTCTGAATTTATAAACGTAGAAATTAAAGAAAGGTTATTGAAAAAAAATTCACCATTGATATATCTGTGTTTAACTTATCCCTTTTTGTTTGCATAACATCTTGGTACTATATTATTAAATCATTAAAAACGAGAAATACAACATCAATGATTCCGTTCTTTTTTTTTTAATGTTTCTTCTTACTATGATAATTTTAGAATCAACCTCCTTCCATACCGATATGGGAGAGTGAAACCAGATCACTTATCAGTAATAGTTCAACAACTTTCAATGCTAATGAGCCTATTCATTTTATGGACATGGAAAATGATATTGTAGATGATTGTGATCAATCTGATATGAATTTAGATACTGACCTAAATAATTCAGATAATTATCTGTTATCGGAATTTCTTGATTTAGGTGGAATTGAACCATCCATTTCGGCATTACGTGAAGAAAGTGATGATGACAGAGCATATCGTATTTTACGGTTGTGTAGACGAATATGGGGTTCACGACGTATTGTTTCACTTCGACAAATGGTTGCCGATTCTGAATCTGGTGGTGAAAATGAATTCGACTCTCGAATCAATTTGGGATTGAATGAAAACGATGAAATTCTAGAAACTGAACCTGAAAATATTGGTGGAGAAGATGATGAGGATGTTGATGATGATGAAGAAGATAATAATGATGAAGATGACGATAATGACGATCCTGAAGTCGAACAACATAATGATAACATAGAAATGGATAATGAGAAAGATGAAAACGATGATGTTGATGAGGATGAAGAAGAAGGTGAATGTCAGGATGAGGATGATGAGGATGATGAAGAGGATGAGGAGGAAGATAGTGATGAACAATTAAGGCTAGGTATTAGTGAAAATTTAACCAGTGAAATGGCTCTCTTGTTAGCACAATTGGTTGCAGAATCTGGTCAATCCATTGTGAATGGTCAAGAATCTCTTATCGATCAACTGGGAATAAATTTTTCTGAGTATAGAAGTTTTCTAAGCAGACCACAACGAACAAATCAAAATACTAATACGACAACTACAGCGTCAACTTCAGCAACAAATTTATCAGTTACAAATTCACTGACCTCTACCACTCAGACAACCATATCGTCAGGAATTCATGAAGCTCAAGTTCATGAATCATACGTAACACCTAGTAGTAGTAATCTTCAATCAAATACCTTTAGAACCATGCAAAGAGACCCTAGAACCGTAACAAATATCAACCCTTCTAGAGAATGGCAAAGGAATGATGTTATGGATGAGGAAAATATACATGAAGAAACAAGCGATAATATACAAAGACAAGAAACTAATAATGGAGAAGAAGCGGTCGATATAAATCAAGATCTATTGGATATCGAAGATGCACAGGAAGGATTAGATATGTGGGCCTTTTCAGATAATTTAGAAGAAGATGTGGTATGTAATTTCTTAATTTAAGTTTTATAATGTAGTCATTTAAAAAAAAATGGATTTATGCAATTCAGTGACGTTGATTATATTTATAGCTTTTAATTATTTTCCTACTACAAAATATCTCATATAATGTTCTGCTATTGCCTAATAAATTTATATTGGTTGGATTACTTGTTTCCTAGGGTACTACCATGTTAAACAGGTCGATTGAAGAATGGTAAGAATAAAACAGGTGAACTCATGATTCGAGCGTAAAGTCGTACTACCAAATATACAGGGGTATGAAGGCAGTAAAGTGGTGTCCTTGGTCAACCCCATTATCTGCAGCGATGCTACCCTCTGTAACCGGAGGATGGGAAATGGTTGATTGTTGAAAACAGCACAATTCAGCTTTTCCCATAAATCTCGATCACCAACGGTAATTGCTTATAAATACAGAGCGAACGCGTTTAAAAGTAGTTACAGCAAGGACATATGTGTTCTGAGGTAGTTGTCCATTAAATTATATGGTCATGCTGTACTGTCTACAAGATAACTACTCATCCAGTTCCATTTCTTGGTTGTTCAAGTAGAAGTATACTTCCACTATGTGACCAGACGGAATGTAACAACCTCCGAGGTACCTCTAATGGGACTCCAGATGCGCAGGAAATTGAAAAGATATCCACATTTCATTGTGACCGGCTGAAGTAGTATTAAATTTCACCAGTGAACTTTTCTTGTTTCATCATGTTGTGTAATAATTTCATATATTCTTTTTCTTGCTTTGATCGTACCTGTCGCCACTGCTGTTTTTTTGTTCTATAGCTGTTTACACTGGCCCTACAGTTGAGTCTGCGTGATCAAGGCGGTCCAGGTACTAGAGATAATGTTGAAGTGAACGACCAACAGTCAGGAGATACTTCATGCCTTCAATCTGTTTCTCAGGAAGTTGTCTCCTTACCCGGAAATGAAAATGCTGATCACACAGAACAACCAAACAACGAACAAAATTCCTCAGAATTCAGTCAGCTAGATCATGCAACAAGTTGGTCTGCTGAACCAAATGTTTCAGACACAGTAATATACTTAAAAATATTTTCTTTGATTTCTCATATAATTTTTAATCCATGTTATACTTTTTGCTCTAACGATGAGCGAAAAAAACATTAAGATACATGATAATATATTGGGTGTTTAAGATAATACTATTTCACTGCATAAATGCTAGTTTTACCAGATTTAAAAATTTGTCTAGTGGTCATTTTTACCACAGATTTGTATATACGTGTGTTTGAATACTGTTATACAGTACTTTGGCATTGTGAGAATCGCTAATTTCGTCATCTATTTAAGACGTGGTAACTACTCCATATCTCAGTTCTAAACTAGATGAGATAGCATTAATGAAGTAGAAGCGTCAGAGTCATCAAATGTAGTCACGACAACACTATGGTAATTTTTGACTGATGGTACGACTTTTTATTACCTGCAGTTACAGATTTTCCCTTTCAGCAACTATATCGAGCACCATGCACTAGTCGAATTTCGTTTTGGGTATCTCGGTAATATAACTAGCTCTCATGCATAAAGTGTACCACGAAGTTGATTACTTGGTCAATAAACAACATTACAAATAATTTCACAATTTTTCAGGAAGCTAGCATTTTCGCATTAAGCGATAGTACACTAATAGTGTTGAGTTCTTATTTATTTACAATGAAAAAGTGACTTACATTGAGTGACGAAACATCAGAAATACAATATTCTACTCGTCGGGATATAACAAAACCATATTTATTGTAAACGTTCTAGCCAATGCGCCCAACTTCGAGACCAGCAGACAGGATTCCACAAGGATAGATCGTGTAGAGACCAAATCTCAACTCTACGGATCATTGTGGAACAATCAGTTGAATGGAATTCATCACTGTACATCAACTTCATTGACTAAGAGAAAGCATTTGATAGCATGAACAGGACAACACTATGCAGGTCTCTTCGACTCTACGGCGTGCCTGAGAAGATAGTCAACATCATACAGAATTCCTATGATGGATTAAACTGCAAAATCGTGCATGCAGGACAGTTGACAGACTCGTTCGAAGTGAAGACCGGTGTCAAGCCAGGTTGCTTACTCTCACCCTTTCTCTTTCTCCTGGTGATCGACTGGATTATGAAGACGTCAACATCTGGGGAGAAGAATGAGATACAGTGGAAAGCTAGGATGGAGCTGGATGATCAAGACTTCACAGATGATCTGGCTCTTCTATCGTACATGCAACAACAAATGCAGGAGAAGACGACCAGTGTGGCAGTAGCCCCAGCAGCAGTAGGTCTCAACATACACAGAGGGAAAAGAAAGATTCTCCGATACAACACTAGACGCACCAATCGAATCACACTTAAGGGAGATTTGGAAGGTGTAAAAAGCTTTACATATCCGGTCAGCATCATTGATGAGCATGGTGAGTGTGATGCATATGTGAATGCATGGATCGGCAAAGCAAGAGCAGCATATTTACAATTGAAGAACATCTGGAACTCAAAACAACTGTCAACCAGCATCAAGTTCAGGATTTTCAATACAAATGTCGAGAGAGTTCTACTGTATGGGACGAAAACTTGGAGAATTACGAAAGCCATCATCTAGAAGATACAAGTGTTCATTAACAGCTGTCTACGCGAAATACTTCGGATCCGTTGGTCAGACACTATTAGCAACAACCTACTATGTGAGAGAAGAAACCAGATCCCAGTGGAGGAAGAAATCAGGAAGAGTCGCTGGAAGTGGATATGACACACATTGAGGAAGGTACCAAACTGCGTAACAAGGCAAGCCCTCACATGGAATCCTGAAGGTCAAAGAAAATGAGGAAGACCAAAGAACACATTACGTCGTTTTCTTTTATTTGATGTACAAAACTAGTAAGCGTACATATATATATAAATCAAATGTGAGAACATATTATCATAATATAATAATACACTATTCCCGTTATAGCTACCTATTACAGACAAAAATATTGTTAGCTTGCATCTATCATATTTTACGTCTACTTACTAGGAGTATTATTTGTGTTTAACCATATTTCCAGTGTATTTTAGTTAAAATAAAAAAATTCAACCTTTTTTTCCTTTTTTTTCTCTTGCTTCATTTAGCCTGAAAGGACAATGAATTCTCCTGTTCAAGGTAATTTTTCGTATTAAAACAAATCGTTGTAGTTTGTTTTCATTTTAGATTGATTTCGATTCGAGATAGATACATATTGGAAACTTCTTATTTATTATTTGTTCAAACACACATTGTTACAAGGAGCCACCAAATATTTATGCACCACACTTCATCTTTCAGTTTGTGTGAGGGCTTGAACCGAAGCAGATGGTTTTCTTAAGGGACCACTCCCCGAGCTTTTGACCTAGAGATCTAATTTTGGAAATCTAATCTAATAAGGCATTAGAGCAGCGTTAGGAAATGCATCACTATGGTAGCCGGTGACCAGCAATTAGTTTACACGCGGTTTGTTCCCTCAGGATCCTGGAGCCCATATGCACCATTGGTTTGGAATCAGGGTTTTCCAACTCCCCTAGGTGGATCGATCGTCCGTATCCACCAACCCAGTTAAAGCTCCGGAGCTAAGTTTTTCGTCCTCTCAATTCCGTAAACGACCCCCCCCCACCGCAAGAAGGCAGTGAATAGGACTTCCCTGGCAGTGGCTGTATATGCATGACCATGTGAGTGCATTTCCAGTGGGAAAGCTGACTCCTTCATTTCAAGCTTTTAAATATACAAGGCTTATCAGGTTGATCAAATGAATCATTCTACGTTATCATCTTCCGCATACAATTTTCTTTTAAAAATTGTTCTCTTTTGCATTTAAAATTCCATGCATAATTTGATGCATTCATGTATGTATTAATTCCTTTTCAATATCATCTTGTTGTTTTTCACTCAGAATCATCTAATCAACCAATTGTTTTAGCTTCATCAAATCCATGTCAATCAGTTGTTACTCATGAAAATGTTTTTGGAGACAATGATGATGATGGTTTCGTCACTACTATTGTAGCAGGTACTGGTGTTGCTGTTCAAGAAGAAGACCTCTCTGATTTGTACACTTTGTTTGATAATGAAACAATGTCTTCATCTAAACCTTGTGATATGACATTTAATGAAGCAACACATAGTGGAAATCCTTTTACTCCTACTACTACTTCCAATGTTACAATTCGCACTACTATCACTACCAAAAACTACGGCCACATAACTAATAAAAATCACGATTTACAATCAATAAGCAGTACTATTATGAGCAGTGATGACGATGATAGTGCACCGGAATCAAATATTTTACCAAATTCATATCGTTATAGTAGAAGAAAGTCGTCTTTTTATTCAAAATCTATAAGTCTAGACGATGATGGTGTTAATGATAATGAGGATGATGATGGTGATGTTCATGATCCTGAAAATACTTGTGCAGATCATAATGATGTTCAGGACACCAGTCATAACCCAAATTTCATCACTGATGACTATTCTAAGGATGTTAATCATCAGGTTTTAGATCATTCAGACAACAATAATAATCTTAAAAATCTTCGGAATCAAGAAAATAATAATAATAATGAGGATAACAATGATGATAAACAGACTATTTTATCCTTATTGAATTACACTTTGAGCAACACAAATTTATACTCAAAATATCATAGACAAAATTTAGCATTATTATTTTGTTTAAATATATCAAATTATTTATCAAATGAATGGAATAATATTATAATTAAACAATCAAAATGTATGAACACATTATCATCGATATCATCTGGTCATAGTCAACAATTTGTACCTATTCTACAGTTTATGATCAGTTTAATACGTATTTTACATGGAAATGCATGTCAACTTAATGCAGAGATAATAGTACTCCAACAACAACATGTACAATCTACTTCAGTGTCCACTACTATAAAATGCAATCATATAGATTATCAGAATAAATTTTATTTGGATTACATTAAACAACTACTGTATAAAATCAAGTGAGAAATTTTAAAATTATTATTTCATTGTTTTATTGTAATACTTGTTATTGTAATCATAGTAATAACTTTACCTGTAAGATTTATAGATATCTTAAGGTGTACAATCTTGTGTCAGGATGAAGTCTTTTTTTATCTATTGTTTCTCTGATTGATGTACTGTTTCGTTTAGATAGTTATCTTCAAAGTAAAAACTCATCTTTAAATCAATAATTAAAACAAAATAAGATATATTTGAGGGAAATAAATTGTTTTCAATATAAGATATGAACTTCAGATTCTTAGCTCTCATTAATGTTTTAATTACTAGTAAAGCAATAATTAGTCAAGTTGGGTTGTAAGTCAAATGAAATTGTCCAAATAGATATGGACAAAATAAAGTGATTCGATAATAATTTGACTGCTAATTATTTTAAACAGACTGTTACGTAATTCTTGAAACAATATGAATTATAGAGGGGATATATTTGAATTGACTACGACTCTGTACACTTTCGAAACGACAAATCATCCACTTGATAATAATTTCAGTTCTAGGTAAACACACAAATCAGCAGACTTTATTTTCAAGTCATACACTATATGTTATGTCTGACAACCATCTTAGGTGGTTGATATTCACGTCCTCATTAAAAAGTTTGCCACCTTTATCAGGTACCATATACCTGATATCTGCATTACTCATTCAGTCGTTTCACAATAGATGCAAACAGTGCTTCGGCTATCAAATGGGATAAAGGTTTGGATCTGTGTTCTCAAAGTTTGAAAGCCAGGTGCCTTACATACAAAGGTTTCGCGCTATAACCTCCTTGTTTACTTGTTTTACTTTATTGGTTGCTTTGTGATTATCATTATTTCTATATTTTCTGGGTTTTTTTCTTTCAAAGTATCTGTAACGCGGTAGTCAATAGATTTTAGTATGAATACTTTCATTACAAAATGTTTTTATACTTTCTTTTTAGAATTACATTGAAGCAGCTGATTCGAGCAATTATTAATGGTTTAATACAAATTGTTTCAACTTTTCCCACTGATAACGATGGTTATACAATAAAAACAGATTTGTACGGTGTCAATAATCTACGTGAAAATTTCGAAAAAATCATTCATTCCGATACCTTATTATTATTAGAATTTATAGTACTACAATTATATGCATTAATAGAAATCTTTGGATCAATTCCATCATCAGCATTATTATCTTCCTCAAATGATGGTTCTAATTCATTCTCTTTAATTCATTTATGGCTACATGAGGAATGCAGTTCAGATAATGATTGTCGAAAAATGACACAACCTCCAACATTATCATCGGCTCCGTCTTCATCATCTATAGGACAACAACAGTTCAACCCGAAAACTGTAACAACAACAGCTGATCAAATGCATGTATTGTCTAATGAACTTGATTTGCGTGCATTAATCGATCAAATCATAGAATTTTGTTTAACTTTTATAGAAGTATTATATACACAATTGCTTAAAAGTTATGAACTAACTAGCGCCAGTTGTTCTACAAATGTAGGTTTTTGCTTTTTTGTTTTTGTTGACTTTATGTATATTTCGCTTTATCAAATGCTAATTTTTAGCATAATAATTTGTTATTGAGTATGTAGAAGTGTATTCTTGAAGTTATTACTGATTGCTCTTTTGCATAGTGTCTGTAGTAGTGTATTCACTGTCAGACGATAAGAGCTGATAACTTTTTTAAAATCCAAATTTCTAAAAATTCTTAGAATGTTTTGTCATTTTTAAATCAAACTTGGCATTATTCTGTTGGAATTTTCGAAAAAATTGCTAACCTAAATAGGACATTCTATACAAACATAATTTTAAATATAAAATGGTTATTCGTTAGGTCGTCAGGAAACCCTGGATGTAGGTTTTTTGCTATTCGACACTACTCAACAATTTGTGCTTGTAATCTTGAGGGGACTAGAGCTTTCTATTGGGTTCGATCCTGCGTCACTTAGCTTCACAAATAGTCGCTACCGCTGAGTTATTCGGATTGCGACTATCGTCCTGTGGAACTGAGATGTATTTACAATTGATTGTTCGCTGTGCATTAGTTTCCTTAAGATTACAGACATACTTTACTGATGAATGTCAAATAGCACAGAACCTGGTTCCAGCATTTCCTGTTGACTATAGACAACCTCCGCTTTGCGTCCCAACATAATACACACATTTTTGAGTTACTTAGACTAGCAACTACATTTCAACCTGATCGATAGAATTCTGTCAGCACTAAAACATACTTGACGTACATGACATTTGTCACTCCTTAGTCATTGTAAATCGGTTGATTATTTAATAACGATAGCTATATTTATAGTGTTAAATTGAGCATGCTATACAACGACTAGCATCCACCTTTGAAAGTCGATAATATTGACAGTATTTCACAGTGAAATGTTTGGAGTTATAGCATTAAATTTTACACAAGACAGATGGGAGATCGAGTGAAATCCGGAATAAAATAGAAAATCATACATATTCAAATTTGCGAATTGTTTAAATTGTTTTGTTCTGCAGCGCTGAAATAATGCTACTATTGTCAGTATAGGTTTGTTGAGATTGTTGACATTAGAAGATGGTCTCACAATATGGTGGATTGATTGAAGTTTTACTTGTACATGATTGGATCCTCACACAGTGGTCTAGAAATTAGGCGTTGACGCGTCCGACTGAAGGTCGTATGTTTGATTCGTGCTTGTGCGGTCGTGATGTTCCACAATAGGATGAAACAACCGTGCAGTGCTTTTAGGTTTCCAATGATCGTCTAGCTTTGATCTGTTTGTGATTTCAATGAAATTGTTACCACTCCTTTTTTCCGGTTTCTCAATTTCAGGAAGTGGACATTACTGAACAATGTGATGCAATACGATTCAGTCATTCATATTTGAGTAATTTTCCAAATGCTATAAGTAATCCTTTAGCATGTGGTCTTCTACAAGGTATCATGTATAGTTTACAGAATAGTGGTGAAACTGTAATCGGTACATCAGCTAGAGGTCTACTCAGTTGGTTACCTTTAATTAATTCATCTCATTGTTTAGATTATATCGGTAATCCAATAATGAGTCAATTAGGTTGGTTAGCCACTAGAGCTTGTATTAAATTACCAAATATTCTATTATACCTTTTATCATCAACATGTAAAGATAAAAATGGATTATCATCAAACAGTGGGAAATCTATGTATCATTCTTTTAAAGTCTCTTATTTATCAAGTGAATCAGAAAGTCGATGGTGTTCTGTATTATTCAATTATAAAGATTTATTGCGTCATCCTACCCTATTTAAATCTCAATTTACTGCAACAAATCCTGTAAATGTACAGCAACAGAATGGTAATAATAATAATTCGGATTATTGTACAAATAATGTAAATGTCTCCAGTAAACTTTTTCAATTTATAAACTTGGAAGGTGTTCAACAAAATTCAAAGTTAATTTATCCATTAGAACGTGAATTACAATCGGTAAGTTGTTTCTTTTGGTTACTTTCTCTCTGCTAGCTAGTGACCTTTTGGTAGATATCAATTAAAATTAGTTATTTTTCTCTTTCATAGGATAAATTATATATATATATATATATATATATATATATATATATATATATATATGATTGGAATTTGTTATTTGAAGTGTATATTTTAAGTGATTATGTTGTAGTCAGTGTGGTAGTTCTTATGTATCAGTAAGTGTTGATTGATATATTATGAACCATAAGTAATAATGTCAACTGTGATGGAAACTTAAATATACAAAGTGAATAAATAAAGTTCAAGAATATGACACCCAACTCAAGATTCAGATGGAAAGAAATAACAAACAATAATGAATCATTGTGACCGATTTCAAGTCATGTCATCCAGTGTATGTAATCATGGTTGACTAATATCGCATAAGGTTCAGTCTGGAAGTTTATACCTTCCGACAAGACTCAGTATTGTAGTCAATATCTTTGTAGATTAATGCCGTTCGATGGAGTTTCTGGTATATATGAAAGCTACCTACATATTGGCATTTTTTAGAAATCCATCGACTAGACAATTTATCTTTTCTGCTTTAGAAATTTTCTTACTGTCTCAATTCTTTTTTTATGTACTCAAGAACTTACAATAACAATAAATGAAATTCATCTGGGTTTTTTAACTAATAGTTGTATTAAGAGAGGTTACTGGGTACATTTTTTTCAACTTAACTTCTATATTTATTAATATTACTCTAATTTATGCGCTTTCACAAAGTCAAAAAATCATAATTTGTGTATTTTATTACGATTTGGATCTTCTATTGTGTTTTCGTCTTTTGGTGATTTATGCACATACATTTTTGATTTAGTTTGTGAATTATTGGTTAATCAGTGAAATTCTGGCTTAGTGGTTAAATAATCCAACTTTCAACCACTGGAGAAAAAGTTCGACTCCAGCTCCCACCTATTTTAGTTTGAGCAGATGGCTATAATATCTCACCCTAGCCATCACATATAAAGTATGTCTTGAAGTGGACCTCAATGAATCAGTTTTTTCGTATATATGCGTCCTGTGCGAAACGCCTCGATATCGCCATTAAGTCAACAGGATTTTAAGCCGAGTTGGATGGTGACTAGCAGGGGAATCCGGGACGTGTGTTTCATTCAGTTTAAGACTCGTCAGCTGGACGTATCTGCATCTCACAGTTGTTATTCACTCCAGAACTCCAACCTCGTACCACTCACATCAAATGTAATCGCGTGATCTACTCAGCTACTAAGTTCATAAATCCACTAGCTTGTGTGATGACGTGAACTTTAATTAATTTGTTTTCACTTGTTTTGTAACTGTGATCGGTTTGTGTTTCACTGAAATTCAACAATGTCCACAACCTCTTACTAATGTGTTAAAAACTTGCATACAGCCTAATGAGTGTTGCAAAGAAAATAAATTAAGTTTATTACTAAGAACGGTTTGTGTTTTTGTCTGCACTTTACGTGTAAAAGTATCATTTCACCAATAAATACTTCTCTACATGTTTGTTGTTTTTGTACTCTACAACTTGTTTTAAATATTTTATAAAAGCAAAATGATGAGTAGCTGATTTTTTTTATCAGGAATCATGTTATGCCACCGGTGAAATAAAAATCCCACTATTCATCAATATAACCAAGTAGATTTTACTAAACTAAATGAATGGAAAAACTCTAATTTGTGATTATAAATATGTTGTAGGAGAAATTTTTATCTTATCAACCAACAGCTTAGAATGTTAATGTTTAGTTTGACCCAGTTCTTATTCCTCACTCATTCACACTCCTTTATCACAGTAATGTAGATTACGCTGATTCATGGTCAATCAATTAATTAATTTCTATTATATATCTTTATTTATTCACATTCCTTTTGTATTCCAGCTGTTAATATCTATAGTAGGACCTAAAAGTTACCGACAACTACAAGATGTCCATCGTTTAGCTAAACTGTTACAACGAATCCGTGATATCTGTGTCAATACTGGTGGTCTAATAATTCATAATGGTTGTGGATCTATGGAGTTTACGGCTTGTGGCAGAACATCAACAACACCCAGTTGTACTTCTTCAAATGAGCTAAATAATTTGTCAGTAAATTCTAAACCTAATCTTAGTACTAATTGTACAGCAACAACTGTTGATGAAGGTCCTCGACTGACTTCAAGTTCCTATTTGTGGTCACAGGACAAAGGTGTATTCGCCAAACAACTACGTTTACCATATATAGCTCAAAGAGAAATTGTAAGTTATTAACATTCACTAACTTTCCATTGTTAACCATGACTATTTTTATCTCTACATAACGAAGACAAAGACTCGTGGTTAAACAAAGTTAGCTGTCGATCAACAGACAGGAGATTTCGCTTTTTAGATCAATAAACTATCATTACAATTAATTCTGACAACGGACAATATATGTGATAATATAAATGCCATAATAAATGTGTAACTGATATGACCGGTATTTTATAGTTCTTCGAAAGATATGAGAATGTTAATTGACTTCATACGGACATCGTTATTTCAAAATTAATGTTAATCTGACTATATGTCTTCAATTCTTTGTTTTGTAATTTTAAACGAACTCATTATCATGATATATGAGCCAAACAGAGTTCATGTGATAAAATATTTTGTCAAGTGTGTGTAACCCACTGTCACTTGTCTGTTAAGTTATTCAAATTGACTAACATAGACGTATGTTCTTAAGGATTTGTTCTAAACTGAATTTGGATTATTAAGATACGATTTTGTTTTTATTAGTTTGCATCGTGTGTTGAAATCAGTGGAAAACTTGAAGCACTAAATATTTGTTTCTTCCTAATTTGGAACTCATAGGCAATGAATACTCATAATCTTCTTCTAATATGGAGCTCGTGACCTTTTAAGCTCAAAAATCCCTAAACTAAAACGAAATATTTCCAAATGATTGATTATTGAATATTAGTGACTAATCAAGACCAATCATAGCCCAAACATTTCATTGATGACATCTCAAAGTGATTCAAGTTCGAATCCCACGGAGAGTATCCATTCCTTCAATATATGCAAGTACATTTCGTTTATGCGTAATAACTAACACAAAACCCTAGTTCATGCAAAGTTTCTTCCCTATCACTTTTAAACACCTGACACGGGAACGAAACAACTGCCCGGTGATATCTAGTTTTCAATCATTATCCAGTTAGTGTTTCTCTATGATGACAAACAATCTCCAACTAAATGATTTCCATAAATCTTCCTTTGACTTAAACAAGTAGTACCTTTATAAGAACTGTTGGTATCGACTATAGAATAGTATAGTATCTTGAATACTTTGCAAACTCAGGGTTTTCAGTGTGTCGTGCTAATGCCACTTATTTTATAACATCAAAAAAAAAACAAGTTCTTTCATAGATAACTTAATATTGCATGAGTTTAATGTAATTTAACTTGCTCACTAGGATTTGTTTTTTATGACTGACAATTCTATCTACCCTTTCGTCTAAACTGAAGTAGAAACAAAGTTATTATTCAAATCTTAGACCTTTCATTTAATATAATAATATAATATAATAGCTACCATATTTTTCTTTGTCTAAGTTACAAAGCTAAGATTTATTTTAAAACTTTTGTTTACATTTCATAGTTGGAAGATATTTCATTATGTTTAGCGATAGCAGTGCGTAATACAGCTTACTGGCAAAGATTATGCCTTCGTTCATCAGGTTAGTTTTTGATTTGTCTAGCTTATTCCTTTTGTCCCCTTTTTGAATGACCTTGGTTTGAGTACGGATCAGCCAATCATAAGTAAGCTTTAACGTGTCATTTATGTTCATCCGTTCAAGTTGCTACACCTTATCATCACAACCAGATAGAATTATTTATACTTATACTATTTTAATAATTCTATCTGGTTGTGATGATAAGGTGTAGCAACTTGAACGGATGAACGTAAATGAAACGGTTGACTTTAAGTGCCCGGCAAATATGATTCCCTACCACCCATTTTAAAAAAATTGTGGGGTGTGAATGAAAAATTTACATATCGTTGATTGGTTTGCTTATTTTGCAAGTGTATACTGAAGTGAAAATGAACAAAAATTTTTGTCACCTTTAATTTTGTGATTGGTCGTAAACTGTTTATCTGTGCAATATGATTAGTTGAAATCGAAATAGCACCAAGTGCTGTGATTGGATGTCATAATTTGCATTTGAAATTTGAAATTTAATGATAATGAATAATTATTTTTGTGTAATGTTAGTCTTGAAAATTTTTTTTAGAATTTTCAAGAAAAAAAAACACCAACTGAAATCGTACTGTTATAGAATGTGTGTTTGGATAAATTTTTGATTTCCGATCAAGTGATTTTATGTCACGAGTACTTATATGTATCACATTGAAAGCAAGTTTTGGGAAAACGGAATTGAAAACCGGTTTTAATATTTGATAATAGTGATTACTGAATTAGGTCGGTAGTCTAATGTTGAATACCCAATTAATAAACAAACTATCACCGAAGTGTATGCATAAGTTTTTTAGTAACACATAGTCTGTTAATGGGAAAAAGAAATCAACATATCAATAAATCATCATGATAAATTACTAATTGCAGTATGTATAATTCAGGTGAACCAACCGTAGACCATCATTTGATGAAGTAATAATTTTTCATAAATAGGCACTTAATATTTAGTGAAGGTTCATTTTTTAAATAGTCATTCTTAATAAGAATTAGAAAACGTTAGGGTTAATTTTAAAATCCATAGAAATGAATTACGGTTTTCACTTGTAAATTATTTGTAGTTCTGCATTTTAAAATTAACTTATTTATCATAATAAAAAGTAGTGCGTATAATCGGTCATGTTTGAATATTGTTAACCGTAATACGAAACCTGAAATATCTATACATTATGAATGTAACCATTTTTGACAAACATTTGAAGTATTCGTTTCATGAAGTTTAAATGAACAAGCCCACGTCGTCTGACTCAACAAATATCTATCGGCATTAAACGTATAAATATGAACAAGGTCTACTGCATCAATAAACCTTTATAATGGTTATTATTATTTTTGCATTTTAAATTTTGCTATAATACTATTCCACTTATTATGACTGAACACTTTACTGCTAATCATCTAGACCTTTATCTAATGACCTTTTAAAATTGCAAATATTAGAATTTGTAAATATATATATATATCATAACATGCAAATGTGTACCAATGTTAACATTGGTACATTGTTACATTAATGCCATGCCTTATTTTTGGCCTTTCTAAAATATTCATGATCTCAATCAAAAACTTAATAATCTCCACAACCCCTATACTAGTAATCAACATGTGCTCACTAGTGACTAGCTTCGTGAGAGAATTCTCGGAGTTCTAGTGAGAAGCCGTGACCAGTGGAGCTAATCCTTGTCGGGTAGAGACAGGTATCTACCTCAGTACAACGGAAGTTGGTCGCGCAATTTCGTGGATTAGTTGATGTTAGAAACTGTCACCATTGGATGCCGGCTCAGTGGTCCAGTTGGTTAAGCGTTGGCGCGCGAGACCGAAGGCCCTGGGTTCGAATCCCGCTCGCGGGATCGTGGATGCGCACTGCTGAGGAGTCCCACAATAGGACGAGACGGCCGTCCAGTGCTTCCAGGTTTTCAATTGTGATGGTCTAACATCAATCGGTTCATGATCTCAAATAAAATTACGGACTTGTAACTGTTTAGTGTTATGATGAAGTTATTTTAAAACTATTGTTCACTAAAGTAATTTTTATTTTCGAATATTTTATGATAACTGTTAAGTGCTACAATGTGATTCTACGAGATCGGAGGTCAAAAGGAAGTAATTCCTAAATTATGTGACAATTTTAGAGATTAATGGAATTGAATAATGATAAGATCGGTTACGTAATAATAATTATATGAATTCTGAAATTAATATGATCTAGGAGTATCAGGTGTTCGAAATCTGTGAATAAACATTTCGTTTAAAGGGTAACCTCTGACCTGTTCTGGTATATATATATATATATATATATATATATATATATATATATATATAATGGCGCCACACATAGGACAGTGCACTGCTCGTACGTTCGGTGATGGGTCGTAGGCACAGAAGGTAGGAAACATTGCTTCACATGTACAGAACACCCAAGCAACCGCATCACCGGTTTCACACGGCGGCTGGGCAAGATTACAGATGTCGCATAGTCGGTTCTTGTCATCCTCTTCTACATTTTGGATGTCCCGTTCAGTTAACTCTTCGGAGTTAATAGAAATTATTTCCTCCTCATCGTTACCGAGCGTTTCATCCAAATCAACAGTTCCTCGTTGCATAAAGGGCAGTGCAACGTTAGCCAAGGTTGTTGAATGGATGTACGAATGCTGTTCTCCATGCGCAAGTTCAACGGCGTTGTCGGTAGTTCACCGTGAACTATGAAGCCATGAAGTGAACTGCATTGTTCCTCAGACATTCGCCTGACTAACGCTATCAATGCATTCTTCATGCTCGGCTGTGGCCGCACAGTTTCAACCTCAGCATCCGTTAACTTGCGCATCTATGAATTAGTTTGGTACCTCAGGGAAGTGCACTCGTGATTGTGATGCACATTCCCACACACAACAGTCCAGTATCAGTCTATAATCTTACAAAACATGAATGCCGGACATTGTGTGTTCATGGAAGCCCTTCGTGAAAAAAAATTATAATTACATTAACCAAATTACCTTCTCCGTCTGATCCTCTGTGACAAACCGCTAGACCTTATACGCCCATTTCTCCATACACAAATTTAATATACGAATTCTGATCTCTGCCCGTATGCGAATCTCTCACTACATAATGACTGTAAGTCGATCTTTCGAAAGTTGCGATAGCGGCCTTTAACGCTTCAACTGATGGGAACGCAACAAAAAACAATGTTGTCAAAAACACTTCCTCCGTTTCTGTGACTTCAGAAACGCCAGCAAGTTACTCTCCTCCATAATGACGATTAAAATGTAACAATTTTCAAGCCGTAACTAACCAATTAAAACGAATTTTAAAAATAGCCATTTCATTGGACGAAACAAGGGATGGAAAATATTGTAATTTGGGGGTGGAAAAAAATTTCAGTGGGGGGATTTTTTAAAAAAATTTCAAAAATTGCCGGGTGGATAATAAAAATCTAACAACACTATCAGTAATGATAGGAATGCTAGACCTAAACAATATAATGTGAGAAAATAAAATAAATTGACGAAAGAGGAACGTATAAAATAATTTTGAAACCCGAAATCTGAGGTAAAGAAAGGTCTCCATGGATCTCTTAATATAATAACCCGGATCTTTATCTGTCAGTCTGGATCTACCAGTACATTTCAGTTCAATAGTCGTTTAGTTCATGTCACATCTTCGTTTGATCGTATCTACCTTTGTTCAAACATACGTACACGCTAGTAAACATTGTTCTTTAAGGTAGGCAGTGGTTAGCGACAAGTAATAAATACTTCGTCCGCATATTACAAATATATTGTATGTATCTTGTATTCTTCTCGAAAGTTGTTCGGAACGTAGACTTTAGTGTGTTTCTATGCGCGCCTAACATGGATATCAAATGTTATCTATTGCTATTGTTGAACGTTGATCAAGCGATTTTGTCTTTGAAGATATCCGTTAGGCGAATAGTGAATTCTATTAGTGAACAATTGAAGCTTCTTCTAACACAAGGCAACGAATCGGAACTTAAATAGGTCGGATTTCTGTCAAACACAACACTTGAATGTAAATAATCCGCGTACTAATAATTTAGATCGAAATTCCACGATAACTTTATATTTTACACAGAAGTCAAGAATCGGTAAGGTACAATGTTATTTATATTGGAAAATCCAACGACCTTTGAGTAACTAACAAAGTTAACGTAAAGTGTTAACAACCAATCAGATAGCGACAAAGGTTGTTGTGAAAATATGACAAAATATATCATCAAGTTTACATTTTAAAGAAAGAGTTACATACAATAACAAAAAAACTAGATAACTAAATTTCATCTGACATGAGATAAGATACGTAACTTTTCTCTCTTGAATACATATATTTCTGTAATCCAAATGGTTTACTCTGATTTGCCTTTGTTAATCTTTTTGTCCTATGAAGGTTCTTTATTGTTCTTGTTCCATACCAGTTTGGTTCTTGACAGAAAAATTGCACGCAATATGATATATTTAATTCAACTGGCTATCTGTCCAAACTCATTGGAGTCACGTAGTCATAGTACCGTAAAACACGTAAGTCTTTTTTAAAAAGAATTTAGATCAGTGTTACTCTTTGTGAGTTCTTTGAGATCATAAACGTATCGATGTTAGACAGCCACTAAACACCTGAAAACACTGGATGGCCGTGTTATCTCAGTTTTGGACTCTTCAGTTCTTATAACTTAGATCGTTTCATGATTACATTGAAGTTCAACAATCTCCACAATCATATACTGACAATCATCTGAGTACTATTTGATCTGAAAAAGATAGTGAGTGATAATGGTATAATTGAGAATTATGGTTTTAAAAACTGACTTAAAACACCATAGACCAATAATAAAATTCAATACTTAAAAGAAGTTTATGAATAAAAACCTTTGTCCCAATCCTATCGATTTCAGCTCATGTCATATATAATCCTTAACCACTGACTATTACAATTATTGTGTTCACATTAACTAGTTAGCTTGCAGATTCCGAAACTAAAGACGCGAACCAATCTGATAACAAGGCTTATGAATTGTCATGAAATCCTCAAATTCAATGCAACAGTTGTGCAATGTATTCTATGTCCAGTCGATGTTACCTCAAGATAAAAACCTTTTTTAAATGAATACATTCAGTGGTTTTACACCATAAACTAATCTTTGGTTAAACAACCCTTGAAAATCAAGAAACACTGGATAGTTTTTTTATCTTCAGTTTATCTGCTTATCGTGATTTGGCCAACTAGGTAGCACCATTACTCGGTTTATTATACCTTTGTATTCTTACACTCATAAGCCATAATGCATAAACTATTGTTATGTATTGGACAATTCTTCTTCAGGTATGACTTAACCTTTAGTTCATTGTTACTGACTTATAAACTAAACAGTACAATCAAAGTTCTTCTGCTTGCTGTTTTCGTAATTTATTCTGGTTATTGAGCGAAAAATGCTTAGGAAGCTATATTTTGGACCATTGGTATTGATTATTAATGTCGGTCACTATTTCACTATAATATTATTGTTAATTACAGAAATATCATTGTAACATTTGCTAACAGAAGGTCATTAGTTGTATATAATCAATTCAGGTAGATTAATCAGTAATCGGACACAAGTATACAACTACTCCCATCATATTGACCATTTACACAGAACTCAATATAATTCAGACATTTGAGTTATTTGAAGATACATCACAATGAAGTTACATATAAAACATTTTGCTATTTTATGTTCATAACATGTTTTTTTTTAAATTGTTTTGTTTAAATTTTTCTCTACCTCATTCTTTTTCTTTATTATTAAGTTACATGATGAACTTAAACGTTCAACTTATTCAGTTCAATCAACTGAAGTGAAATTATCACGAATTATTGCACGTTATTTAATACTACCTAGGGATTCAGAAATATCTACTTGTTCAGAGATAAGCTTAGATGAGAATATGTCGAATTATAATAATTCAAAGCGTACAGATTTACTTATTTCACCTTTATTCACACAATTCGTTCGTACATTTCTGTGCCGATGTCCTAAAAAAGCTATTCGTGATTCAACAGCACATATATTATCTACAATATTCAGGTAAATACTTTTTTTGAGGTAAAGAAAAATCCTAATTTCCATCAACTATGACTCTTTTCGCCAGTCGATTTACGTATTAAATGATAATTATTATTATAGGGCGTTGTGGAATTTATTTATTTATTTGAACATATGAATATTGGTACAATGGGGCACCAAATACATATGCGCAGCACAGTAACAGTGAGGCCAATAGCAGTTATCATCGATTTGTGTGAGGGCTATGATACTGCCCATGTGCTCAAACCGAAGCAGGGTGTTGTGGAAATTGTTAGCTGATCTTACTTAGACAACTACTGAAAACCAGAAATCATCGGAAGATTACTCCATCTTAGTTTTGGGACTTCTTGGTAGTGAGAATGAACCCTACACCTGAAATCAAACCCAGAATTTTCAGGTTTCGTTGCAGCGAGTACCTATCCTAAGATCACTGTGTTATCGTTAAGTAGTTCAGATGTCTAACTTTAATTAATTCTCTTTTTTTGTTGGACTATCACTCTCCACTCAATACCAGGAAACGTCTTCAACAGGGTATTGTTAAACAGCATGAAGGACTCCGTGGACGCTCAACTTCGAGACCAGCAGACAGGATTCTATAAAGAAAATAGATCGTGTACAGACCAAATCTCAACTCTACGGATCATTGTGGAACAATCAGTTGACTGGAATTCATCACTGTACATCAACTTCATTGACTAAGAGAAAGCATTTGATAGCATGAACAGGACAACACTATGCAGGTCTCTTCGACTCTACGGCGTGCCTGAGAAGATAGTCAACATCATACAGAATTCCTATGATGGATTAAACTGCAAAATCGTGCATGCAGGACAGTTGACAGACTCGTTCGAAGTGAAGACCGGTGTCAAGCCAGGTTGCTTACTCTCACCCTTTCTCTTTCTCCTGGTGATCGACTGGATTATGAAGACGTCAACATCTGGAGAGAAGAATGAGATACAGTGGAAAGCTAGGATGGAGCTGGACGATCAAGACTTCACAGATGATCTGGCTCTTCTATCGTACATGCAACAACAAATGCAGGAGAAGACGACCAGTGTGGCAGTAGCCCCAGCAGCAGTAGGTCTCAACATACACAGAGGGAAAAGAAAGATTCTCCGATACAACACTAGACGCACCAATCGAATCACACTTAAGGGAGATTTGGAAGGTGTAAAAAGCTTTACATATCCGGTCAGCATCATTGATGAGCATGGTGAGTGTGATGCATATGTGAATGCATGGATCGGCAAAGCAAGAGCAGCATATTTACAATTGAAGAACATCTGGAACTCAAAACAACTGTCAACCAGCATCAAGTTCAGGATTTTCAATACAAATGTCGAGAGAGTTCTACTGTATGGGACGAAAACTTGGAGAATTACGAAAGCCATCATCTAGAAGATACAAGTGTTCATTAACAGCTGTCTACGCGAAATACTTCGGATCCGTTGGTCAGACACTATTAGCAACAACCTACTATGTGAGAGAAGAAACCAGATCCCAGTGGAGGAAGAAATCAGGAAGAGTCGCTGGAAGTGGATATGACACACATTGAGGAAGGTACCAAACTGCGTCACCAGGCAAGCCCTCACATGGAATCCTGAAGGTCAAAGAAAATGAGGAAGACCAAAGAACACATTACGTCGAGAAATGGAGATATACATGAGAAAAATGAACAAGAATTGGATGTGTGTGTTACAACATTCTAATAGTTAATGGTTGAATGTTATTAGGCTGCGTCAGTTTAAACTTCTCTTTTCTACTAACAATGGTACATACGGAAATTCGAAGAATATACTTCTCTTCCTGTTTAGAATGTTAACTTTTGCAAATCGTTGTCATGGAATACAAGATTATACTGATGTGAAGTTATTTTCTTGATGGAACTATAATTGTTTTAACAACGTGACTAGTTTCTTCTTAGTTGTCACTACTACTTAACACAAAAATAGAATATAAAAAATTATTAGCAGATAACAAAAGAAGAAAACGTATACAATTCAGTGACGATTTTTTCTTTTAATAATACTACAGCTATTACTTTTGAAGAATAAAACAACTTTACAAGAATTATGAATATACTAGACTATAAACTATATTTATGTAAGAATACTTCATAAAACCGTTCAATACATTTTTCTTGGGATCCATAGATTGATAATTTCTATGATCTGTTCTTTAAATCTTTACTTTCTATTTATGCGCGTTCTTTCGATCTCTGCATAATGAATATGAAGCTTAGTCCACAACGTTCTCAACAAAGTGATTTCGATTTTTTTTTTTACTTTGATCTAAACACTTCATTTTAGCTGAGTTTCAGTCGATACTTGATTACACTGTAAGCTAACATTCTATGATTAATATTTAAAGTTAATTAACTTATGCCATATAATAACTGTCTTTTTCCCATTATTTATAATATAATTTTAGCTGTGTTTCTCGTGAAGCTCAACATCGTATACTTAGTTTAATAGCATCTCTATGGCCTGAATTATCTACATTTGTACCTTATTCCAATCAGTTTGTCCAGTTAAGCATTCATCTATTGAATTCTTATCCTAATTGGTCAGGTCGAGCAGAATTAATAGAACAAGTAATTTGGATTTTAATGCAACGTCTTGAAGCAATAAAACGTCATCCGAATCGTACGCTTTACTCAGTGCTTATGGTATGTGTTTGTTTTATTACTTTAAAATGTAGAATTTTTTTAGTAAAAGTGTTTTCAATCAAAATTAAGTATTTAAAATTAGCTTTTCAGCGTAACTTTGGTGTTTTTCTAAAGCGTTATTTTTTCCAATCTTGTTCTTTTTTCAGCACTTTGCTCATTCCCAAAAAGGACTTCTACCCGGTGTATTCATTCCATTAGAATCCGTCGAACGAAGTGGATCATTGGACCGAGTCGTAAATGAATTCACATTTTTGCAACCCACTAAAACCACCACCACGACCACTGACTCATCGTCCACTTCTCGTTCATGGGCTTCGCTTGCAGCTCAAAAACAAAATACCACTCAAGTACCTTCAACCAGCAACAGTATTAGTGGTACACCTGAAACTGTAGTGACAGACTTGAATTGTAATCTGTTTAACGATTTTTCCACATCAATTAATGCTTCGAATTCTCCATTCACCTTTGAATTGGAACCTTGTTTATTATGTCACGCTAAAGTGATCGATGAACCATTTTATGTTATTTTTCGTTGGGATTCGGAACCCAATGTATCCAGGCGTTCAATTCAATCTGTGGTTTCTACCATTTATAATAGTCGATTTACACATCAGTTTAGACAATCACCTATCGGAAATTTATTATCGCAAAATCCTCAACGTACTACAACTCAACAGTCAAACATTAGAGCTAATGGAACAGGTATTTGTTAATGTTTCGTTAATAAACGTATTTCATATCTACATCAAGTTTCACTAGATGAAAATTAATAGTGTAATTGCATTTGCCGATAATCCTGTGTTCGTGAATTCATTAAGGGTGTTTGACTTTATCTGAGTCTCGTCTAGAAAGAATGACATCCAAATATTATTTTCTTCTCTTCACTCATCATACACACCTAAAATTTGTGTACAAATCTTCATTACATCAATTAATTTTGGTCGGTTAGTTACGACATAGATCTCTTTTAGTTATATATATATATATATATATATATATATATATATATATATAATTATTATCAGCTTTATTCAATATTATATTTTTGGTACAATATAGAATTCTCAGCGTAAAGTATTTCAACAAGTTTCCGTTTCTTTCTTCTTCGTCGGTCCTGGCGATAAATATTGAGTGATCGCCAGTTAGATGTTAGCAGTTCACTAAATGAACATCTGAATAATGTGCATTCTTTCCGTTGTATATTGCCAGCAACCACATTGTCTCTTATTGAGTTTTTTTGTAACTTTGACAACGAAAGGTTGTACACTTTTCAGAAACGCAGCAGAATAGGTTGTGCGACTAATAAACATAATGATATATTAAAACAAACAAAAATAGATAACTTGTTGAAATATCTAGATGGCAGGAACAGGTAGCCCAGATGATCAATCCGATGATTAATCCGTTTATTTTATAGTTATTCATGTATTTAATCCGCACTATCTATTACCTAATAGATATTCCATTAACATCTTCAAATACTGCAACTCCAAGTGTTTCTGGTTTAGTCCAAACAAATTCGAATATACCAAAAAGTACCATTGCATCAACAAATCCCAGTACAACAACGACAACAACAACAGCTGCTTCTGGTAGTGGTGGTGTTAATGCTAGTGGAGCTGGTGGAGCTCCATCAAATCCATTTTCACTTATGATTCCAGTTCAGTTAAAATCCCGTGCTACTTCTTCAGTTCACATTTTCGATCTTGAAGGTAGCTATTTAATTTCACAAATTACAGTCAAGGTATGTGGAAATGTAATAATAATAATAATAATAATAATAATAATAATAATAATAATAATAATAATAAAAATAAAAGTAATCACAATTTTAAAGTATTTCTCTCTATAAATATATTGTTATATTGTGCGGTCGTTCGAGTCTGTTATTAATATAAAAGCTTGCTAATGTACATCCTCAATCAAGCTACTTGAGTGAGAAAACCGAAAATGAGTTTGAAGCTATCATTGGCTAACTGAATCAAGTATATATGCGCAGCTCATGAGTGTAGATATGTGTCCCTCAGAAAATGAAGTCATATTTTTAAACAATAGAGTACAACCGACAAAATCTCTCATTTGATCTGTGTCTGATTGGTTTAACTTGTTAGATTTCTCTTGGAAATAAGTTTTAAACTATTCTTTGTAAGATAGAATGTTCTTGTTAAATTTATTTTTTTAAAATTGAATTCTCTTTTCGTCTTAAATAACTACTATTTCTTACCTGGTTGTTTTGTATCCTATCAGTTAAATAGAATAGTTTAAATCAATGATTTATAAACTTATGTCTTAAATGTGAACTTGGGTGCTGCAAGTAAAAATGCTTTCGATCTATTTATATTGATTATCAGTAGACTGCTCGCGGTCTTACTTCCACATTGTCGACAGTGTCATATGTTTGGTCACCTGAATATTTCACTTCTCATTAAAAAATAAGTTGCTTTTCATATTTGAATAATCTATCTAAACGCAAGTTGATTTCATTACCCAATATATTATACTTTTTTTGAACTGTTGCAATGAGATAGAATTTTCCTAAAAATCAACTCTTTTTTTTCTATTACAAAAACATTTAGTTTAACGTCTTATCCAAACGTCCTAGATATGTTAAAACACTAAATGTTTATACATGTGATCTGACTGATCGTGCTTCAGCAAGACTAATTCACGAACCACAATTATGGCAACCAGTAGCATCAGTTAGATTAAGTCGAAATCAAACAGTGGCTAGAATTTGTTTTTCACATCCATCACCTATTCCAATCTGGTTAGCTTCAAATCAAGAATATGCTACAGATAAACGAATAACGATGAATCCAGACTTGGTAATTGATTCATTAAATTTAAAACAAACACCTGGTCTACCTATTCGAGCATCACGTTTAGTTTTTGAATATGCAGATTTCCATTCGACCGGTCAAGAAGAACGTCGTATTTGTCCACGATGTCATGCATCTGATTTACAAGGTAGTACATGTATAATGTGTCATAGTAATGTGAATGAATGCTTTCGCTGTCGCTCTTTGAATCTGAGTAATGAAGATGTATATTTATGCGCTAATTGTGGTACTTCAAGACATGGTAAAATTGAATTCAGTATAACTGCCAGGTTGGTTATTTTTGAATTGCTTCATTTGCTTATATTTTGCATCTTAATTTAAAAACTATTTTTTCTCAAGGAACTTCATATAAACTATGAAATTAGTAAGAACAGTGAATACTTATTGTTTCGGAATTATTTTTTACAATTTGAGGTTGAATTTAGTAATGTACTAAGTTTTACCTAACACCTAATCAAATCTACTATGCAAAAATCTAGAAAGGTTCTAACCACAAAGCTGATTATTTTCGCATATAAGCCATTTTTGTACATACTTGTATCTTCACTGACCCAAACTAGGACATGTAAGGTGTAACCTTTGCTTGATGCACAAATCACTTACTCCAACAGCACATTCACTTGCATATATTTTTATCTGTCGTATGACCTTGAGATAGCACATAATACATTTGGGTTTTACAACAGGATGTGACTATTCTAAACTCATCCGGTTCATTACCATTTCTCCTGAATGATAAAATTGCCGAGTGAACAATGCTACTCCTAGATATAGATTATTCTAAGGAAAAGATGGAAATCACCTGATTAGAATTTTTTAGACATGGATTGACTGAGATGGTCTAGATATTCGGCTAATGTATGCTAGGTCACTGTTTACTCCAGCTTGTCATAATAGCTCATTGTAATCAAACCGACACATTGTATTGATCCATTAAGTCACTGATTTTTTTGGTCTAATTTATATAAGAAGACGTTAGTTTCTTATGCAATTTATGATTACTCCTATTTATACACATCTGTATGAATCGCATTCATTTTATCATAATCTATCTGAAGTTGAATTTTTTATATTCCTAATTTTATTTTTAACCATTTTTCATTTCAGTTGTTTAGCAGATCAAAATATTATGCTTTAAGTACTTGTTTCGTTTTAAGTTTATCTAATCCAAACACATTGTGAATAAGATCACTCTTCAGCAAAAAAATGTGTTCGATGTTCAGTGGTATCTACACACCCTTACGGCGTTTTTAATACACTTATGATAAAGAAAACAATGTTACTTTTAGTGCTCATCTCTTCACATCATCATAAAACGTTTATCTTATACAGACGACGATTTTTCAGGGATTTAGCTTAGCCAGTCATCAAAACGTAGAACGCCACGTATGTACATCAGCCACAATTGCCACACAACAGGAAAGTAACATGAAATGTCGAAGACAAGTACCATCGTAGTAGAAAAGATTACACATGCACAATATGATTTAAGAAAGATTGAAGATGTATCTGGGCTATTGCGACTGATTCTGGACCATGTAATACGTATCTAACCATTTGTTAAAAAAATCACATCGATTCCAACTAGGTAGCGTGCACGTGCTTACAAAACTCAAAGTATTTAGCGAACCTAAATTTGTGTGTATCACTACTTATAAGCTACACATACAGAAGTACTAAGTTTGATTTATATCTCTGTGAATTACATCTTAGCTTTCGATATGTTTTTCTCTCCCTGTCCCTGTTTTGAGGGAGCATATCAGCAAACCTTTTGATTCAGGTATTGTAGTATCACAGATCTTATTAAACATTATACACCTTTTGTCAATCACTCAGTAGTTGGTTACAGAATATTTCAAATCATCTTGTCTCTCGTGTATAAAATAGGTCCAAAATATGTTTATTTCTATTCTTCCTATAAATTAACTGTGAATTTCTTTTTTTTCTCACACAGACCATACTATTCCGCAATCGAACCGTTACATGATCGAGATGATCGTGAATCTGCTTGTGGCCGTATTTTAAGTTTATCTAGGGAATTGAGTAAAACTTCTCAAATACTTTCACGTCTTATTCAAGTTGACGTAACTGAATGCTTATATCGACTATGTTCTTTAGATACTGGAGCTATTGATCTAATATATATACAAGACTCACTTGCTTCCAAGAATTCAACTGGAACATCAAATAATAACACTTCAGTAAGCGATAAAGCAAAAGATCTTCCACAGTCTACCGTACCAGGTTCTAATTATACTGGTTTTGTTAATCCTGCTATAATACGTTTACTTAGTACTGCTTTAAAAGCACGAGCTTTGAGTTTAGATTCAGCTGTAATCACACGACGTCTATGGGCTGCACGTCAGTCTGTTGTAGAATTCGATACAGAAGAACAACATGAATCTACTGTGATAGGTAGTTTAAATAATCAATCTATTTTCAATGGAAATAGATGTATAACACCTGAAGTTTCAGATTGTGCTTCTGGTAATACACAATTAAATTATCTGGAATTAGATAAAATGTTTTGTAAGTTTTATTTTTCTTTGAAAATTTATGACTGTTTAATTTTTGAAATGCTCTCACAATTATGATAACATTAGAGGTAGCCTCTTTTTTAATAAATTAGAACAGAGCAATTTTCATATTACTATATTTATGCAAAGATTAATTTCAATGTTGATTATTATTGTAAGAAAAGATATCTAGTGAGTGTTGAGATTGTTCAAAATAATTTCTTCTTCCACAACACGATGATTCATTGACGTACCCTATTTATCAACTAATGAATTGATGTTCAAACCTGAAATCTTACTGGCTGAATGCCAAGTTCTTTAGCTACTAATCTACTGCTTTAGGGTTCATTGTTTTTTGTCTGGTGCTGTTGAGTTCTTTGAAGTAGATGGTTAAGTAGTTAAGTTTTCATTATTATTCTAGACAACATCATCTGCGCTTCTAAATAATGTAACCGCCGATGATGTTGTCCAGAACGACAATAAAAATCACACAATTCAATCACTTCTGACTCAGAGAATTCAACAACATTATAAGCATCCGTCTGAGTTTTAATTCTTCTCTATCGTTTGAAAATTCATTTTATTGAACACTAAGCAAGCATTAACACCATCATTTAATCTACAAATCTTTATTCTTTAAAAGTGCTAATTTATCTATTTACTAATGTTATAATTCGTCGTATGCACAATTTTAAGATTTTTCAGCATTTATTTCATACTACTTAATGTTACACTTCCTATCAATCTACACAGCATAACTGTTAATAAATAATTTTATAATTGAAACCCGAACAATCAAAAACTAGTCACATTAGGCTTGTAGACACTGTTAGCTCGCAGTTACTTTTTACATAGTATTTCAAAAGTTTGTGTACATTTATTACTGTTTAATGTTGCTTTTCTGTTACTTTTTCTTCTTTTCTTCACAGATCCATCATTATCTGGATGTTATTGGTGCTTAATAAATACAATTTATCAATGTAGTTCTTTTCTACGAAATATTGCAGAATTTACATCAATAACTATGCTGAAAACTTCCAGTAAAACAATATGGGATAATTCACATTGGTTATTTGGTTTGAATGCTACATGTGATAATGACCATACTTTCCGTTTGTTTAATGTTCCGTCGTCGTTATCCCAGGCTACAGCTCTACCACCACCGACAACAACACAATCGCCAATCATTAATTCTATGGATATTGTACGCAATTTAATCACAAAAGTCATTGAATCTGGTTTAAATATATATCCTCAACATTTACAACAAGAATTACGTACTTTGTTAATTTATTTAACCAAGGATTGTTATTCATTGGTTAGTTGCTCTCATTAATTTATCACTTTCAAATTTACTTACCAGATTGTTTTCAATCCAAGGAAGATAGGTGCTGGAATTGATAAGCTAGAAATCTCTGTAAAATGACATGTAATGGCAAAATAAAAAGGATTTTTCTGTTTATCATGATGTTATACTATAATATGGTAATACAGTTTATTTATTTATTTATTTATTTATTTTAACACATAGATATTGGTACAAGGAGGCACCAAATACATATGCGCCACAAAGATCTCATTTGATATGTGTGAGGGCTGTGATTCTGCCCGGGTGCCCAAACCGAAGCAGGTGGTTTTCTTAGGGGGCCACAACGGTCTGGTAATACAATCTGGTTACGAGATTATACAATTATTGAGTAATTGATTTACGAGACTGGCTTTTACGATACACAGATACACGATTCACTAAAATATGTAAAGAATCAGCTTATAAGTTAGATAATTGTGGTATGGCAACTGGGACTGATGTACGTACGTACGAAGTTCTACGTTGTTGCTGACTGACTGGCTAGATAATAGTTTTAAATAGCACAATATAGGCAGTCTTTACTCAGCTTTTTATGCATCTAGTTATTATAATTAAGAATTTATATGATTCTACACAGGTTTTATGAGTTATGCTTCATTCACGAGTATTCACTACGCCTACTGATTAATCTACCTGACTGGTTGCAAATAGGTTGATGTATACTATACTGATCAATAATGAGTGTTATTAAGGTGTAGGGAATGACTCTAATCGTTTATCCTCGGGGCTCTCCAGACACTATGAAATTCAACTTGTTTAAAAGATTTTTAAATTGATTGGATTTAATAATTTCTGGTTTATTGTTCCGGTATACTTCCAGTTGAGCTATTGTATTCATTTACTGGTGACTGTGTGACATATTTTAAACAATAAGGGCAAATATTTTTCCTTGAATCAAATTCTTTGAAAAATAAACATATTCTACAAACTTTTCTTTTTAATTTCTACCAATCCAAATGATTTTAAACCTCAGCTAGATTTATCAAAGTTAATTAGGCAAGCACAATCACTGCGTGCGAATGTACTTACAATATCCTTGATAAAATAACGTATTGAAACACCAACAAACCAATCAGAGGAAAGTATTTTCGACAACAGCAAGACTCGAAGACACATAAAAGATGGTGATTTTAAAGCGTAGCAAACTACAAATTATAAACTGTTATGAAGAAGTCAAGCATCCTAAGTAGTTATCTGGTATCTGTAGACTTGAGTCTTTTAGTCACAAAAAATTCCTCAATCTTATTATTGTTAATCTTGCTAATGGTATAACTAATCATCATTACTTATATGTTTGTATTAGAGACCCTATCTGTATTGTCAAATTGTTGACTGTATATTTATGTATGCATTCTTCTTACAGTACATTGAATATGATTGAGATAATAGTTTTCTGTTCATGCGCTTGTACTATCTCCTGTTTCGGTATTTACATAATACACTTATCATAAATTCATTAAATTTTACATTATGATATTCTTTTCTCTATTTCTTTTTTTAAAAAGATATCTCATCTCGGTGATATTCTCAGTGATCGATTAATCCGAACAGCTAATACTCATGGTAATCAAGCTCATTTACTTGGACCTTTATCATACAATGATGTTTGTCTCTTACAAGGAAGTGTTGAATCAATCCTTCCAAGAAAATCACAACACAATAGTCAATTAAGTAAACAACAACAACCATTAGATGCTAGTACTAAAAATTGGGAGGCTCGTTTACGTCCTGTATTTAAAATTCTATTGAAACTATCCAGTGGTAATATTAGTATTCATAATAACTCTAATAATACCTCTAATCCATCTGTTCCTGTTGTACAAAATATTTTGTTACCACTTGTGGAATTATTGTATGAGCTAGTTTCATATCAACCTAATCCAAATAGTTTAGTATTTACAAAACGATCACTTCTATCAATTTTCGCCACTAATAATCAATCAAATATTGCCAACAACAATATTTCTTCATTACTACCTGTTACGCAACAAATTGAAACAGATGTTGAAAGTTTTGATCATCATCGATTCAACCAAACTACTCCATTTTATAATAATCAATATTCGCCAGCTTCAATTTCTTTATCATTATCTGGCAGTGTTTCTCGTTCAAATATGATTACATCATTTCAAGCATGGTTGATTAATCAACCTTACGCTTCATTTATGGTATGTTTTACTTTGAGTATGTGAATTATTCACTGTCGAATACGGACTGGATTAGTTTTGGTCGTATTCATTTATCCAGGTACAGATTCGTAAGTCCTAGCTATATCATTCGGTTGCCCAAACCGAAGTAGGTGGGTCAGGGTTTGAACCTGGGATCTAGTAGTTGAAAGTTGAATCTATTAACCATTACGTCATTACTTTACATTGGTCTAATCGGTTAATTATAAAAATTCGTTGTGTAAAGATAAGAATTATGCAATGGATTATGAAGGTTTAGCGTAATTTGTAAAATTAATCATATGTAATTCATAAAATCAATACAAACAAAATTAGGTAATCACATTGTTATGATGAATAGATCACGTAAATTGAAGTTACAAACAGAAATTGAGTAAATTGCAAAAGTTTTAAAATTGAATAGAACAAAAAGTTTCTAGAAACATATTTACCATCGAAAAGAATCTTATTATGAATTAAGAGAATAAACAAACTTCTTCTGTACATAAAACCCAGTTTATTTCCATGTATACGTACGAAGTTTAGAAATATGGAGTAAGTTCTATTCGATTCTATCAATAATTTTGAAAGCTAAATTTGTACCCGCTAAGTGTACCAAAGCAGAACTTCATATTGTTCTCTTCACTCCTTTAATTGATCAAGAGCGGTGATATTCAGAAATAAGACAATGTATTCGCCTTGTTGTATGTCCATTATTGCACACAGAGGCGACGGAATTAGCCAGTTTATACTTATTTTGTGAATTTACTACTACTATATATATATAATTTCATATTTCCAATTTAATTAGGCTTGGAGAGAACGTATGTCGATACAAACGTATGCAGCATCTATGTCACAACGTCAACACATTCAAGTAAACAGCTCTAATTCATCTGATCAACAAATAATAATATGGGAAGAATTAAACGCTAAGCAAATTAATTTAGTTGTACGTTTTGCAGCACGTTGGAAAAGCGTTATTGAAATGAAACGTTGGGCAAAATATTGGGGTATATCCACAACAAATTGTAAGTGAGAAGTGTCTTTTTCACGAAACAAAAACCATATTTGCGAAAGTTTCCAATTTATGTTTTCTACCATGCAGTTGATAAGTAGCACGGTTGCAGTTACTTACTGATAAGTCTCCTTATTAAACACCTAATCTGATTCGCCAGTCGCTTCTTATGAACCCAAACTAAATCTACATAGCAATTTCAAAGCAAGAGAAAAGGCGCGAAGTGCGAAAGGAATGCTTTACTCTGAGGTTAGTTTAGTTGCAGAAAACACGAGGGTGTTTATAGAGTTACAGACAACCCTGGGTTTCTGGAGCCATACTAAATATAGTGGCACTATTATTAAATATTCAGTTGGAAATCTGATACGTAACTCTTCGCTTTCCAAATGTTTCTGAGAAGCTTCTATCCAACTCTGATTGGATAAAATTTTCCCAGGCGTTTTCTGAGCCCCTAAGAACTTTTACGATGAATGCTTTGAAACAGGGTAAATACATTTGTGCTAATACAAACGATTTGGAGCCAGATCATTCGGTCTCTACTTATTGGTCACGTTAATCACGCGAACCCCATTCAGGTAATTTGAACCTAACTACATGGCTTAGTTCAACAGTCAGTGTCTTCATAGACTGATTCCATGTTTTGATCTAGCCACCTCCATCTTACCTCTGCACTAGCCATCATCGCGCATTGAGGTAGTCGGTGGGTTGACATGCGTAATATATGTCCCGACTAACTTAATTAAGGAAGATTCAATACCTCTTCAGTCGGCTTACCATTTTTACCATTTTACTTAGTACTCTATTGATGAGGTACTAATGAGATTATTAATTTCTCACTGTTCATTCTTTTGTTTTGAAACCGGTGAGTAAATCCACTTATTCCTGAATCCCACTAAATAAATGTCTTCCTAAATCTTTTCCAGCTATTCTGGTCATATAGTACTGATATGGATAGCATTATGATACATCAACTAGTAAAAACTAGTACCCAATTCTTTATGACGGCAGAACTGTAAGATTATTGATTGCTTCACAATCTTGATTAGGTGAATAACTTACTGGCACATTCGTTTAGCATGTTACTCAACCTCGAAACACTTGGTTTGTTCAATATATCACAAATATGAATTGCCAGGTGACTCAAATCGATTTTAATTTAAATCTGAACTAACAAGTGAGAATGAATTAGGGTTAGTGAATTGACATACTGATCATTGAGTAACACCACTTCTAGTTATATACACATGTAATTGACTACCATTACGCTTTATGTATTCGTAATCTAAAAGTAAACACTCATATATCATCTTTTCTCTTAGTATTTACCCTGTTTTGTTTTACTTGTTTATTAGCTTTCATCAAGGCTGACCGTATATCTTCCGATAATTGGCTTACTAAAATTCTGTTTTCACCACCAGATTCAAATGCACGAGGAGTATATGACTGTATGAAATTGTTGCTAGCTATTACATCAGATATTGTACCAAAACAGATTTTTGAAGAAAATGCCAATGGTAGCAGTATTAGTAACATTAATAATGATAATGGTAGTGGTAATCCGTCCGTCAATACAAACTGTAATAATAGTTTAAACATTTTGTTTAATAAGCGTCGATGTGCTGTATTACTGTATCTTACTGAATTTTGTGTTCCTCGACTGGATGAATTAGCATCGACACGTGATGCATATTTATTACTTACTGAACGTGCAACGACGCCTTCAGCATCAGTATCATCATCATCATCAGCGGCGTCAGCAGCAACAACCGCAGCGCGAAACAGTTCTTTTACACATTATTCTACCACAACTGCTGGAGATATCTTTGTCACAGAATTTCGTCAGTTAACGACATTAGAATCATCAGAACACAGTTCAACTGGACGTAAACAAAAACATCATACAAATAGTACTACCACTACTAGTAGTAATATATCTACTTCTGGGCCGAATGGAATTATTATATCGAATTCACCGTACATACCTTATTTATTAATTAAGGGGAACTTCCTAGGTTAGTTTAACTTTGGCTATTTAAATGATTTCATTATTCATTACAGTATCAAAAAAGGTGGAGTCATTTAGTCGTTAATTGGTTTCATTGAGATTTATTCATATTTCATCATATTAATAATCATTTTAATGGACTGATATATATATTCGATGGTTGTTTCCATTTTTCAGTTCGATAACTTCATTTTTTGTGGTAAAATGTGAAGTTAGTGCTCAGCACAAAACAATATGTTGTTTTCGTATTAATCTGCCACTAGATTTAGCTACTGTATTTTGATAATAACAAAAGGACAATGGCAACTATTTTGATGTCGATACTCGCTCTCGAGCGATAGCTGTATTCCTGTGAGGATTCAACTGATAGATTAGTATCATTATATATCGTTATGCAATGGAAATAAAATCAATAAATCATTCATCATTCCAATTCCTTAGTAGTTATTTAAAGAAATGTAGTTTCAGATAAATGGCTTAATTGATAAACTTTCATTGTCTTCCAAAACAATCTGCATCATATATCTATTATCCATCTTAATTTACGTTTCCTGTGGGATTTACACCTATGCCTCGCAGTGTCGCAGTCAGAGACTTACCGTATATTTTGATAGAGTTTCGTTCGCCGACGTAGGTGATTTAATCGTAAAACCTTCATTGATCTTACAGAAAACATTAGCAGAAAATTTATATGGAAGCGAGCTATTTTATGAAATTATACAATGACTAACTAAATTCCTATAAGAATGACATCTTTATTAATCACTGAGTAGTAACCAAGTTAGCATTCTTCTGTTCCTTAATGTTTATTGAATTCTGTCGATCAATTGGTGACGTTTCAAAGCAGTGTGGGTAGTTTTAGGTTTACTTTAGGAAATTTCCAAGTAAAAGAGATAAATCGTTTTTATTATTTTTCGTCAACTTGAAATATTTGTCCATGTGTTATTCAGTATCATTTTTCATCTAACATGAATTCGGATGTTAGGAAGAAAAATTGAGTTTTAGTGTATTTACAGCAGGGACTGTTGATATCTAACTGTATGTTTATTAAACACATTTATAAAAGTGACAGAAATGGATATATTTAAAGAGGCTAATATCTTAAATTCATTAATCTTACTCTTCAATCTTTAATATATGTATATCTCACACTTTCACCCCTTCATTCACCAGTCGAGTATTTTAATTTACATGGATTATTTACTTCATATATAAATATATTATAGAATATGTAAGAATTTTAATGCGAAAATTACTACTTCAAATTACTCGTATTGAATCGGTACCTGTCGGATATTGGAATGAATTAATGTCTGCTACATTAAGTTCGATTAGTGGTTCTGGCTCATGTAATGGAGGTGCTCCTGGTTATGCAATCGCTCTAGTCGCAGAGTTATTAAGTGTACTCAAACCACTCGTAAGTTATTGTTATTATTATAAGTAATGAGTTAAATTTGATGTATTTCAATCAGTAATTCGGAGACAACCACACTGTATTTTTTTCAAAGGATATAATTGTGATGTTGACAAATTTTGTATTGAACATATCGAGTTTTTCCATTGATTTATCGTTAAATCCTGGTTTTACTGATGGGAAGTATCATATGATTGTGCTTAACTTTTGTATTAATAAATAGTACTAATATATTATTATTACCTCATTGTGTAGAAAATTGCATTTTGACATTTCATTATTTACCATAAATCGCTTCTTCAGAGGATACATAAGTAACTGCAATTAAATTAGTACAAATAGTACAGAAGAACAACTATGAAAATATTACAATCTCCACAAGTCCCCCATACTTATAACAATCATGCAATTACTAATGATTAGCTTCATGATTCAACTGTTAGGTTTCTAGTGAGAAGCTGTGACTCGTGGAGTTCAATTAGTGCTGAGCGTGAGACAGTTGCCTGCTGCAGGCAGTGGATGTGGGCTGCTTAAGATTATGGGTTGTTTGAAGTTAGACATTGACACCTTTGGACGTCGGCTCGATGGTTTTGCGGTTAAGCATTCTTTCACGAGACCAAAGATTCTGTGTTTGGCTCCCGCGTGTGGGTTCGTGGGTGCGTATTGCTGAGGAGTACCATGTCAAGACGAATTACCGTCCTGGTACTCCCAGGTTTTCATTGAGGATCTAGCTGAAATCAGTTAGTGATTTCAATTGTGAAAATAGAAAAATATTTAGCACAACCAAAGTAAATCTGATTATACTAATGACAACGCTTTTCAGATCAAAGGTGTATCCTTAATTTGGTGTAAAAAACATAACATTTGTAATGTGAAGTCGTCTAGGTCAATTTTTCTGTGTTAATGTTGTGAACAGAATAGATTTAGATGTTTGAACAGACAGTTCAAGTTTGGGTGATAGATAGTCAATCTTAAAGTTGTTCCGTTCTCGAACATATACCTTTATTAATAATAGTTAGTTATTATTACTAAGTGAATTTTTCATAACTCGCCACATTCATAATAAAATTTTATTTTTAGAAGCAATTGACAAGATCACAACAAAATCAGTTGCTGCATGTTTTATTACCAGCTTGTGCTCAATTAAGATATTTAGTATTTCAGCGTGCTGATTGTACTGTTAAAGCTCAAACTGTATTTGACTCTATGCTTGCTGAATTGACTGGTGTTTCTGGTATACAAATTAAAGAATTTCTTTCTGTAAGTTCATGATTGTATTTTCTTAGTTGGTAAAAAATATACACTATTCTTTTGCTTTTTAAGAAAGGTTATTATTGTATTGACAAAATGATAAAATTTTATAAATGATTGTTCTTCTGTAAAGGTTCTTATCAAATTAATCATGAAACCTACGAATGGAATATCCTACCATATATAAAAGATATATCATGGGTAAAATCCAGATTGATGTAGCTTTTAAAAATAAATAATCAATAAACGTACTTAAATCAACTCGTCTTATATACATCAATTAGATAACCTTCCGATCACGAGTGATTCAAATGAACAACAAGGGCTAATTTGAGTGAATGGGACAAATTCTATTGACAAAATGAACTCGTTGTTGAACGATCTTACGAAATCTGAATGAAGATGTAAGATCGGAAAAGCTCTAAACTAATTTTTCGTCAAGAGAAGTGGAACATTAGGGATTAGTTGCACCAGCCATTTCTGAGCTTTTTTTTTTAACTTACTGAATCAAACACACTACAACTCTACTCCAAGTTCACATTCCAGAACTTTCTCTTCTCCTGGTTTTGTCTCTGTATAATTCTCCATACCATAAAACTGGAATGTGGTTGGTCTGATTCTCGTAACTTCTGTGAATATTATCAGAAACAATAAAGGCTCTTTTGATTTCACCTTTTTATGATACATGTGAACTCAAGGAAGCTCTAAGAAGCTCAGAAAGAGCCGAAGACATTCCAGAATCTCGATATGTAGCTTCCCTATTGGACAAATTCTAGAAACCACTGTATGCGGATTGGTTGACTGTAATGATGATTTCGTTTTTACTAAAAACTGTAAATACCTGGGAGTTTTGTACTTCTCACTCGTTCCCTGTCTTCTCATTTGGAACCTGGAGAGTTCTAGCGTTCGAGTGCTCAAGTAGTTTGCGGTATATCAAGAATCTGAACTGTAGATATAACAGTATAGAACATGAATTTGAACGGGAAACTTACGGTATCTCTAGACTTTACTTCTTTATTCAACAATGTACCGTTAATTGAGAAGATTGACAATAGGAAAATAAACGAAATAAAATACAAGAGAATGTTCGGAAGTATGCAAAAAGAAACGCGTGTCGTCGATTCCGCTACTAGTCAAAAAACATTTTCCTAGAATGTTGTGATAATTATTTTAAACTCAAAAATATATCTAATAGTTGTCGGCTTTATTTGTTTTGTTTTCTTAATTATTTACCTTGAGAACATATGTATAGTCTCACAATATATACTGGATTTCCTTTTTTCTGTTACCCGCTTTATATCAGACTGTATTAGATGTCTTATCTGAATATCCGATTGATGATCATCGATCTGCCACTTATTTATTACAACGTCTGTGTACACCAGTCTGTCCTTTAGATACTGACCAATCAGTTTTCCAAATTAAATTAGAAGTATGGCGTCCACATGAAGATTACTTATTAGCTAGGTCAAGAATTGAAATTTTGCCGTAAGTTATTGTCGTCATTTTGTTTTTGCTTCATTGTGTATATCGTGAACCCATTAGATATTTTTGGGATGATTTCTTATGAAGTCCCTTGAGTTTCGTGAGTTTTTTCTTTATTTAAATTTCAGTTTAGATATTATTTATCAGATGATCTTTTCATTGTTTGCCAAACCTATGTTGACGCTAGAAAATTGAATTTGCCTGAGAATTATAATAATGGTGGCTCGACTCATCAAATAGACATTTGCTTACCGGAGTCTGAACTACACTTTATACGTGAGGGGTAGTAATACTACCTGGCTGCCTAAACCTAAGCAAATAGACGGAGCTCGAACATGTGACCTAGTAGGTGAAAGTCGAACACCTTAACCAATAAGCTCAATATTGGAGTAGTTGAAGATCTCATCGCAATTTTTTACCACTACCTTTTTAGTTCTTCCCTTTAATATAGATTTTTTGATGTTTCATTCATTGCAGTCTGGGTTTATGCTAATACTAAAGAGAGCTCAAGTTATCTAATTTTTTGTTCGTTCTTTCTTTGAAGGATAACCTCTGTGACAATTATGTAGCTCATATTTCTTTGATGACCTTCACTGTTATTCGACTGGTTGTTGTCATTTTTAGTTCCCTAATTTTGCTGTGTCCCAAGATCATCTCATATAACTATCTCAACAAAATTATTCCCTTTCAATTTTTGATTTCTGTTTGTAATACAAGACTATCCTGAAAGACCCATTTTTGTTTCCCATTAGTGTGTGGATTATTAACAGTGAAGAGTTATTGTGTGCCAAGTTCACAGAAGCCCTTCATATCAAAATAAGCTCAATCGTTCGGTGATTAACAATTTCCGTAACCCCTTACCTAATCTCAATCACAAGATATTTCAGATAAGGTAGAGAGTTAGTTGTCCATTATATTCTATTTGATAACGACTTTGTTACTTTCCATGCATGTCATCTCTTCCGGTTATTCTATTTTGTTTTATCTGTTTGTAAAGGTCTGATACTCGAGGTTTAGGTCCACGTATACACAATCTGATTGATTTTATATGCGATTCTAATAATCTTACAACGGATATGCGACTAGAAATAGTGTGTGAAGGACAAATACTTATGCCTCAATTACGTCTACATGATGTCTACACTCAAATATGGTGCGCTAATCGAAATAATGTAAGTGAATGCCTTTTACTGGCTTCTATAAGCATTCATTCCAGATTGTTGTTTAGCAATATTATTTTAAACTCATTATCCGGATAAGGTAAAAAATCTAAATTGACTGTAGTTGGACTTCTGAATTCAACTTCAGTCTGCTAACTTAACATGGTCATCAGTTTATTGAGTCTGCTTACACCAATAATACTAGTGACCGCTTTACCTGTTGTGTTTACTAAATATACTGAAGCCAACTGCCCATCCTAATTTCTTTCTGCCTCCAGCCTACTGAATCAAAAGGAAAGAAACGCCAATCGATATATATTAGAATAGTCATCGAAATCCCACCTTTGCCATCTATTCCTTATTTAAAATAATTGATTGGATGTCAACAAAGTAGCCTAAAGGTAACCCGCTTCTCATGAGACCTGAAGATTCTGGGTTCGATCGATATTGATTTCGTGGTTGCACACTGTTTGGCGGGAGTCCTAAACGAGGACAAATCAGTATTTCAGTACTTCCTAATCCTCGTTAGTTGCCTCAGCTTAAATTGGTCCGTGATGTGAACAAGACAATCCTGTATACTTTTAGAGATGCTTATGTAGGCGTTACTTTCCTATTGTTCATACTGTGGAAGAATACTCCTGCTTGAATTATCTGAAAAAGAAACTGAATTGAGTCTAAAGTTGGTGATTTGGGATCCGGTCAAATACTGTCTTTTTTTCTTTATGTGATGGCTTTGTACTTTGAAGACCTTGTCGTTGGTAGTGTGACGTAGCTCGGAATCGCTTGCAGTGGTGCAATTGCAGTCACCTTGTTTTCTCTTAGTTCCGGAGTTTTAAAGTTATCGCTTTTTAGCTCACAAATTCGTCTTTTTCTTCTTGAACCACATTGTCGATGTGTGATGTTCTCTACTATCCTTACTACTGTGCTATTTATCCTGATAGTTTCATCTAGCTGTGCTGATATGTTATGGTAACTTAAACTAATGCACATACGTGCCAGATTATAAGTTGCGCTTATGGCTACCTGTCTGAGTGACAGTTCGTGATGTGAACTATCTCGGAAATTAAAAAACGTTGACCATTAAAATATCGCTGGCATTAAAAAATTCTTTATCGTAATGTCATTTTAGCCACTTCTTTGCAAGTGTTTATGTAAATTATGATATTTTTTCCAGGTTAATAAACCTATGCGTTTACGATATCGTATACCTGGACTAGAAGCTGACAATCTACCATATGTCGAAAATTTATCTTCAGAACAAATCCCACCTGAACGATATTCTCATCTCTCCGTACTGGTTACACATCCACATGGATTAGGTGATTTATTAAAACGATTGGCTAGTTCACAGAATGCATTGCATGATCGTGATTTGATTGATGTGATTGTTCATATACTGGAGTATTGTTTAAAAACACCAGCTTGCATAGAACGTCTTACTGATCCTGATATTAAGTAAGTTGTTTTTTTGGCTTCCGTTCCTCCTCATTTTGTTTCACTGATTTTGTTGACCGATTTCAACTTTACACAGTCATTAATTATAAAAATCTTAGCGATTAAAATTCAAATAATTCTAACATTTTGCCTGGCAAATTGGTCTGAGCTTCTTCAAGGAAAAAGAAATGGAAAGATGATATAAATATATAGCCCCCAGTTTCTGTCACAATGTTCGTTCAGATTTTAACGCATTTACACAGAACCATTGTGTTTTTCTACCAACTACCGGTATTTTTATGTCCACTGGAAAATTCTTATTTTTACTTCTTTTTTCTGCAGGATATCTGAATATTGATCCTTTATCCTAAGCTCTTGAGGGCCCTGAGTAATTAATTTCGTACGAAATTTCAGTTAAAAGATACTGTGAAACCTTACGGGGTATTTCACATATAATTGATAACCTTATTTTTTTCTGGTTGATACGATCTTGACTTTTCAAATTATCAACTTACTATAATAAATTCACTTGTCACTCCACTACTGTTATACAACCAATACACTTTAATCGTTTTTTCCCCAATACCACCCAATAAAAGAAAATGGAAAATGGGTCTTTTGGAAGAACTCTTTTACTTATCGTTGTGCAAAGACTAAAACTCCATACAGCTAGTGTGTACATGATGTTTGCGCATGATAACCATAGAGAACATATAATAAATTAACATTAAAATGGTTATGGAATAAATGAGAGAATAGTAAAGGGTCATTCTAAGGAATATAGATTTTCGGTTCGTGATTCCAGATTGAAAACGCAAACGTTTGTATTTTAAATCAATGAAACAGAAGTTTTAGAACCAAATTGAATACTTACCGATTTCCTTCTTAGTTTAGCATGCTTATAGACTCTCAAGGCCACATGTTAACCTACAAATGCCCTATTTTTTAGTGCATTGGCTAACCCTTAAAACAAGGTTTCTTTCATATCTTCTGGGTTTTTTTCAAGAACTAAGATGTTATTAGAAAGTCGATGTCCATACGTTGAACCAAAAATCTTGTCACTACTGTGTTGTATCATTTCGTTAATCAAGAAAGAGAATAAAATATGTTTTGCTTCAAACCTTTTACTGACTTTTTTTCATTTTCTCTCATTGATTGTAGAGCTGTACCTAGATTACTCCATACTCTTATCATTTGTCTTCAATCAAACCAACAGAAATCTCGTCATCCTCAACAATCAACAGATATTGTTGAAGATATAACCAAACGTTTACTTACTGTATTGAAATCATTCCTTGAATTAGTCGATAACAAATTAAATGTTATGAGTTCTTCTTGTGAACTGTCTCAATCAGGTTAGTGAATTTACAGTAATTATTTATGGTTAATAATAATAACGATATGGAAATCAGTTTGGTTTCATTCACTGATCGGTCTCTATCTTCACTAAATTAAACAGAACAAGCAAGTTGTGGCTGGCGAAATCTAACCATGTCAATAATGAATTAGTTCTTTACTCATTGTATCGGAAATCAAATGTCGTGAGGAATGTGGATTATTGAATTTAAACCACTACTGATTCTTTGTAAACAAGAATGTCATAGATACCCACCCATCTCTCTGTCTTTTTAATGTACTTTGCATTTATCGTCTGTAGTTTCTCACAAGTCGTTCATATTCACTATACCTTATTATATAGATTACAGATTGTAATTAGTTTATCAAAAGTGGGAATGAGATGCTAACCAAATTATGCTGATCGTGGCTAATTGACCAATCATCTTATTTGTAGATTATAAATCCAGTCTTCGTACCCTTCAGAGGCCACAACAAGATCCTTACTAGCATCTGTTCTAAGACATTTCTGAGAACATTGTAAACCACTGAGTTACTCCATCTCTAGTACTGAAACTGGGTGGTCGTGATGGATCTACAGTTGCCAATCCTACCCAGCATAAGTCCTTAACATAAACTGACCACGTCTCTGCTTTTTCTAACCAGTCCTGGCATCGGTAAATAATGCAGAGTTTGGAAGCCACTGAAACAACATTCACAAAACTTGTCTGAACCACCGAAGTCACCGTTTCAAAATAGTGATACTTATCTTCACCCGAATATATATCACTGGACGTTGAAATTACTTGCATGGTTTTGTCAGTATGTGTCAGGATTTACTATAAGACAACGACAACATAACACAGAAAGTATCCTGTCATTCTTAGCCCAGGGTCAGGTTTCACAAATTTAAGGCAGATATGCTCTCATTGACCCTTTGTAAACTCAAACTCTTACAGATACACGAATATCTTGTTGTCTCTAAGGTTGGTACACATTGGGATAAGTTACTCTAGCTTTCACTATATGTAAATTGATCTTACCTGTCACACCACTGAAAGAACTTGTACAAATGATGAAATACATGAACTTTTAAGCGATTGTTAACAGTAAAACACAAGAAGAGAATGCATGTAGAAACCTATTCGTGTCATTCTTTCAGAAGTACTCTGATTGACTCCTAGATCAATCTGCTTGTATTTATATTTTATTATTGTAAATGTTATTGCAATAACTATCCTTTTATCTGCTTGCACAACTTTTTAAACATGCCGTTCTCCTCTATTTTTCTCTCGAAATTCTTTTATTTTCAAAGATTTTATGAATTCAGTTGATTTGAATTCAATTAAATTCCTTTTGAATTTTATCACAACTCACCCGAATATACCAAATATTAGTGTGGATGTCGCACGTCTACTTGGTCTGATGACATTTTCTGATGAAGAGAAAATGGATGCAATAATTGACTTTTTAAAAATTAATTTAGATCAATTAAAGTGAGTGTGTGTTCAATGATTTGATTTAATAATAGTAGTCCAACAGATAAATTTTTACTAAGGTCGTGATAAAACGCAAAACTGTGTTCTAATTCATTGCGATATTCGATATTGTGGTTTATCTGAATGTCAGTGACAATAAGCTTGACTGTTTAATATATCTCATCTATAACTGTTTCCAACCTTTGTTTAAACCTTGTGGATTTAGACTCTCTTTTGTGTGATAGCGTCGTGTAGATATTTTCCCTCTGGACGACACGAAGAACGAGTCACCATATATAAAAGTTATTTGTTCATGGTTTCGTGTTTTAGCCGTTAGATGGGGAGTTTTTAAAAATGCGAATTCCAACGTCTGAGATGACTAAATTGAAATTCGACAAATAGCTGGACATTTTTCCTCAGCAGTTGAATACTTTCCACACTTTTTTCATTTTCTGATTTTTCTTCCAAATAACTTTTCGATAGAATTTCATATGTTATAATTGTTCATGCATGTCTTATCTGCAGATTTGTAACATGGTATGATATATGCGGTTTTCAAGCGCTAAGGGTAAGTACCTGTCTGTAGAGAGAAAGAGAGAGATTAAACGGTTTTAGATCCACCATATTTATATAGAAAGGATGATATTCCGTCTACTGCATGACTTTTCGAAACCTTTAGGGAGTTTATAGCTAACTAATTCTTAAGTAAAAGAAATAAATTTTATTGACTTACTAGTCATATACATGACTTTTGAAACAGCGCCATCTAAGACTTCATTGTCGTTCGCAAAAATACCGCTTGAAAGGTTTATAATGGTTTCAGAGTCGTTAATAAAAGTGCCCTTATGCAGGATGCATGGTATATCTCTATTTTGAGTTTCTCTAACGCGTTTATTGAAAAGGAGAATTAAGTTTTGTATTTTTGAGATATTATTAAGCTCTAACGACCCCTCATCAATGGTTTTAACCTATGTTTTTCTTTACTTTGGTTAAATAATTATATTTACTCATGCAAGTGCCGTGAAATCGTTTGACTTAAAGTAACATTTCTGTAGGCGTCTTGATTTACTACGATATTTTATTGGTATAAGTAATTCATTAGGTTTAATAAACCTGTACGGTTTAAGATGTGCGCACGAATCTAAACAAGAGTTAGTGATCAGATAGAATATGTCAATGACATCCATGAGATTATTACGTGAGAAGGTATCCCAGTCTGAGAATATTACCAAAGAGTAGTGTTTTTTCTTGTTTTCTGTTTTTTTAGACCATCAGCTCAATTTAATACATTTGAAGTGGCTCTATTGGATTGTTGTTGTTCATTATTATTTGCTATACCAAAATCTAGTTATAATGGTGCATTATTTAAACGAAAAGTAAAACAGAATGCAATGCTTTTACAAACTAGTCTACATTTCTTATGGTCTACATATCCATTATCTTGTATAGATAATACTAATAATAATTTTGATGAATCATTATCTACAACCACTACTAGTTCAATGTCCAAGTATGTTATTTTTTGTCATGTTAATTTTGTAAAATACATTGAAATGTTAATTATAACAAATGCTTTTATTTAGAAATTAGATCATTGAATTTTACTTAAGGAGGGTAATTATGAATCGTCCTTTTATTAAATAAATCTACTGTGCTTTTTTAATTACAGATTCATATTCTTCAAAGTTTGAAGTTGTCTATCACTCTGTATATTTTTTTTGAAATTTAACTTTGTGTAATTGCACTACTATTTCTGTATGTGAATTTAAATCAAATACGTTTTTTATCTTCCAGTAATCCGGTTTATGTAAGAAACACAGTTCAATTATGTAATAGTAGTTGGTATAACTACAAAACATTATTTACTTTGATGTAAGAGTAGGTTGGAAGAAAGCTAAGGACGGCCAGACCAAAACATGACACAAATCCATGAAGTCACTGACAAGTAAACTGAAACATGTTGGTAGATGTAGACTACCTGGTTGGGATCCGCGAGACGATAGAAACCGATGGTTAGAGACCTTGAATGACATGGCTCAAAATCGTTTGCAATGGTGGGGGCAGGTGTATCCACTCTTTGTGTTCTCTCAAGTTATAATCATCTGAATTCTTCATGTCCCTTTCTTTTTTTCTCTTACCAAACTTATTTCATTGGATTATACTTGTTGAATAACATCTTCAAACCCTAATCTTTCCGATTACTGCTTAAACTCTTACTACCTCTACCACTACGGGATTTGAATCGACAACTGCATCTTTGTGCTAATGTGGTATGGCAATTCGAACTGATGTACGTACGTACGTACGAAGTTCTACATTGTTGCTGACTGACTGACTTTGACCTATGAGAGGTGTATAGTTGAGTAGTATAATTTTTAGTGTTTCTCTCTCTCTCTCTCTCTCTCTCACACACATACAGAGGACTGTATTGTTAGTTACAGAGCTAGATAGTTGTGAATCATTCGCTGAACAAATGGAGTTTGGATCAAAGAAGACTTTCATACTGCATCGTAAATTGACTGCAGTTGAAAATCATTAACCATTTAACCTCATATCACAGTTCTAATTAACATAATACATGTAAACTCTTTCATTATATATAAACTATTGATAGAATGATTTATGAAGTGCTCATATATTCTTTTATCATATTATTTTCTTTATTAGTACAACTGATCCTGAAGTTACTAAATTCTTATCTGAGCCTTCATTACCATATGTATTACAATTATTACACGTTTGTGTTGATGGGGATCAAGAGGCAACAATTTTAAGTCAACCTGAATGTTTGGTTGAGTCAGGTCGACGCCGAATTGAAGCATATCAGCTACTTTGTTTGTTCCATCAATTAGAAACTAGTAAATTATCTGGGCGTGTTGGTCTTTTAGCTGAAGATATGTTAAATGATTGGGCCAATAAAGAAGACAATAATAAAATTAATGTATCTATGAGAAACTCTACTACTACAATTGGTCAAGTTATTCATAGTCTTCGTGATGCAACACTTCGACGTACACGTTCATTAGCACAGAATATGCGTGAAAAACGTTTACGTAGTCTCAATATGCGTGTTAATGAAAAAGGACAAGTAAGTTTGTTCTTTTGTTTTTAATTTTTATTCTAATATATCTACAAATAAAAGAAATATAAGAAGTAATTCTTGATGTCCACCAAGATGCATTACAATTGTATCTTCTGTATTTTGGGGACCACTAAGAAAGCATTGCTCAGGTTAGACATAGAATACTTGACTGGAGGTGACAATTCGACTGACAAGGTAGTGAATCTTCATCGAATAAAGTCGTTGGGGCGCGTATTATTTACGCTCAATGGGCGATGCTGTCTGATGTAGAAATAAGCTGGAAGAAAGCTAGGAGTTGCCAAATCAAGATACGGAACCACTACATGAAGTCACTGACAACCTGACTGAACTATGTAAATAGATCTAGAATACTTGGTTGTGATCCACGTGATAATCACCACCAATGATTAGAAACCGTACGAAATGGTTTAAAATCGTCTGCAATGCGTAGTTGCATCCAGGCTTTGTCTGCCCTTGGAACCTGAGTCCCGAAATATCGTTATACTTTTTTTGTATGCCTTGTCTTTTTCACTACTATTAATAATAATAATAATACTCCTTTTTTCATGATAATTCCATCCCACTATGTCATTGTGGTGTCGTAGTTTTATTCGAAACGCATGTGCTAAGTTCTACGTTGCTTATTCTTGATGTTTATCTTGTTTTTTGGCTTTACAAAGCAAACGTTCAGCAATTACATTTTATCAGTCAATCATTTACTTTTTTAATAGTCTATTAGTACTATGACCAAATAAAATCATTTAAAGAACAATTTGGCTTTTGATTACCGAGTTCTATTTCAAAATCATATAAAGTTATGATTAGCACGGAAAATCCATAAATTACAACAAATGGAGTAGGACTAAAATCTTCAATGCACGTAGCCATAACTCTACAGTAGGCCCCTTGAAATAAGATCTAGTTAATTGAATGTGTACATTTACTAATAGGAAGATTGATCATAAATTTGATGTCATCATTGAATTTGCTGTTAGTTCCCTGATTCTGTTGAAAAATTATTAAGTACATCTACGTTTTAATGTTCACACTATTCTTGAACCAATTATTTCTACTGAGATAGCCTGATCTCGCGAATAGGATATGTATAAAGTAACTGTTTGAAATGATGATGTTTCATTTACAAACATCCATAAAAACAATATGCCGGGGTTCAAAATTAAATCAAATTGTTATCTGAATTTTTTTCAGATTGTACGTTTCTGATCATGAGAAAATAATTTTAATGAGTGTTTTTAAAGGAGTTTCATAGAGATTGATTAAATTCGTAGCTGATATTCGTCACAGATTTACTCTAGTTGAGATAACATAAAAAACAAGCTGTATTGAACAACCGTCTCGTCTTAATATTAAGTTCCTCAACAGTTCACGCCCATGACGTCTCCAGAAATCGAACTAAGATTCTTCAGGTATCTCAGGGATTGCACCAAATAACACATATTTCCAAGATATTTTTTACCATAAGGGTCTTTGACCTAGTGCTAAGACAGTGGGATTTTGGTTGATCATAATACTGTAGTAATACAATCCCTCACCTGATTGTTGAACACAATATTTATTGTAAAACCGCCATATATTCGTGCAGCTGTAATGATTTCATAAGTCTTCAGATTTTCAATGGACACTAAATGTACTTTTTGTTGTTTAAATATTTGCCTTTTTAACATTTTCGTTTCATTTGTAGGTTGCCATGGTGGAAACAGATAGACTTAATAAAATGACTGCAGTTGTTCAAGAAGAAACAGGTTTATCATGTGTTATCTGTCATGAAGGGCTACGTATTGCTCCAAATGAAGCATTAGGTATCTATGTATATGTTCGTCGGTGTGTGTTAGAAGAAAATATTTATATAACAGGTTGCGAACCGGCGATTAATTTCACCAATCCACCATCAAACATTCCTGATGGTTATTCAACTTTATCAAATTTCGTAACTGTACATTTTTCATGTCATACAAAGGTAAGTGGACGTAACCTATTCCTAGTTGTTTTTTGAAAAACAATATTTTACGAATTTCACCATTTATTGTTTGCCGACGCTATGAGTGGATGAAAAAAGGGAAAGGGTTTGTCAGTTTAGAATATGTTCCTGTGGTATAACAGACAACTTTAGAGCAGGACTAGCACTTGTTGTTTCATCATGATCTCCCAGTTGAACCCCTTAACAATAGAACAATTCAGCAGCTTGAGATTGTGTCCGTAACAGTTTGGAATAGGAGCCAATAGCGATCCGTCCGTTTAGTATTGAGTAGTTATATTTCTTTCTCATATAAAATCAGTTGATGACATAGTTATAAATTATTCAATTGACACGGTTTCTTATATAGATTTGATTAGTTTGGAAATGAATTTCATCATGAATCGATACTAGCTAACAAACCATTGCAAACTATGCAGTTGATGTGGTGTAGAACTGATAACACTGAACTATAACCATCGCGTATAATAAATTAATTGAAATAGGAAGTTATTAACCATTGTACCATTGACCACTACTCTATGTGTGAGATTCGATCATATGTGTGTAGGGTTTTCGGTGACTTTATTTAGACAACTTTTGAAAGTAACGCGACACTAGTGAGTTGTTTCGTTCTACTATGGGGTTCCTCAGTAGTGCATGTCCACGACCGTATTTGGAACTGAACTTAAAACCTCCCATAGCCTCTCAACGTGTCACTTGAATTTCACTAGATACGTTGTGTGAGCTAAACTTTGGAACGTTTTTTTTCGTACTTATCATTCTACATATATGTGTACATTGATGAGCTGAAGGCTTTTGTCAGCATGTAATCTGAATAAGTGTATACCAACAGTTCTAGTTAATAAAATAAATCTATCAAGAGTAATATTGTAAATTACGAATTGTATTTTGATTTATCTCATATTATTATTTTTCTAGTCATATAAAGCTTCATCAGAGAATGAATGGACAGTAGCTCAACGACATAATTGGGATGTTGGCTGTAATAACATTTTACCAATATTAAACCCACCAACCAGTAGTTTTGCTGCTCCAAGTTCTACTTCTAGTAGTACCACAACATCATCGTCTGATAGTAAGGCGGCTTCATTAAAAACTGTAAAACAACAACAACAAGCTCCCGACACTGTTTATGCTGGACATTTAGCCAATTTCATGGATTTCATTATGGTAAGCATTTGTTTGCTCCCCCTTACATTATTGTTAGAGTATTACTATTACCTAATTACATAATACATTCATACTCAATTATCCGACCATTCGTCTAAGAACCAGATAATGACCGAAACAGGAGTATGTTGTGACAGATGTACAAATGACAATGAAGATATGCTATTTGGCAAACATGTTTGTTTTCACTCACGAACTATTCAGAGGTCATCTGGGAGGAATTTATCAGTCACCTTTCTTCGTCCTTTACTGATTTGAATTTCTTCCTATACGATGTTTGTTTCTCAGTTAATTATGCGATTACTTTTGTTTCATGTGTACCTCGGTTGAGAAAAATAAGATGTTTCACAGTGTAGCGTACTACTTAAGCAACTTTCAGTTATTCACTTTAACATGCGGTGACACCATTTTCCAAAATTTCAGCTACATATAAAGTAAACAAAACAGGACTACACTAAACAAATTTGCGCTAAATATTCGTTGTACTCTAATGAAAGATATTTTTACGATAACAGTTATTCAATTTTTTAATATTTTATATCAATATCAGGAAACCATCGATTAGCGTTTGTTTCACTGCATTATCTGAGTGACTGAATAGTGATTTAGGTGGACACAAATCCTTTCTTCCAGAAATCCGTGCATTTGAAGCCAGCGAATCTTTTAAAGTGTTAAATGGTTGGTGATAGTCAACAGGAGATCCTGTTTGACCTTGGTTCCGTGCTAGTTGATATTCATTAGCAAGGTATAACTGCAATGTGAAGGGGACTAGTGCTCCCTGATATATCCAATTCCGCGTCACCTAGCTTCACAGTCTAATGCGTTACTACTGATCTATAGCTATTCGGGTCGCGACTAACTTGTAAGACTGAGATATTTACTATTGATCGACCAATAAGTATTGACCAATATCATTTTTGTTTAGATTTTTAGTGCTGATCAGATTCTATCGATTAAGTTCCAGGTTAAAAACATCTGTTCCTCCAAGATTATAGATATACTTTGCTGACGAGTGCCAACTAGTACAAAGTTTAGGTTCAGGGTTTCTCGCTAACATCTCAACATAGTGCATTCGATATTGAATAAATTAGATTAGTTGCCACATTCCAGATTGGTAAACACCAAAGGACTGTATGAGTATAATATTCATCACTACTCACTGATCAATCAATTGTGGATCCTTCGAGTATGCGTGTGTAGTAAAATAATTTGCAAAGATTAGTGTAATTTTAAGACAGTTTTTTTGTCTCAGATTGACTTCAGCTGAAAAATCCTTAAACGTTTAAAAGCACAAACTAATTGTTTCCCTCTAGTTTGAAACTCCTCACCAATGTGGGTCAATGACCACCAAATCTAGGAGTATCACATCGTGTTGCAAGCATGAAACTTTTTAGACCACTAATTTGAGCTGTTTTCATAATGTGATTTTTATTATTATGCGTTTGCTCCATTTAATATTATTCGTTTCTGATCCTCCTTACAGCATAAACTCAGTATATGTCCTGGTTATGTAATGGCTTTACATGATATAAAATTGCTTTTATTACGTTTCGCCTGTAATCGAACATTCACTGTTGAAACTGGTGGGGGTGGCAAAGAAAGCAATATCCAATTACTGCCACATTTGATGCAAGTAAGTAAATACATTTCGTATTTTTATTAATTGTATTAATGTCAGGGTATTCGTTAAGTCCAGTGGTCGTGAGGTGTTATGCTTAATTTCGTAACTTAAAGATGTGATTATCTTGACCATTTCTGGCATTTCAACGTCTGTATACGGTATCCAATTTTCATTCGTAGCTCTCATTGGTATAAATGAGACTCTCCAACATTTCTTCGAACTACACTTTTCTCAACACAAATATTAGTCAGTGTTCAACAAAGTGTCACCTATATAGTGAACCAAAAGAACACTCTGATCAGAATGTATTGTTATTAAACTCCCTTTCATTTTGTATCATAATAATAGTTTTATTCAGTGATAGTAAAGAGTGCTCTCTTATATTGATTTGATATACGAGTATTAGAAAGCGTTTTAATCAACAAGCGCTAGCTGCTATTCATTTTCATTCCCCAAACGTTTACTACCAGTTTAACTACCATGTTATTTTTCTCGCCGAACAATAATGCATGTGATCCATAAATCTCAATGTAATTGGTCCTCATTTTTGCGAAGGAGAGACAGGGAGGAAAATATTACAAGTCACCATTCTAGTTCCTCTTTCATTTCTCAGTAGAGTGTGAACAAACAGGCTCACCTAACTTCTGACTGTTAAATATGTTATTTCGTTTTGCTTTATTGATTTCTACTCTGAATTCACTGAGAGTGATTTTTTAATTTAGTGGAATCGAGTGTTGCTTAGCTTTACTGTGGTTCTCTATTTTTGGCTGTGAATAGTATGTTTGGGATATCATTAAACGCTTGGTCATTTTTGTATTTTTAACGGTTGTCCACTTCTGGCCATCGTGATAGTAAAATTACCAGAAGGGAACAGTTGGCTTTTAAACTGGAATAGTTGCTAAAGAAAATAAACCAAGACATTTTAATGTATTGGTTTTTAGTCTTAAACTGTTCTCATACAAAAATGAACGAAAGTTGGAGTAGTTTAGGAATAACGAGATCTATGACATGTGTTTGATTTGGATGGAGTTTTATTTTCGGTAGAAATCCTATTGCATGTTTTATGGATTCCTTCAAAATGCACTGATCTGAGACAGTCATATGATGTTCTGGTTAATGGGTTGACTATTTTTGTCCATCTGTATTCTACAGAGTTGAGTCTTTTTTGCTGTAAACTTGGACTAAGTTTCCATTTTTGTTTATTTCAAAAATATGTATTTTTCATAGTTCTTATTTGAAGTTCCAGATAAATGACATAAATTGTTATTGTATATAGGTTTATTTACATTCATTGTTAATGAGCTCTCATGTTGAACAAGAATTGGAGGCTTTAAAACAGTTTACTGAAGTCCCTAGCTCTTAGTAAGTTATCCTTATTTCATGCTTTCATGCTCTTTGCTTACTTGATAAATGATTCTTTACTTTTTGTGTCACCAAATATTGTATGATATTTCATGCTATAAGATCTAGGCTTTACTGTAATGTTACAGTTGATCTTATAACAATTAGTAAAGCGATATTGAAATTCACATTACTTTGTAAAACACAAAAGTAAAATCATGTTATTTATTTTACTATACCATTCTGTATTTCATGAGAGAATTCAGTAAATTAATTGGTTGGTCGCCTTTAAAAGTATCGTTTCACAGTCGTTATATAAATAGTATGATGATATTCCTCATAAGTTTATTAAGATCATTAGTTTAAACATCCAATCGGTATCACTAACCTATCACGTATAAAACAGGAAATATGGCTCTTTGAGTGGTACTATTCTGATGTTAAGATTATGTAGCCGCTGCATCAGTTAGCTTCAACATACATAAGGGAAAAAGCAAGATCCTTAAATACAACAAGGAGAACACCAATCTAATCACACTTGATGGAGAAGCTCTGGAACAGGTGGAAGCATTCATGTATCTGAACAGCATCATCAACGGACGAGGAGGATCGGATACAGACGTAAAAGCAATGATCGGCAAAGCAAGGGCCGCATTCCTACAATTAAAGAATATATGGAACTCAAAACAACTCTCAACCAATATCAAGGTCAGAATCTTCAATCCGAACGTCAAAACAGTCCTACTGTACGGAGCTGAGACTTCGAGAACTACCACAACTATCATCAAAAGGGCACAAATATTTATAAATAGTTGTCTACGCAAGATCCTCAATATCCGTTGGCCGGATACCATCAGCAACAGCCTACTGTGGGAGAGGATAAACCAGCTTCCAGCTGAAGAGGAAATTAGAAAAAGACATTAGAAGTGAGTAGGACATTACGGAAATCACCAACCTGCATCACAAGGCAAGCGCTAACTTGGAATACTGAAGGGAGACGGAAAAGAGGAAGGCCGAAGGACACTACGCCGGAAATTGGAAGCAAACATGAAAAGAACGAATAGCATCTGGAAAGAACTGAAAAGGATTGCCCAGAACAGGGTTGGATGGAGAGTGATGCCGGGCGGTCTATGCTCTTCCATGAGGGATGACAGGAGTAATTAAGAGTATGTAAATATCACCTCAACTAACGGTACAATTAAATGGAAAAGTCTAAGCACTAAACTTACGTATCCGTGTATGATTACTGAACAAACTAATGATTAATTATTTTCGGCCACCCTAACTTGGTAATCGCGCAAGGTTATATTGAATGGAAAACGGAAACCCATGATGATGTTAGCAGAGTCCAACTAGGTCTGTTGGATTTACCAGCTTTTAAGTTCCTAGTTGCTTAATTATTATACGACGGCCATTGTTGGGATAAACAATCCAACGTCTGATCATCAGTTGAGTTACACCTTGAACATGACTTAATGATTTGACTTGAGTTCTATGTTAATTTCACTGACTCGACAGCTTCATAGGTGTCCTCATATGAATCCTAGATTGGGTCGATGCACAAAAAAAAAGCTAAATACCTTGTTTGTTCTCAAAATAATTATTCTCCTATTATTTTATTTTTCGAACACAAATAGTTGGGCGAAATCGGATAAGTGTTGGATTACTACCGGACCCCTGTATCGTCTAGTGGCGGCTTTACATCTATGGTCACGTGATGAATGGCATAATCATCGGGCGACTTTATTACATAGTCTATTGTATATGGCTGTGGGACGTTCAAATAATGCAACATGTTCAACCAGTACTGTCGATAGTCAATTTACGCTGATTAAACCATATTTAATCTACTTTGGTCTAATCGATTCTATTTATGAATATTTATTTAAGGTAGGTTTTTTTTTCGAAATCACTTCACGTTGTGTATGTATTTGTAGTTACTGTTGTCTTTTTCTTGTCAATTGTGTTCACTTTTACTGACTGAAACATTTTGATGTTATGATACAATGATGGTATTTTAGAGTATATACAAATTAGTATATATCTTAATGAGTGAATGGAGAGTTCTTCACATTGATCTAACTTTTTGGTATTGGTTTATTATTAGTATTATGACGGACGATAAGCTTAACGCTAAATGCCTTTTAATTTTCAAATATTAATCTATCGATGAGGGTGAAATTGACCTTCATTAGGCTTTGTTTTTAATGTGTAAGAAGACAGGAAATTCCATACTTTTATCGCTTCTAAATGGTGTAAACTGATGAAACCATAATCCTTTGCCAAATATTCTTTTTAAACATCTCCGAGACGTAACACGACTGATTTGTTTAGAAAAAAAGAAATACTGTGATTTAAATTAAAAAATTTCGATGGTTGATTTCTGTTTACTTCGAATGGCTATTATTTGGTGGAGCTGACATATCGTTAGGTGTAATTCAGTGTTTTTGTAAAATGTGGTGTTTACATTTCTTTATCTCACTGATGAATAATAATTCTAAATTAAAACGGTATATGGAACATTGAGTTGATAAAAGCTAAATGTTTTACATAAACGATGATCATCAAGGACACTCACATATTACAGAGTCACATATTTCTCAATTATTTATTAGCATGACAGGTCATTGGTCAGTGCAGTCATATACTTTCATGAATAAATAAACGATAGGATTATGCATATTTCACAAGTATCCAGATGTGACTTAAGCGTAATTATAATCGATTATATCAATGTCTTAGATAAAGTATATTTAATATTTTTATTCCAGGTAAATTGTGTTAATTTGTAAAGCTAATCTGAACCAAACAAAATGTCTCATTTTTATCTAATTTTCTTCAATGTTGGATGTCATTACTACTTCCTCGTATAAAACCCAGAGATCTCTATATGTCTCATGATAAACAAATTCACGTTATTCATTATTATATCCCACACCTTATTGTTCACCAACATTAGTATAGATCTAATAGTCTGGGCCATTCAGACATATTAGTTTAAGGTCAAATAAAATGAGAAAGATGCTGCTGAGTGTGTGGTAACATAATCTCGGTCACCGATCTAATTATCGCATGCTATAGCATGGCGAACGAAGAAATATTTTTATTCTCCTGTTATATCCAGTGGTATCATAAAATAAACTGAGTGTTGGATTTTCATTTCTACTCTCTCTCTCTATAGAATGTTCCTTTGACAAGTTCAATAGAAACTAAATTGAAGTCAGTTACATCAAGTAGTAGTGGTAGTGTTAGTCAGACATCACCATCATGGTCTGTTTCTTTATCGCAGTACATTCGTACATCAGATGAAGCTTTGATGAAGGCAGCTCCAAAACTACTTGCTTATTTTGAAGAGAATCTTTTAACAATTTCAAGTGTAGAGGAATTTCTAGATGTTACAGGTAAATTGTTTGTTATTATTATCTTGTTTATTAAATCCGAATTGAAGATTTAACTGAACTATAAGTTATGGACGAATCAATCAGATTTAGGCTCAAAATTCATTTATTCATATAGCTGAATAACATTTTGACCATTATAGAGAATGTTATTTCATGTTAAAAACCTTAACCCGAACTTTTAACTCTAAATCCCAATCCTTATTCCTCATATTGGTTTTACTCTAGCAAGTGGTCGAATCTTTTTCAGGGTCAGTTTAGTGTCACCCAAAAGTCGTCTACAAATAATAGTCTCACCAAATATTTTTATGTGAATGATTAATCTTCATGCTATTACAAGAGCATTTTTGTCAGTTAACGAATTATAATGTGTTGTGAAATGAAGGAGCTATTGAAAGAGATGTTCAATAAATTTCTGGATAGCTTTCACTATATGACACATGAAATAAACATTGAGAGATTTGTGAAGTATTTAGTGACAATATGCAAGCGAGATTTTTCTTGCATTAAACATTTGTAAAATGGAGCGCAAAAGAGTTTGTTCATAATAGCTTAACTCACCCATAGTTACCCTGTTTGTGCTTTAATCTACATTAATATTTAGATAATTGTTTCCGTTGCGTTACTTCAAAATGAATATACACTACTATCGTACAAATTAATTACTAAATATTTCTGGTATATGGGGAATCTCGGAGATTGTAGAATTTTCACCGTTCAAATCCCGAACTGATCTTAGACTTAAAACATAGAAGGGCGTTTCGTCCTAGTTCGGGACTATTCAGTAGTACGCATTCACGACCCCGCAGCCCAGGACCTTTAGCCATGCTCGTGAACACTTAACCTCTGGATCGTACTAGGATGAGAAGTTTGCCCAGCGCTTCCAGGTTTTCACTGGCGATCCAAATAAAAACAGTTTGTGATTAAAACTATGAAAATTCTACAATCTCCACAAATACCCCATACTAATAATAATTATGTGCTCGCCGGTGACTATCTTCGAGATGTAACTACTGGATTTCTTATAAAAAGCCCGTGACGAGTATGGTTCAATCATGTTGGGTTTGACAGTTATTCATCACAGGCAATGGATGGGAGTCGCGTAATATTAAGGATTGATTGAAGTTAGACACGCACACCTTTGGATCCTGACTCTGATTTGGCATTAAGCGTTTGCGTGCGAAACCAAATAACATTTCCCTAGACAGTTTACTGTCGTCCATAATCTACTACCTCAGGTGATTGGAAGTAGTTATTAGAATACTCCGGACCTAAGTTTCGTGCTAGTCAGCATTCGCCAACAAGGTGTACTTGAAATCTTAAAGGAAATCGTGTTTTCTGGTGGATTCATGCCACTGTCATTCAACAAAGTAACATCATAGTTCATGCGATATCGACTCACGTGAACCAGTAGCCGGACTCCAAATTGATTATTAAAACCCGACTAGCACTAACGATGAACACGACATTGACCATAACTGTACTGTCACTAGGCCAGTGTTCTGGATAATCCTATGGAAAAAGCTTTTATGAATCCCTCCATTCATGATTTATTCTGAAGCTAAAAGTCATTGTAATCGAGATTTAACATCAGCTGAAGAATCAATAAAAACCACATAGCACTGAATATATGTTCTTTCCTTGTATGGTACTTATTCATTATAAGGTTTCGAAACAACCATATTCAGATTACTCAATCAGAATACAACCATCAATAACATTTTTGACTTCAGTCAGTTTGAGATATTTTTTTACAATATTTAAGTTAAGGATTTTGCCCTATTCATCTTATAAAATAATATTTTTCTCTTACCCTCTAATTTTAATTAAACTTTAGGCTTGTTAGAAAATGTAAGTTTAAATGAAATCGAAAGTATCATGGAGACAATGTGCAACAAATAATCTAATTCCATTGATTAAGTTTCTATTAACAAAGAATGACTAATATATATATTTATAGAGAGAGAGATTGTACCTGTTGTTCAAGTTGAGAATTTACTGTAATTCTGAAATTCGAATTGATGTTGCCTGTTATTGACGGTGTTATCGTCCCGCGCCGCATATCTATCATACTTATAAAGAATAAATAACAAAGATGTAGCTACTCCCATCATTTGTTCCATATATATATATATATATATATATATATATATATATATATATATATAACTATTATTGTTGGTCACACGATGTCCTAACTGTTTCAGTTGAGTTTTTTGTTCCAAACATTATTATTATTCTGGCGAACACAATTATTCTCTTATATATGCATTGTATTAATTGTAATGAATAAGATTAGAGTAGAATTGTCTATCACTCAATATAGAATTTTTCTGATTTCAATATATTTATGCACGCATTTAGCAGTTTTTCCTTATTAACTACCTTTCTCAAAATTCCATCATCTATATACATATAAGCGTAAGCGTACAATAGGTGGAAAGCAGTTTTATTTTGTGATAGAAACTAAATGTATGTCATAGCCCCGCCATAACTGAGACTGTTGATACGTATGAGAACAGATTCCGAGATTCTTGTTAATAGTAATGTTTTTTTTCAGTTAGTTACTTTGATTAGCTTTACTACATTGTTCTACTCAACAGTGATATTTAGTTATTCATAAGTAATGCTAGAGCCTAGTACAAACGTGCACCGGATCAAGTCGCTGCATCACGACAGTATGAGGTAAGGAAATTAATTAAATGAGTACCAAAATAGTATCAGTACTAGTGATGTTAAGAACGAGTTTAAAGATAGAAAACATGCTGCAAAATAATGAAGTCGCTGGATAAAAGGTGTGAAGTAACTTTAGAACTTAGGATCTAAAGGTAGAAAACTTATCTACCTACGCCCTAGCCAAAATCGCACTTTGTGGTTATAGTAGCCGAACACAATACGTGTCACGGCCACCACAGTTGACAACTCACAATCCTATCAACCAACTTGGTACTTTAATCTACTATTCTACCTCTAATCTTAGCATCAATCACTCGTTAATGCCCACATTCCTGAGGAGTCTTTAAAAGACATCTATAGTCAAAAACATTCATGTCTTCTAGTTCCATCTACCGTGTTTCGGAACCATAGAACGGACCGGTGAGGAGCACACCAGCCCTTTGCTTGACAGGTGAGAACCCTGGCCACGCCCCCATATTGACTAAGCGAAGTCGAATTAATGGCGATACTTCAAGCTGTATGACAATTCAGAGACAGAACTTGTGTTAGATCCTAGTTTTAGCTAATGAAGCCTGTTGTCCAATTTGACATAAGGTTTGAACACTAGAAGTCCTTATATGTAATTCGGGGCGCATTTTTAGGAGTAGGATTTCGCGAACTTAGATCGTTAGCATCGGTTCGTGGAAAGAGCGATGAGGCTAGAAGAGAAGAGTTGGGTAGTTTTTGATGCCTTAGATTCGTACTTCTCAGACATTAACATTGATGAAAATCCGTGGGGTAAGGCGGTGTTACTTGTAGGTGCAACCTTTTCCAACTCCCCTTCCGTTGTAATGATCTACCGTCCCCCGGAGATGCCGGCTATGACAGAAAAATTGTACTCTCGTCAAACCCCCAGTACATTCAGCAGTGTACTTCATCTTCGGATCCCAAGTTCCTACTTCTAGTCATACTACTCTCCAATCGACCTTCCTAGCATGGTAAGACCTAAGGGAACGAGTGTTTCAACCAATATAGTTCTACTAAGTCCTCACCACATCAAGATAATAGCTACAGTTGGATATGGTGTATCTTTCGAATGTGTCCTCTGTTAGTGTTTAACTCTTTATTCATAAGCTGAATGAAATGAAAAACTGAGACTTTCAAAGACAACTTATAAATATCTGTTTTACATTATAACCTACGATGTCTGAAATCATGATAATTTAGGACATTGTGTACTGTCGAAAACTACGGGCTTCACATTTTATGACATGTCGTCCACTACAGCTGCCCTACATACTTGGAAACCCAACCATTTCGAAATCGGCCTATATATATCTATACCAGTAATTATGAGAACTGTCATCGTGACCTGAAGTTAGTTGAGTAATAACGTTTTAAAAACTAGGTCTACTAGTAAATATTATGAAATACTGTGATGTTTGTTTGCTCCGTTGGTAAGTATTAGTGGCATGTGAAGAACAAAAATTAATCAAAGGAAATTATTTACATCGTGTATTATATATATTACAAAAGAATATCCAGATATGCAAATGACTAGTCAGTTGATTTTACGATAATTGTATAAAATAGGATAAACATTATTTAATGCTTCATACAGATGTTCACGTGATTTGGCACCTATAAAATTAATATAAAAAAGTATTACTGTGAAAATGTCAGGAATTATTATTCCATATTATAAAAGATGGATTTTGAGCCAAATAGAGATCTCAAGTTCGCAAAACGCCGACGTAATCCGATCGAGGTAACCAATGAGTATTTTATAAGAAGTTGATGTTGTTTTTAAACAGAACAAGCTAATTGAACAACCTTATGAAGGAAATTCCGCATATTGAGTTATAAATGCTTAACATCAACTCAAAGTTCTATGGAAACTTGCCGGTCAGAGTAATTTTGTGACTATTTATTGTAACTAAATTACTTACGAGTAGCTAATTTTTTTATTGAATAATTTCTCGTATTCCACTGGGTAATCCTAGACTAATTATTCTTTTCGTACGGATTAATACCAAGGTTTAACTTGATAATTTAAAATAAATTGAGCATTTAGATTCTTGCCCATTGGGATATCACAAATGTATTATTACTTAATTGTTCCCTTATTAGCTGATACAATTTTAATTTGTCCCGCCATAACGAAATGGTCATTTGCACTCTTGCCTGTGGGAAGAGTTGACAGTGTAGCTAGGCTGATAATTATTATAGTACCGTTTACTACTAATATATACTAGCATATAAGTATTTCGAAAAGTTATGATAATCTTTAGTCTATAATCGACCTCTGGTGCGTTATTTCGGTGGACCTAACAACTTGAAACAGTGAAAAAAGATTAGCATTTAGAAAATCACTAGTGGCTTAAAGAGATCCTTAAATTCTTATTGTTTAAATCATGAACTGGTTTTAGCTAGACTACTGGACAGTTGTTTTATTTTAATACGAGAAATTTACACCATTGGATATCGGCTCATTGCTCTAGAGGTCAAATAATTGAGCACTAGATCAGTTCTGGGTTCAACCCCCTGTAGTGGGGTCATGGATCCGCGTTGCTGTGGAATGATCTTAAGTATTATTCAGTGATACAGCTGGGAATTAATCTCAGTAATCCATCTCTTATTTTGCACTACGGCGAATGATCCCCTATTTTTGTATCTACTTTTCTGATTTTTTTAGTAAAGCGAAGGGTTCCCATTTAAACGCTTATAAAAAAAAGGATTCAATAGACAAATCTCACGTACAGATTCTTGTCATCTATCCTCTACTACGGTTTATCAACTGATAACAATATCTATATCGTTCACATAAAAGATTGGTAGTTTCATATTAAAGGGTCCTGCTGATAGCAGATTTGGGATTGTAGATTTTATGCAAATATCATTTCCAAGTAAACGTATAACACAGCATCTGTATGAAGAATGCAGAGTTCTTACAATCAGTCACCAAATTATAGCTTGGCACAAACTTGTACTAGGTCAAAGTGCCGTACATGACGTGATTACATTAAAAAAACGAATAGCAAAAGGTATCGATATAATGTAGTAGCAATGATAATTACAAAGACTAAACATTCAGAATATGGTTCAAAAAGACAGAATAGGAGTTTATGCATGAAGGAATTTACTACACCTCATAATATGGAGAGAGATAAAAAGTAAACGGGTCTGCGTCACCTACAAAGTAAAACAAAAAAATGAATTCAACAACCTAGAGCTAAAAGTTGTCTACTACGACTATTGTGTGAAAGCTACATGGATTCCCAAATCTTATTAGGTAGACAGAAGTCTCAAATTATAACTTTCTAAGTAAAGTTTTGTATAATTGAGAATACAGTTCACTTACCTGTCATAACAATCTTCCCATTCACAAAAATAAGCATTACTAAACGGGGTTTTATTATACGATAAATTAAGGCTGGAAATATTTCCGGTTCATATCTGGAAAAAATGAAGCCAAATACAAGAATACCAGATACATATTTGATTATCCATACAACGGTAAAAAATATATTGAACAACATAACTTGGTCTCCATATATGGATAACGGTTATCTTACATATCCAAGGAAACTGCACTGCCCTTTACGAAATCAGCAGTGAATGACTTTATCAACAGATTCTGTATAGGTTTGGCTACATTTAGGCTCCTGTCAATCTGCTGCTATTTTAAACAAAATGGTTAGGCCCATTTATCACCAACCTTAGTGAGAATTTATGGCCTCATCAATTGATCTCCTTTATTTAACAAATACCTCATTTAGGTCATGTCTCCGGAGCGTTAAGTATAATAAGACAAAATCTTGTACAGCAGACGCCCTCCGACAGACAAACGTGAGTATTATCTGTTCTAAAAAGATCGTTGGCTGGGAGTAATTAATCTTTGTACCTATACTCCGGTTAATGAGGGTCCCAAGATAAATGAGGCAGTTGAAGCGTTCAACTACTCCATTTCATAATGCCAAACCAGATATCAATGTAGAGTGACTATAAGTCAACACTTTACATCCAAGTAAGAAGTATATTCTCAATGATACTCATTTGTCGCTCCAGGCATTCAGAAAACTGAATTTTGTATGCTTCTTTACCAAACATAAATATATTTTCATTTCAAGTCAATGAGAGTCTTCAAGTGGGAAATCAAGTTATAATCATTATAACAAGTAAAATGTTCTTTTAGAACCGAATACTGTTCTCAATTAGGAAATAACGGATAAGTGAATTGAAATACAGCAAACAATAGATTACTGAATAGTAAAAACTCATTAAAAAGAAAATATTCCCATAGAAACTAACTGTGTCATCTGTTCGTTGGCCAATTGTACACCTTCCAGACGTATTGGAAATCTCAGATCAGCCAAACCAACCATATTTTGAATAGTAAAGTTCATGAATTTTACCTAGATTAAAAACCAGTTGAATGACTGATAGTTATCTACTGATTTGTACACCGAACTGGTATGTAGATAACACAACTAAATTAATCACTTGTACCAAATTACCTAATCACCTAGATTGACAACGATTAGTGAGTAATCTCTCTACTTCTACCAAGCACTATGTATCAAGTTTTCCACTCAGTGTAAATGGTCCAGATATTAAAATTAAAAATACATATGTCACCTGCATCTAATAGTTATATTTTAGTCATGCAATGTAGCACAGGACACTAAGACTCTATATCCTCATCCTAGGGATAAGTAGACAGATTTTAGTGGTGGAACCAGTAAAATGTCAATACATCGCACAGATAATTTATGTGCACCTGCTATAAATTTCCATTATAAAGTAATTTCACGGTAGAGCATTCACCCAGTAACTCTTAGTTTCTACAGAATTTTGAAATAACCTTTAGGCAAACCAGACTTTCAAAGCGAACAGCTTCATGAACTAGCTTTAGCGTGTCTACAACGTACAGTTGTCTTGATAAATATATACTCTATATTATATACCTCAAAACAAGTGAAGAGTAAAACTTAATTATTAGATTACAAATAACGATCTTATTCACACAATCAACGGAACTTGGCATTTAATGAACTTACATCAAACCCAAGTCTTTGTAGTATACGAGCACATTTCCGAGAACCTAAATTTGCATCTGATTCAGAACGTGCACCAGTACACACCATGCGACCAGTTCCAAACACTAAACAAGTGACACGAGGTTCACGCAGACGCATGACAACGCCAGGAAATCTGCGTGGATTGTATTCCGCACTACGGACATGAAGTACCAATTTACGTAACTCAATAGGACATCCTAAATCCACAGTAGAAACCATATTGCTAACAATTGATATAAGAACAAGATAATAAATCGAGTTAATTTGACATAATTCGAAGTTACAAAAGCAAGTATAGTTGGTAGCAAATAAAAAGCATTACAAAGAAACCCAACTCAAAACTTACACACCCTTGATATAATGAGCAGTAAACTGCTTACTGTATGATACTTTGGACTAGTCAGTCATACGCAACGTAGAGCCTGGCATATATCTATCGGTTTGTTGCCATGCCACGGCACAGCAAGATTATCAAAACTAATTCCAGTGTAGTAGGAGTAATAACAGTATTAGTAATAGTACAAAAGGATGGTTATGGAAAGAAATGTCTATATACGACCAAACAAACGTATATAAAGGGGTGTGTGGTTCTAAGAGTAGGTTATTTACTGAGTACAGCCCCTCAGCTTTGAGCCAGAGTATTTGTTTGGGGACAAATCATACATCCTGGATGTTCAAAACAACAGTAAAGTTTCAACTTGTGGCCTATTGGTTGAAAACCGAGTGCATTAATCACTAACCCATTGACCTTGAGGCGGCTTTAAGCTAAGTACCTACATTTGGTTAGTAACACAAGAGCTACAACTAAATGGTGTGGACTTTGCTTATTTTGAATAACCTCATTTTAATTAAATTCACACAAGGCTGTAGCAGTGGCTTCCTAGTCAGCAATAAGATTTCAATCTGTAGTTCAGAATTCCGAGCATCATTATACTCACTTTATTTTGGGCAGATAAGTGGGATCTCCAACTCTTGTACAATGTGACACATAGATAAATAAAGAAGCCAGTACCTGATAAATTGGCTAGTTATTTCATATGTATGGAAGGATTTAAAATAAAAATCCACCTCTGAACTGTTTTACTAATGCTTGTTTAGCAAACAACCAGACGAAATAATACTACAAATAATTGTGTGTTATGTTCCTATGCTCTGATGATTTAACAGATGATAAAAACGCCAATCAAAACAACAACTTTATGATCTTGATACTGTAACAAACCAATGACGCGTTAACCAGTACGGACAACCCAGAGCCAAATCGGATTAGTTCTCCCGACTAACCCTGCCTGTTTGAGTCCGGAACACAGCTTTCACTGTATGAATCATATACTTCAGACATACGCAGTTTATACACGAGTCGCAAAATGCCCTGGTACGGCCAAGAGTGGAGAGAGTCCGCTCTCCCTTTCGAAACGCTCTCACATGGCCACGCATATACAGCCTCTGTCAGGCACGTCCTACTCACTAACTTCTCGCACCATGGGTGTTGTTTACAAAATTGAGAGGAAGAAAAACGAATGTCCGGCGCTTTAACCAGGTTGGTGGACATGGAGAGTCCACCTAGGGGAGTTGAAAAACCCTGATTCCAGACCAATAGTGCACATGGGCTCCAGTACCCTGAGGGAATAAATGGTGTATGAACCGATCGTTAGTCACCGGCTACCATGGGACTGCATCTCCTTACGATGCTCCACTGCCTTGTGGATCAGACCTTCAGGTCGAAGGATCCGGATGTGAACCCCTAAGAAAACCATCTATTTCGGTTTGGGCATCTGGGTAGTATCACAGCTTTCACACAAAGCCCATCTGATTTGTGTATGTGTGTATGTACCTGGTGCTCTCTTGCACTAATATCTGTGTTCAAATAATAATACTATAAAACATAAAATAACAATTATATAAGATCAAAAAAGTGACTGTGGCTAATAAATTGGGAATAACTTAGGAGTAATAAATCGTATAATGACAGTGAATGAGTTAACTAGAAGGAATATAAATATATGAAAAATGGTTACTTGATAGTTATACAATAAGAATATACAAAATAAAAATCCATAAATGGATCCTAGCAGTTACCATTCACTTATTCTTCGTCCGGATATAACAATGTGCATGGGGTCACATGGACTTTTGATTAAAAATCGAACTAAACTGATGTTATTTCTATGGGTTGCATGACAGCTGTTTATGTGTTGAAGTGAACTGAATAAAAGTAAAAGATTGGACTTACGTAAGCGGTTATGAGATTATTCCGAATAACCACATAATTAACATTTACCAGTAATATTTCGTTGACAGAGAGACTCTTAGATACATCATAAAGACAAGAAGTACCAAGTTTCAAGGATAAAGACTTATATTGAGGACAACATATTTAATATGACGGTATTAATATTAATTGTTAGCTATGGGATAAACCGTGGTTCAAACAGATAGACGACTCGCCTTGAATAAAATGCCGTAAAGTGTACTCACTGTATAACAGGTTTTTTAATGCCACATGAAAGATCGACGGATTCTGAATCTGGACCAACGGGTCGCTGAGGAGTAATTTCGTTAGTGCAACTGTTACTTGAACCTCCTAACATTATGGGATTGTAGTAAATTCGTCCTGAAAGTAATTTAGATCAATATTTTTAGAAAATATCAGAATTTTTGGGATAGTCATATTATAAAACATGATAGCAAAATCACCAGTAACCTTACAAATTAAATGCTCCATAACCATTAAAGGTTTATGTTTCTGTACCCGATAGGTCTGAGTAGTACTGGAACCGATTGCTAGCTATTAATAACAAACACCCTTTCTGAAACCAATGAAATACAGGCCTAACATCAAAACACCTTTCTTAAATCGAAGAAATTATTTCAGAGTGGTTATTTAAATAACCACTCTGAAGACCGGAAATTTCCGTTCTTCTACTCGTAATAAATCGTACAACACCCAAAGCAGGTGTCCTAAATTTGGATACGAGACAATATCTAAGCCTAGTAACGTTATGGTCATAAAACAACTCTTCTCTGTGGTAATGATGGTGTAATAATGTAACCATTAATTTAGACCACGTTAACACTGAAGTGATCAATGTGTTGTTGAAGTCAGTTCTTAGTAGTAACATTAACTTTATATACGAAGGATACAAGTAACTATCGATGTGCCACGTATTTCTGTGGAGGACTCAACTAGTCAATTGTACGAAAACCAAACCAACCTTACATTTAAGTCATTTGACCTTAAGGATGACCTAGAGGATGTTTACAAAATCCAATACCTTAAATGGTTCAAATGGTTGTGGACGGAGTAGAAGAAGCTTTCGCTTAACGGGCTTCCGTATCTTATAGGAGTGGATCATCAATACCTCCAGACAGGAACCTAGATACATAAACGATAATAAAAGAAAAAGAAATTGGCAAATCATAGTAAGATACTATCCTTTTTCCTTAAGAATAGGTAAAGTTTCCTCTTGAAGGACTCCTGGGAACTCATTTTGATTAGCTCAGCCAACAGGGAATCCCAGCATTTGACAAATCTTAGGGAGTAGAAGTTCTGTCTACAGTCTGTTTCGCTGCGTTATCCATCCAGTTTCTGAGTGTTACCCTTTAGGTTTTTGTTAAAGGTAAACTTAAGTAGGTGTTTCAGGGGACGTCCAAAAGTGTTAAGGATGCTGCAAGCCATCAGAAGGTCACCTCTAAGACGCCTGTACTCTAATGAGTAAAGGTTTAATGATTGAAGACGCTCTTAATAAGGCTTGAATTTGAGTTCTCAAAACGATTTAATGGCTCGCCGTTGGATACGCTCCAGAGTGTCCTTATCCTTTTGGAATGAGGGAGGAAATACTATGTTTCCGTACTCTAAATAGGGACAAATGAAGTTGTTGAAGATCATGTGGAAAGTTTTTGCGTCAAACTGGTCAAACATGCCCTTCAATGTTACCAGGGAAAGGTTTGTTCGAGAGGCATTTTTGTAGCAGTTAGTGTAAGACTTCAAATAATAGGTGACCAGCACTCCTTAATCTTTTCCAACTTGTGATACTTCTAGAGATGAGTTTCCTTAGCTATAACTGTAGTCTGCAGCATGTCTAGGATGAACTGCTTTAAACTTTGAAGTGTTGAGAGTAAGTCAGTTGTCATCTGCCAAACTTCGAAGTCGAATAACATCCTTCCGAAGTGCCAAATTATCCTCTTGGTTACGCATCTCTCTCCAAAGTTTCCCATCATCAGCAAAATGTAATACGTCTGACGATAGCTGCTGTGGAAGATCGTTTATATTAGTCCAGAAAAGAGAAGGTCCTCGTACTGAGCCCTGGAAGACCCCACTGGAAAATTCCATAGCGTCAGATAAAGTGAAGCTAACCCTTACCTTAAAATGTCGATTCTTTAGATATGAGATGAGCCAGTCAATTAGAAGGGATTCGATACCCAATCGTTTGAGCTTATTGATAAGACATATATGGTTTACCTTATCAAAAGCTTTTGAGAAATCAAGGTAAATTATATCAACCTTCCTCTTCCGATCAAGGATGGCTGTCCATCTGCCCACCGAGGTCAGCAGGTTGGTTATGCAAGAATGACCCTTCCTGAAACCATGCTGTTGGGGTGAGAAGAAATTTAGGGACAGTAAATAGTCATGTATGCCGTTGCATATCAGTGACCCCATGATTTTTGAAGGTATAGAGAGAAGAACCACCGGCCGATAACTTGAAGGTTCTCTGCGTCGACCTCCTTCAAAAATTGGTGTGATGTGAGCCGGCTTCTGAATTTCCGGAAGTTTGCCTTAGCTTAGAGAGTGTAAGGACATCATGCTAGGCGGTGTTGCCGGGATTGAAGCTGCTTCCCCCAGTATACCAGAATGAACCATATCTGGGCCTGGAGAAGTGTCTTTTCTTGGGTGCCAGCGTTTCCGGTACACCAAGTGAGCCCCCACGTTCGCTTCGTAAAGTCCTGTGCAGTTGCAGATGAAGCTCTCATCAATACAGTTAATGTGGGTCGGTTGAAATATCCGAGATTGTTGTTCAGCCAAAAGGTTAGCCTCGTCACCGTCGTTATTGGTCGGTCCATTAGGACCTAGCAGTTGGGAAACTCCAGTTTTGGCTAGTCCCGCTAGTCTGAGCACATTGACTAATATGGGATCGCGTCCTGATGTTCGATGGCATCTATTTATGTTGGTCTAACGACTTTATTTTGGTAATCTTGCGGAACTTTAAAAGCTTTTGTGAACTGGTAAATATCGATAGCAGATGAGTCTACTTATTTTCGAACATTAAGGTTTCTAGAACAACCACTTAACATTTCGTCGAACAGTCGTCCGTACATTCATACTAAGGTTTGACAGGAGAGTTCGAATAATGGTAATTATTAAAAAAGGTGAAGACGTCAAAGTAGAACAGAAATGCATAAATGAAAGCAAATGTCAATGATAATAACAAAAGTTAGACCACAGGACTAGTGTTACGACGGAACTGAAGACATTTGGCTAATTAAAACCTCTATGTTAAATATTCTTAATTTCACTGTGTTTTTGAATATGTTTGTTTTACTCAACTTCTGAACGTGGTTGTTTATATCATCATATTCAGACATCTTGGTTCCTCTTCGTCTTTGGTCTGGCATTTGAGAGTTATTGCTCCGGGAACCTACACAATTGAAGAACGACATTTGGGTTGACTATTTGTAAGTTGCGAATAAACTTTAGTACCTGGAGTGAAGTTTGGTTCTATTGTTAATTTGGGTTCGTAAATTGCAAATAGATCTACATACCGTACTTCAGTAACGGGAACGAGCAAAAGCTTGAACGTAACAACTAGTATGCTAGAGCGTAGCTGTTAATCTGTTCAAGTCGTCTTCTGTCAGACGCTCGCGATGGCACACTTTAGGAGTGTTGGTTGGTTCGCATGAAGTCGCTCTATATTTTTGGGCTTTTCGAGATCCCCAATGAGCCTTTTCCGTGCTTATTGATTCGAGACAGTATTATATTGTCAACATAAAAGTTCACCGAAGCACTAGGATTTTCTGTGAGGTTATTAATATTAGGAATAAAAAGGAATCTACCATAGCTTTTTCCGAAACTTAGGGCAGTGGTTTTTTGATCTAAGTGTACTGAGTCTCTGAGACCAACCCAAGGTATCGTCATGTGTACGAAATTGTTCTGCACTGAAACAAACTTCTTAGTGGGATGCCAAAGTGGCGCGTGCAAACATACTTTTCGACTCTAGTAGGTTTCCGTACCTTGGATTCGTAAAATTCATAACCTGTAAAGAGTAAATTGAAATGATCGACTGTATGTAAACCTATGTAACTTATGTTTTCAGCACTCTCCAGAATTACTGGAACGAGTAATTTAGCTTTAAAGGACACACTGAAGTTGGTCATAATTTAGTCGAGCAGCAAAATAAGTGATGCTCACATAAGATAATAAAGCTCAGCTTATCTTCTAATTCTTTCTGCCTAACAGTAATTTATATCGCCTGCTTTTTATTATATACATCGAGCAGAGTTTCCATAACAACGCATGAAAGTAACTGATGACTAATTTGTCGATGTTTTATCACTTCAGGTGAAGTTCAGCAACTAACCATTTAAGCTGTGTTCAAATAATAGATGTTTTTCTCTAATGATTGGATCTCATAGACTGTAAACATTAGTATTTCACTTTCATTTAACGTCAGACTGCTTTATCATGGACCTACCAACCTGCGGGAGTCATACAAGATCATTAAAGCCTTAACATGACATTATAAACGTACGATTTAATCACTGAATTCATCATTGGTACGTTTTGATAAGCGATTAAGTTCAAAAACTAGCTCGTCACTAACCGGTCCTCACTCTCATTTTAAAAGTAACAACGTGACCTCGTCCATAATAATATTAGTTTCCTTCATCGCTATAAATTTTGTTGCAGCAAAGTACCCCCAGCATCTACTTTTCAACACTGAAATAGATTTCTCTTTAACATACATTAGAACTGCGATTGTTTCGAACATGCACTACAAACATTTTTTCAATAGCTAATATCTTATATGTATTTAAAATAGAAATAAGTTACCACCAGTTGAAATGTTATAAGTATTTTCCATTGAATCATATATTTATTGCATGAATTCGAAGGCATCTCATTCCTCGCTTTTACCAAAGGATAGGATTGTTTATTTTCTGGCCTTATTATAAAGTCGCTGATCTTAATACCAGAGAGGTATTGCTACATAAGCTCCACAATTTGATTGGAACAGAAAAAAACGCTGAAAATCCATTCACAGCATTTTATCGGACAGTTCTATCTTTCGTTTGTTTCTTCTCCCTGTCGTTTTTTTAAACCCTATTCAGATCTCTTTTAACCACATTTCGTGTTCTTCTGTCTTCCTCGTCTGAGCTTTGATTATGTGACTTTGATTGAAGATGAGCTTTTTGTTATCTCATTTTTCTGTTGCGTACTGTCGGACTATTGACAATAGGGTCGTGTCTGACTAAATCAAAGGTCACGGCATTTTGGTCGTCACGCTGACAGTGAAATAGTTCATATAGAAGATTTCGGAAAGACTTTTAAGTCACTTGAAATTCATCGATAAATTAAAGTCGCAACGAGCCATCTCCCAGAATCTTTGCAAAACCTACACAGAGTTCGGTGGAAAATGCAACAAAGTCCATTAAACGTTTACTGATTATTTCGCTAGAGAGTTAACGAAACAAAACAATTAGAGAAACATGGTTATTGCTATGGTCATTTGAAGTACTGAGTAAAATTAGCCTGTTATATCAGCAAAACTGATTCACATGCCCCACCGATATATAGTGAGCCAATAACAGAATGTTCTTTCAAGTTTGTTTTCAACGAAGAAAACTGATGCTAAACAAAATGATGAACTTGTCACGTAAAATTTATCGCTACAAGATCGATCACTTGATACATCGACATTTGCATTTTGACACTCCGTTGTCATGAATATTCTTCGATTAAAATTTCAGGAAATTTAGACCTAACGACTTCTAGAAGTGCCTTTGATGCCAAAGTCAAATTGGGAATGGAAGCGACTAAGAGGCTTAAAAAATTCAACACAAGCCACTACAGAAGGACCCATTTTACTGTGAATATTTCGCGTATTTTGTAACTGCGTGTAATAATTCCTAAGTATATATGATGATAATAATCTATGTGTCTGGTTGTTCTGCATTTGTGTAAGACTCAATAATATTCGACGTGCATTAGATATACTAAAAGCTGTACTAAAGTATGTGCACCTGTC